GATGATCACTCCTGTAGCTTCCACCAGACAGCATCTCTGGTAGGTCACCTGCTAACCGTTATAGAGAAGCAGAATTGAGTGCAGGTAGTCTCGTTAGGTTGTCATTTATCAGCCCTGGGAGTTCAGCAAGGGTAGAGGGGACTGGAATGATCCAATGGAGTGAAGTTTGGCACTTCTATTATCCATATCCCTTAGCTTTCCTATTTTCTTAGTAATATCCCCTAGAAAACTGTGTGTGTGTTTATGCCTGGGACTTACCCCCATCAGTGTAGACACTTGAAGTTTTAAAAGCTCCCCAGGTAGTTCTTACGTGTAGCCAAAGTTATGAACTGCCTTAGGGTGCCTAACCAGTCTGAATCTGTTTTCATGGACAAGCAGTTTGGGAAGTTGCCATCAGTAGCTGCAATGAAGATACAGGCAATAATTGCCCCAAGGCAGAGTTTTCATCCAGAGAATTATTTGAGAAGTATTCCCTGCTCTATTTTTTTTGAAAGAGTTTGTGAAGGATTGATATCAATTCTTCGACTGTTTGGTAAAATTCACCAGTGAAGCCAGCTGGACTGGGCTTTGTAGGAAGCTTTTTACCTCTAATTCAATCTCTTTAGTACTTGTTATAGTTCTATTCAGAATTTCTGTTTATTCTTGAGTCCACTTTAGTTTGTGTATCTCTAGGAATATGTCCACTTCATGTAGGTGATCTAATTTATTAGTATACAGTTGTTCATGGTATTGCCTTATGATCTTTTCTATTTCTGTAAGGTCGGTAGTAATGTTCCTTCCTTAATTCCTAATTTTAAAAAACTTTATTTATTGACTTTTAAAAATTTATTTTCAAAGAGAGGGAGATAGAGGGAGAATAACATCAATGTGGGAAAGAAACATCGATTGGTTGCCTCTCACATGCTCCCAACTGGGGACCTGGCTTGCAACCCAGGCATATGCCCTGCCTGGGAATCAAACAGGTGATCTTTCGCTTTGCAGGACAATGACCAATCCACTGAACCACAGTTAATTTCTGCTGTAACATTTATTATTTTCTTCTATTTGTTTTGCCTTAATTTGCTGTTATTTTTCTAGTAGAATATTAAGCTATTGATTTGAGATCTTTTTTAAATTTATAAACTTTATTTTTTAGAGTAGTTTTAGGTTCACAACAAAATTGAGCATAAAATACAGAGTTCCTATATACTCCCTATTCCCACACATGCACAACCTCCCCTACCCAGCCCGCACAATATGGACATTCTGCACCAGAATGGTACATTGGTTACAAGCCACAAACCTATATTGATACATCATTATCACTCAAAGTCTATAGTTTACTTTTGGTGTTGCACATTCTATGGGTTTTGACTATTTATCTGCCATGTAGTACCATAGAGAATAGTTTGGCTGTCCTAAAAAATCTGTGCTCTGCCTATTTATCTCCTTCCCACCTAAGCCCTGGCAACCACTGATCTTTTTACTGTCTCCAGTTTCACCTTTTCCAGAATGTCACATAGTTGGAATCATACAGTATGTAGCCTTTTCAGACTGGCTTTTTAAAAAAATTTATTGTGTTTTTTCCATTACCACTTAACCCCTTTATACTCTCTTTGCCTCTGGCAATCACCACACTGTCGTCCATGGCCGTGAGTCTTTCATTTTACTTGATCCCTCCACCTCCTAACCTCCTCCCTCCACAATAGCTGTCATTGTGCGGAGTCTGTCTCTGTTTTGTCTATTCATTCAGTTTGTTCATTAGATTCCATGTGTGAGTGAAATCATATGGTATTTGTTTTCTCCAGCTGGCTTATTTCACTTAGCATAATGTTCTCCAGGTCCATCCATGCTGTCACAAAGGGTAAACTTTTCTTTTTTACAGCCAAGTAGTATTCCATTGTGTAAATGTCCCATAGTGGTTTTATCCACTCATCTACTGATGGACACTGGGCTACTTCCATATCTTGGCAATTGTAAATAAAGCTGCAATGATCATGGAGTGATTATGTTCTTTCAAATTAGTGTTTTGGGTTTCTTTACCTATATTCCCAGAAGTGAGATCGCTGAGTCAAAAGGCAGATCCATTTCTAATTTTCTGAGGTATCTCCATACTGCTTTCCACATGGTTGCACCAGTCTGCACTCCTACCTACAATGCAAAAGGGTTTCCTTTTCTCCATCTCCTCACCTGCACTTGTTTATTGATTTATTGATGGTAACCATTCTGACAGGTGTGAAGTGGTATCTTATTGTGGTTTTAATTTGTATTTCTCTGATGATTAGTGATGTTGAGCATCTTTTCATATGTCTATTGGCCATCTATATGCTTTGGAGAAGTGCCTATTCAGGTCCTTTGCCCATTTTCTAATTGGATTGTTTGGGGAGGCGGGGGTTGGTGTTGAATTTTGTGAAGTTCTTTATAAATTTTGGATATTAACTCCTTATCAGATGTATTTGTGAATATGTTCTCCCATTCCATGGGTTGTCTTATTATTTTGTTGATGGTATCCTTTGCTGTGCAAAAACTTTTTAGTCTGACATAGTACCATTTGTTTATTTTTTTTGTTTCCCGGATTGGCTTCTTTCACTTAGTAATATGCATCTAAGTTTCCTCCATGTGTCATGTTTCATGGCTTGATAGCTAATTTCTTTTTAGTGCTGAATAATGCTCCATTGTCTGGACTTTTTTAATGTAATTATTTGTAGCTGTAAATTTCTATCTGAGCACTGCTTTCATTGCTAAGCATAAGTTTTGGTATGTTGTGTGAAGTACTGTTTGTATAGAAAAGGCAGGATAAATGCTTGGTTACTTCCATTTACTTTACAATTTTTGAAAATAATGAATAGGTTCCCTAGTGTGCCAGTAATAAATCATTTCCCTTCAGTTTCAAATTTACCCTTTTAGTCTGCTCTGTGAAATGGATTTGGGCTCTATTTCTCCTTTCCCAGCTCACAGGTATTAAGCTTTGTCAGCAGAGTGCATGAGAGAAATATTGAAGGAAAATAGGGTTTATTTCCTGTTTCTAGAGTTCTGGTTGGGCTGGCTTCTGTGCTCTGGGCAGCTTCTCCAATTTTTGGCTCCTGCAACACACATGGCTTCTTCAGCAGCTGGCTTTTTCAGTGTATGGTGGTCAGCAGCCAGAAACTTCTGGCATCCCCCCTCCAGTGATCTGTAGTAGAATGCTTCTTGCGAGACACCTCTCTGTAAATGACTTTCCCCAGCAACCTTCAAGGTAGATTTTCGGCAGCTTCTGCCTGTGCAGCACAATGGCTTCCCTGCCATCTAGTAAGCCTCAGGCACATCTTCTCTAACAGGATCTTTATTGGACACTTTATCTCAATCAAACTTACAGGTAATGGCTATTCATTATATCACTAATCCTGTATTCTTTTAGAATTCTCTTTTGATTCTTTACTAGCCAATCCTTATTACTCCAATCCCGTTATAGTTAATATGTCTTTAAATAAAACATTCCCCGTTTGAATTACTGTGTGGTTCCTCTTTCCTGAATAGACCCAGACTTATACATTTGGTAATTTCTGAAGATGACAACAAAGTTTGTTTGATGAACTGATCTGTTAAAAGTCAGGATTTATGTTCAGAAAAAGGACAAAATTAACAGACTTAATGGAAGATGAAAATTGAAATGCCTAAAACTGACAAGGAATTGATATCTATAATATACAAGAAACCATCAGTAAGAAAAATAGTGCAAGCCCTATAGGAAAATTGCAATGGATATGAACAAGCAATTTAAAAAGAGGAAACTCAAAAGGTTACTAAGAAATGTCAGACTCATTGGTAATCAGAAACACAAAATAACAATGACAGCACAAAAAAGCAATCACACCAATTGTTTTGGGAAAAGTTTGGAAGGTGTATAGTGGTTATATCTCAAATATACTTCAGATCTGTCCTCTTTTCCCCACATTTACTGTCACTCTTAACAAGGCCACCATCATATTCTGCATTAGCATAATACAAAAATGTAACGTCTGCCCAGTTCTAGTCTTGCTCCCCGACAATTCACTCTTCTAGGAGCAAGAGAAATCCTTAAATGTAAATCACATTCCACTTCTTTGCTTAGAATCTTTCAATAACTTCCTGTTGCTCTTGGAATAAAACCCATTACCACAATGCAGGTGACCTGCGTGATCTCCTTTCACAACTCTTCAATTTCATACTGTGCCACTCGCCTTTCTCATTTTTCTCCCGCAAATATTTCAATACCTTGAACATTTCAAGCTCTTTTTTTATAACACCAGCATAATTTGAAATTATTAGTTTCTAAATAAAAATTAGTTTTTTAAAAAGACTTTATTTTTAGAGACAGACCCCCAACCAGGGACCTGGCCTTCAATCCAGGCATGTACCCTGACCAGAAATCAAACCAGCAAACTTTTGGTTCACAGGGGGAACGCCGAATCCACTAAGCAACACCAGCCAGGGCTAAATTACTTAGTTTTTCTCTCCTCTACTAGATAATGCACTTCATGAGGACAGGGCCCAGTTTGGTTTTTCACTACTTATTTTAGCACTTACAGAAATGCCTGAGACAGTATGCATTAAGACGTGTGTGAATAAGCCCTGGTGGCTCAGTGGACTGAATGCTGGCCTGCAAAACCACTGGTTCAATTCCCAGTCAGGGCACATGTCTGGGTTGCAGGCCAGGTCCCCAGCTGAGGGGACGTGAGAGGCCACCGGTTGATGTATCTTTCACACATTATTGTTTCTCTCCCTCTTATTCTCCTTCCCTTCCCCTCTCTAAAAATAAATAAATAAAATCTTTTAAAAAGGACTGAAAAGCGAGAACAATGATTAAGCCATCCCCGCGCGCCCGATCCACGCCCGCGTTTCCAGCAACCTAGGGCTACTTGTGTCTTCTTTGCTGCATGGCGCCAGGTGCGACTATCTGACGTCATGAGAGCGCAGCACAGTTTGACTCAGGCCGCGCAAACTCTGTGGCCGTCTACTGGGCGCGCTGATGAGAATATTCCCCGGGCGCCGGAAGTACAGGGCACGTGACCGGGTGACAGCGCTTGCAGGACTGCAAGGCTCGGTTTAGGTGTTGCTGCCCACACGGGATGGCGGAGGCACCTCCTGTCTCAGGTACTGTTCTTGCCTGCGTTGGAGTGGGCTCCTTTCGAGTTGCGGAAGCTTGGTTACTGACGAGTCCTACGGCTTCGGCCGTTCATATCGCGAGAGTGGCGCGTACTAAGGTTGGGGATAGTGGCTCGGAAGGGCCAAGCCACGCGCGTTGTTTTCACGGAGACCTAGACTATCCTTGACTAGGTCGTGAAACCTGGTAGCTGGGTTTCCAAGGAAAGCGGGTTTTTCCTGGCGCCCAGCGAGTTTAAATGGATGTCCCGGCCTTCCCGGGGCAGCTTCCTCAAGGATCACCGACAAGCTCTCGACGTGTAGTGGCTTTGCGCGCTGTGCTTAAGGGTGTATTCGCGCGTCCTGGTGCAGTGGCGCGGGCGCGAGTCGAACACCTGTGGTTTCCAATCCCAGCCTGCCACGAACCCGCAGTGTGACCGAGTCATTTTCTTCATTTGTCATTTGGGGATGATCAGTTCCTGTAAAAGCTCCCGCCCTGTACTCTACCTGTTCCATAATTGTTAGCTCACTTCCTCTCCCGGTGTTGCCTCTATGTATAGAGACAACCTGATTTGGTTGTTAATAAAACATCCATTTCCCTTTCCTTCAGTGTACCTTAGATCTTTGTTTTGAAAACTTTTGGACAGCGGCCGAAAAGGAACGTTTTACTTCTAACCTCAGTGCACACGTAGTAAATGTAAATATAAAACGTTTCAGGAAGCAGTGGTTTTCCTTGCTATCTCAGTACACTCCACATTTCTTTTGAAAAAATGATTGCCTCAACCCACTACATTAATTCGATTTCAGGACCCACTCTTTTTGAAAAATGGCAGCAATTTGCAGCATGAGATTTGTAAACAGTCACGGATTTGAATCTTAGTTCTGCCTCCTACCTGCTGTTGTGGTACTAAGAGTATATATGTATTTATGTCCTGGGTGGCAGGTAAAATGTATTTATTACTGTAGATCTTGGACAGAAAGTTGGAAAACACACAGCATTGGTGTACTCCAGTCCTGATTTAGGTATTAAGTCATCTTGGCAGGTGGGAACCTTTTTAGGCTGGTGTTTTGTTATTTTCCCACCCATTCTTTTTCCATCTCCCCTAAATTGGATCCATTTAGGCCTGGCGGGGTAGCTCAGTTGCTTAGAGCATTGTCCCAATACGCGAAGGTTGTAGGTTCAATCGTCAGTCAGGGCACATGCAAGAAACAACCAATGAATGCATAAATAAAACAAACCAATGTTTCTCTCTTCTTCCACTCTCTCTCTAAAATCAATAAATAAAAAATTCTAAAAAATAAAGTGGATCCATTTATCTTCCCTCCCTCAGGCTTCAGGCCTATTTCTACACCCTTCTGTGTTTGAAGAAGAATTGGGCGGAACTAGTTGTGAGTCATAGTTTTGGCCAACAGTGTTGTGCCTCTCCTTACAACCTCCTGCTCCCCATCTACTGAGATAAAGTCCACTACTCCAAAGATCACCCCACTCCTTCTCATGTGTCTGAATTTGCTTTTGCCTTAGTTTCTATTCCATGTTCTTAATTCACCATCATCTCTAACCCACACCTCCATCCCCACCCCAGATTTAGTTCTCTTGCCTGCCTCTTTCCTCAAATAGTAGCTCAGTCCTGGGGGCTATCTTTGTGCCCATGGGAAGACTCCAATGCCAGTTTTGTCTCTGGACTTTATAATCTACAGTTTACTCTGCTCCACCCCCCAGTTGGACACCTACCAGGCTGCAATGTAATCTAGGGTCTAAGGTACCATGTGGTATGAGACATCCCATTTACTGAATAACTTCCAGCCACTTAAATAGTGGAGGAAAAGATGTATTTCAGATCTTTTTGTCTCAGGTCCAGTTTCTTGATTCATGTGCCCTTTTCCTTTTACTCACGTCTTTTAAGGGTCTTTCTGAGGGCTTTGCCTACTACCTTGTCTAGTGGAACAGACACTGTGTATGAATAGGTGCAGCCCTGTCTAGAATCTCTAGTTGTATCAGTTCCTTACTGCATAACATGCAACACCCTTTTCCCATCCTTTATCAGTCTATTTACTGTTTTGGGGGTTTTTTTCTGTCCCTCTCTCCAACCTTGCTTCTCAAGCAGGAAAGAACTACATGACACCTACTCAGTCTAATCTATCCATTCCCACCTTTAACTTACCTGTTAGGTTTCCAGAGCAGCTTTTCTACTACTTTCTGAATTTGTCTAATTCTCTTGCTATTTTGTAAGGCCCTCCACCCCATCACCAGAATTCTGCCTGTGTGAAAGCTTTCAGAACAAGTCCTGGATTGAGTGAGAGGTTACCTTATGACTTTTATAATCTTGTTCACTTCTTTCTTTTTTTTTTTTTTAATTTAAGAAAGTCAGCCCTGTCTGGTGTGGCTCAGTGGATTGAGTGCTGGCCTGCAAACCAAAGGGTCGCTGGTTTGAATCCCAGTCAGGGCACATGCCTGGGTTACAGGCCAGGTCCCCAGTTGAGGATGTACAAGAGGCAACCACACATTGATGTTTCTATCTCTCACTCTCTCCCTCCTTTCCCCTCTCTCTAAAAATGAATAAATAAAATTAAAAAAAAAAGAAAGTCAAGTTTTCTGTTATTAATCCTCACCAGAGGATATATTTATTGATGAGAGAGAGAGAGAAAGAAACATTGATGTGAGAAAAACATTGATTGGTTGCCTCTCAAATGTGCCCCAGCCAGGCACTGAACCCGCAACCTAGGTATGTGCCCTGACCGAGAATCAAACCCCATGACCTTTCAGTTTACTGGATGACGCTCCAGCCAACTAAGCCACACATTCAGAGTTTATTCAGTTTTTTAGTGTATGTTTCTATGGTATCAGCTGCCCAACCTCTGACAGTGTAGCGTAATGATAGTGAAAGACTGTGGTCTCTAGAACCACGCAGCCTGGGACGAAATCTGAATCTGCTTTAGAGTACCCCCGTGGCCTTGAGCACATTACTTACTCTTTCTGTGTTTTGTTTTCTCAACAGGGATGTAAGGATTAAATGAGTTAACATGTGCAAAGTGCTTAAAATAGTGCCTGGCACATGTTAAGTACCTAATAAGTACGTTAAGTACCTCACAGGCTTATTATCAAACTGAACCCCCCAGGCTGTGAACTGCACCTATCCATCAGTGGTTGGGCCTATGTGTTTCAAATAGCCTGTAATCCTAACAGCAACAATAAAGCATCATTTTAACGGCCTTATATGTGTTACTAACTCGCTTTACTCTTCATAGCAACTCTTTGATGCAGGAATTATTGCTCTCTCTATTACATATAAGAAAATTGGGGTTAAGTAACTTGCATAAAGATACAATAAATAATAAGCAGGGACTTAAACCTATATCTCTTGGCTCTATCAATTCTTGGTGTATTCTATATACTACCTATGAGTATAGTTCTGACTTTGCTGTTAACTAGTTTTGTATTTTTAGGCAAATCATTTAGTTGAGGAACTGATTGACTACACAAGCATCTTGTAGGAATAAATGATTGGGTTGAACAGGCATATGCTTAATTTTTGAGACTCTGGGATTCTGGATTATATTATAGAGGTTATGTATGGAAAACCTAAAATATTGAGTTGGCCAAAAGTTTTTTGGTTTTTTTCCCTACAATGGCTCTAGTACCACTTAGTTGTCTTTAACTTCATTCAAAACAATTTTGTTAGATTGTATTGTGACAGCTGTCGCATTGACATGCATTAAAAAAAAATTTATCAAAACTGATGAATTTTTGTGTAGCCATTTTAATATTGAGGATGGAAGAATATATGCAACATTTTTGGCACATTATGCTTTATTATTTCAAGAAAGGTAAAAACACAACTGAAACGCCAAAAAAAAAAATTGTGCAGTAGTGGAGAAGGTGCTGTGACTGATCAAATGTGTGAAAAATGGTTTGTGAAGTTTTGTGCTGGAGAATGCTTCACAGTCAGTTAGACCAGTTGAAGTTGATAGAGATCAAATTGAGATGTTGATTGAGAACAGTCAGTGTTATACCATGCTGGAGATAGCCAGTATACTCAAAATACCCAAATCAGTAAAGTTATTGGTAAAAATGAAAAATGTGTCTTTTATTTTATGGAAGAAACTATATGAACTTTTTGGCCAACTTAATGTATTCTTGGGAGGAGGAGACGGGAACTGACATACTCATTAGGCTAAGTACTATCTGTAGTATTATCATCTTTCATCATAGATGGGGACACTAGGCTAACAGCAATCAAGTGATATCCTTCACTCATAGCATAAGTTGGAGGGCCAGACTTTGAACTGATTTTGGCTGATTCCTAAGCCTGTTCACTTGATAATACACAATGCTACATTAGAATTTCGAAAGACCATTGAACCTGCTGACCAATTTCTCAACTCTGAACTATTTGCTGACCTTGAATTTTTTGATAAAACCAGTGCTTGTATAAATAATGCCTGATGGCCCAGGTGAGCAGTTTTACGTGACAACTCTCAGCAGTGGCCATTGGTGAGGCAGCTGTACATGGGATGATCAGTCTTCCACAAGCACCTTGATCCCTTCGCCTTCATAGGAAACGTCGGTCTTACTAAGAGCCTGTTTCATACAAAGTCCTTAGGAAAATAACTTTTAGATACAGCTCATAGTCTTATGGGCTTCATGGTTGAGCGATTCATTTCTTTACTGGCATGTTTGTTTCTTTTTTCCTAGGTACTTTTAAATTCAATACGGATGCTTCTGAGTTCATTCCTCAGGAGAGAAAAAATTCTGGTCTAAATTGTGGGAGTCAGAGAAGACTAGATTCTAATAGGATTGGTAGGAGAAATTACAATTCACCACCTCCATGTCACCTCTCCAGGCAAGTCCCTTATGATGAGATTTCTGCTGTTCATCAGCACAGTTATTCTTCAGGAAGCAAGCCTAAGAGTCAACAGACTTCTTTCCAATCATCTGCTTCTAATAAATCACTAAAGAGCCTTCAGAATCAACCTGGACAGAAATTGAGGAGTGAAAAGCAGCATATCAGAGTAAAGAGAGTACAGAGTCTCACTGACCAGATCTCAGATGCAGCTGCCTTAGAAAGTGTGGCCAGATCAGAGAGTGGGACAAAGCCCAGAGAGTATAGCCCTGCTGAAAGTGAGAAGGAAATTGTTGGCGCAGATCCCAGGGGAGCAAAACCCAAAAAAGCAACCCAGTTTGTATACAGCTATGGCAGAGGACCAAAAGTCAAGGGGAAACTCAAATGTGAGTGGGGTAACAGAATGACTCCCAAACCGGAGGATGCCGGACCTGAAAATTCCAAGCCTGTGGGGGTTATCCAACCTGACTCCTCAGATGTACCCTTTAGAAAAGGAGTACTGGATGGGTCTGGGGCCCGACGCAACGAGCAGAGAAGACACCCACAGAAAAGGCCTCCCTGGGAAGTGGAGGGGGCCAGGCCACGCCCAGGCAGGAATCCACCAAAACAGGAAGGCCAACGGCATGCAAATGCAGGACCCAGAAACAACATGGCACCTATTCCAAAGGATAATCTTAATGAAAGACCAGCAAAATCGGTCTGTGACAATGGGAACTTGGCTGTCGTCAACAAGTCTTCCAGAAGGGTTAACCTGGAGAAATGTGCTGTAAGGAGGCAGGATTCTCCAGTAGCATCTTTCCACCGAGGCAAACAGAACCCCGTGCTAAAGAATGTGGAGACACACACAGGTAAATCTACTAGATGGGTGGAGATATTTTGTTTCTCTGATATTAAGTTTTTGAATCGGTAATATAGTCACACAATTTAGAAACCAGGAAGTATAAAAAGGTACACAGCGAAAAGTCTTTTCCTGTCCTTGTTCATCATCTGCCTGGGTTCTGCCACCACCCTCTCCCCTCCCCAAGTAGGTGACCTTTTACTTAGTTTTCATATCATAAGCAAATACAAATAAGGGATTTTTTTTTCTTAACAAATATGGAATTTTGTAAGGACTTTGAAAAAAATGCATATATAGGAGGTATAGATGTTTGGTAGCAAGATTTTTTTTGAATGGTGACAAAGCGCAAATAGGGGATGGTAACATCTCCACTGGCTTTCCTGGTTCCAGCCTGCATCATCCTTTGTCGGCTCATCTGCAAGGGTTCCTGACTAGTCTCACCATTTCCATTCTCTCTCAGTTCATCACTTACACCAGTATCAGCCAGCGATCTTTCTAAAAAACATTGAATTATGTCACCCCACACTGCCACCCCCCGCTTAATTTTGTTCACTTTTTCTCATCACCCGTAGATTCAGGCTTCTGCCCTGCCTAACAGCCCCATCTTCCACTGCATCAGTCCCCACCAAATTTAATTCCCCGGACTGTATACCATTTTACCTTTCTATGCTGTTGCGTATGTGCTCCCTCTGTCTAGAATGTCTACCACTCAGCTCACTGGTGAATTTCTACACATTTTTCAAAAGCTAGTTTAGTCACTTCCCAGGAAACCTTTTCTCACCTCTACAGATAGAATTACACTTTCCAGTCCTGTCATATGTCTTTCCCTTACTTATACTCTTACATGCTTCTATTATAACAGTTATGCTGGAAGCCATCATTTGTTTATGTGTCAGTGCCCTCCACTAATGTATAAGCTCCTTGAAAGCAGAGACTGTATCTTTATTCTCATTTTTATATCCCTATTGTCTAACGCAGCTCTTAAAATATAGTAGGTACCTGATTCTGACTGTTAAAAGCTCTTCCCTACGTTGAACTGAAAACTTCCTTCCTATAAATGCTTTCTATCCTCTGGTTCAAGATTTGGCCTCTAGAGCCACATAGCAACTAGTCTCTCTCCTCAGTTTCCCTCCCCCTCATTGCAGATCAGCTTCTTGTGATATTTGAAGTCACTTCTCATTTTTCCCTGAGGATATATTTCATCTAGGCTAAATAACTTAATTCTGTTAGCTCTTCCTCATGGACCCTCACATTCTGGTTTCCTTCCAGATTAATGTGACATATAGCGTAACACATAAAGCTACCACCTGCCCATACCTGTTTTTACACTGCCCTATAGTTCTTCTAGTTCTTATATACTTCACCAGGCAGTACTTCTTGGGAGTTCAGCTTGTGTGTGGACCTAAGCAGTATTGTTATACCAGAGTTGTTTATGAAATCTTAAGACTGGGTAATGGTTTCCTATCGCTTCATAATGAATTACCACAAATGTAGTGGCTTAAGGTAACACGAGTTTATCATGTCACAGCTTCTATGGATCAGGAGTCTGGATACATTTTAGCTGAATTCTCCACTCGGGGTCTCACAGGACTGAAATTGGCCAGGAATGCAGTTTCATCTGAGGTATTGGACCCTCATTCATGCTCACTGGTTGTTGGTAGAATATAGTTCCATATTTTTGTACGACTGAGGACCCCATTTTCTTCCTGGCTATTGCTTGGGGGTCACTTTCAGTTCCTAGAGGCCACCCACAATTCCTACTGCCTGGGCCATCTTCACAATTTGGTAGTTTGCTTCCTTATGGCCTGTAGGAAAGCACCTGCCATAGATTCTTCAAACCTGTCTGACCTCTGTCTCTGATCTCTAGACCCCCTTAAAGGGGTTCACCTGATTAGATTAGCCCACCTATACTCAAAGGGAGGAGATTATACAGGACGTGCATACACTGGGGGTGGGACTCTCGGAGGCCATCTTAGAGTTCTGCCTAACTCTAGATCACATCTCTCTTGGCCTCACATCCCCACATATTCTTGCGAAGACTTTATTCATACATACTGAGTACATGCTATGTATCAAGCACTGGTCTAGGTACTAGGAATACAATGCTGATGGGGTTTACATTCTGGTAGGGAAGACAGGCAGAAAGTACTCACGTTTTTAGTATGTTAAGTGGGTAATAAGCTAAAAAAATATAAAGCAGGTTAAGAGGACTGAGTAATGGGGGCACTAGTTTGTATAGGTTGGTTGGTCTATTTGATGAGGAGACATTTGAAGAGACCAGAGGGAAGGGCAGGAGTGCACCCGGTGGCTCTCTGGAGAAGAGCATTCTAGGCAGAGGGAGAAACAGGCTTAGACTCAAGTGGAAGGTCAGCATTGTGAGCAATGAATGGGGTGGGTGGGAGAGAAGGTCAGAGATCACATGGGCTGGATTATGTGAGGCTCTTAGATTTGGTTCTAAGTAAGAAGGTGAGAAGCAGCTGGTTTGGGAAGAGGAGTGGCATGATCTTATTAGCATTCTAAAATGAGCATTCATCCTACTATGTGGAGAATAGGCTATAAGGAAGTAAGGGGACAAGTTAGGAGGCTGTTGCAATAATTCAGGTAGTTGATGATGAAGACTTGGACTAGGGTAGTAGTGGTGGAAGAGGTAAGAAACCTTTTCTAAATCACTCTTATATCTTTGTTTCAAAATCCTTGTTTCATTGAACCTAATGCCACATCACCTTTTAGCTACATCACCTGCCATATCTTATCATTTATTAGTCTCCAGATCTCCCAGCCCTCATTTATTAATGTGTGTAGCCTATAGCTTTTCTCTACCACAGTAGTTCTCACAGTGTAATTCCAGACCAGCGTCTATCAGTAACACTTGGGAACTTGTTAGAAAAGCATGTTCTTGGGCCTTCCCTCAGATTTATTAAATTCTGGGAATGGGGCCCAGCAGTCTTGGCTTTTAATAGGCCTCCACCTCCAGGTGACTCTAATGCATGCTTAAATTTGAGAACTGATTTACCATAAATCCTGCTGTTATTCTGGGTGACTTGATTGATCATATGCATTGTGCCATCTTCAAGTTTTTTGATCTTATTAACCACAGGACTTTCGCCTTCATTCCATCTCCATACCCACTACCAGGGAAATAACTCTGGGCATGCCCCTTCCCTGAATCTTAAAGTCCACTTTCTGACCATAAATTCCTGTCCTTTTGGCTCCCTCAGTTTCTTCCATGCGCTACCAGTTTTGCCAGCCTCCTACCCATCTTCTCTAAGGCAGGCTTTATTGTACGTCATTTGAAGGATCATCCTACTGGCAAGCCGTTTGGCAGAATCCCATCCCTGGTGCAATTTACCTTTTCTCCTCCAAATCTGGGTAACAGAATGCTGTTCCAGGTAATCATGTAATAGTTCAGATTTGGTGCTGCTGCAATTCATTTGCCTTCTTACAGAAGCCTTCCTGATCACCTTGTGTAAAACATTCCTTCACTGTTAGCATTCCCTATCCTCCTTTTCTGGTTTATTTTTCTCCATAGCACTTATCACTATTTGATGATGCTACATGTTTTCATAATTTATTTGTTTATTGTTTACCTTCCCCCACTAGATAATAAGCTTCATAGGGCAGAAGATTTTTGTCTGTTTTGTTCGCTAAATGTCTAAAGAGTGCCTGGCACATAGTAAGTTTTTAGCAAATATTTTTGAATAGTGGTCTCCAGTCTCAATTGGCTTTCAGTACTGCCCATTTTCTCTTTTATGACCTTGGTCAGGGGTCCTTCCATTTTCATTTAAGACTTCTCCAAAGTTTCTCCACAGTTAAACCTTTCCTTCCTTCCTCCCTTCCTTCCTCCCTCCCTGCCTCTCTTCCTCCCTTCCTTCTTTCCTTTCTTCCTTCCTTTGTTTTAAAATTTATTTATCCATAGAGAGAGGGGAGAGGGAGAGAGAGAAAGAAACATCAATGTGCAAGAGAGACAGTTGTCTCTGGCATGCTCCTAAGTGGGGACCTGGCCTGCAATGCAGGCATGTGCCATTACTGGGAATCAAGCTGGCGACTTTTTGGTTCTCAGGCTAGTGTTCAATCCACTGACCACATAAGCCAGGGCCACTCTTAAACCTTTTTAACATTCATATCCCGCAATCCTTTACCATTCACCTCCCTCGGTCTCAGTAGACTTCATGCCGACGACCTCACTGAGAAAGGGGGGATCATCAGATACAGTTTTCTCAACTTTTTGCTCCCTTTACTTATGCCCATCCTTCCTTTTCTTTTATTCTGAGATCTCCTATTTTTCCTTCTGTCAGTCTTTTCACATTTACTATTCCAAGTTCTCAGGCTGAAGATTTTCCCAGGGGTATTCTACCCTCTGCAAGAAAAACTTATCCTGTTCCATGACCTCCTGGTAATGTTGCCTTTCTTTTCATTCCAGTCAAATCAAGAGTTTTTGCTTTTTTTTTCCTTTTCCCTGTTTCAATTCACTTCCCAGTCCTCTGCCATCATCGCCACCTAACTAGGAGAGCTACTGGTAAGGTCATGAATGGCTTCCTATTTGCCACATCCAGTGAAAAGATGTATTTCATTCCTTATTATCCTGGACTTCCCTTTGAGTTTGATGCAAAGATGAACTATTTTTTAAAATGTAACTTCCTTGATTCATTTATTCCTTTATTTAGTCATTTGACAAATATTTATTGAGCACTTAGTATATGTGGAAATACTACAGTGAGCAAGACAGAGAAAAAAACCCTGTCCCTGTGTCACAGAGCATACCGTCTTGGGGTGTTCGTATATTTTTTTTTTTGTCATTAAATTGGACAAGGTAATCTTAGGAGAGCTAATATGACCAAAGGGTTAAAATGTGAGCTTTTGAGTCATATAGCAGTGAATTTGAATTTTGGCTTTTTAATTTCTAGTAGCTTTGTGATCTTGGATAAATAAGTTTTAGTGTCTTCATCTATAAAATGGTACCCAGTGAAGAGAATTACACAATACGTGTAAAGTGCTTTAGCGCAGCACTGGGCTGGGTGTGTTTAAGATTATTTATTTTATTCTTATAACCTATTTGGATCTGAAAACAAAGAAAATAATATGTTGAAGTAAATGCTAAAAGTATGGACTCAAAAAATTAAAAAAAAATACACACACACACACACACACATATTCAGCTTTGAGAGCATCTGACTATACTTGGGACAGAATGTCTTTGCTGAGATTACATTTGAGGAAAAAGTCCAGAAGTGGGTGAAGGTATTGAGGAATAAATCTGGGCGGATTCTTCTTTTTCTTTTTTTTTAAAAAATTTTATTTATTACTAGAAAGAGGGAAAGGGAGGGAGAAAGAGAGGGAGGGAAACATTGATGTGTGAGAGATATATCAACCAGTTACGTCTCACACACACCCCCAGCTGGGGACCTGGCCCTCAACCCAGGCTGGGGATTGAACTAGCAGCCTTTTGGTTTGTAGGCTAATGCTCATTCCACCGAGCCACGCCAGCCAGAGCTAAATCTGGGAGGATTCTTAAGATGCTATACACTGTTCTCTCTCACCAGATGACATGCTTATGGAGCCAGAGACTGTTCCTCCTTCAGTCTAGTAATCCTACTATGAGACTTGTGGTAGGCACTAAGCATATCTTTATTGAGTGAATCAACTAAAGACTTTCAGGGCAACTACTAGAACCGTCTCACCACCATGGGTTGTTAGAACCTGTCTAGGCTTTGGTTTCTTGCAGCTAACCATTCAGGAGCCCTTCCTTAGCCTGAATCCATGGATCTGGTAGATCCAGACCTTCCCAGATTGAGGAGAACAAGGCAAGGCCCTGCAGCGCTCTGCTTCTGTGATGCACAAGCTGTATGATGAGGAGCGTTTGGCTATTTTAGTCTGTTTTCTGGGCAGCTTCTTAGGAATGTTTCATCAATTGTGAGAATTTCCACCTGAATGTCTATTTCCTAAGTCCTCTACCTCAGCATATTCCTGCCTTTTCTTGGCCTTAATCTCTGAACAAACACCTTACTCAGAATCAGACATCCTTTAAAATCTCTGTGTTTGGGTTCACATGCCCTGCTGATCCTTGTTTGACTACAGTAAGGATTGTTTTCCTCTGTATTAATTTATCTGGTTTGTTTTTTAAACAGGTTCTCTAGTTGAACAGCTAACTACAGAAAAATATGAGTGCATGGTGTGCTGTGAATTGGTTCGTGTCACGGCTCCAGTCTGGAGTTGCCAGAGCTGTTACCATGTGTTTCATTTGAACTGCATAAAAAAGTGGGCAAGGTCTCCAGCCTCTCAAGCAGGTCAGTCGTTTCTCTCTTCTGAGTGGTTATTCTCACCCATGTGATATGTTCAGCTTTTGAAACGCTATTTAATTCTTCTTCAATATTTTATCTGCAGGGAGTGTATGTTGTCTCAATCACATATTTCTGATGGCCAGTATTAAGCTATAGATCTCAAACCAGCTATATAACAATAATTATAATATAACAATATTAAAATATATTTAAGGTAGAATAAAATCAGTCATGTTTACTGAAAGTGGTAATTTTATCTAAGTAACAACTATAGAAAACATTTCTTGTATAGTTTGCTTTGGAAAATTTATAGAAAGTTACTTGGAATGTTGACATTTGTTTTGCCTTTAATAAATCTTCTCCATAGTATTTTGTGGTCTTTCTCAAAAGACATTAATATTTATGGATAATGCAAATGTTGATAATATGCTTTTGGAACTGTGTCTCTTCCAATTTAAGATATCTGGGTTTTCTTGCATGTACTCAAATATTTTATCCTTTTCTTTTTTTTTCTCAAGCCAGATTCAGATAATGTTTACCTTGACATTAGAAATACTGTATAGGCCCTGGCCAGATAGGTCACTTGGTTGGAGTGTTGTCCCAATACGCCAAGGTTGTGGGTTCAATCTCCGGTCACATACAAGAAACAACCAAAGAATGCATAAATAAGTGGAACAGCAAATCAATGTTTCTCTCTAAAATTGATTTTTAAAAATTAAAAATACTGTAATAGAACATTGTGACTACAAAATGAACTGAAAATTATGGGACGGAGGTGTTAGCTAACACTATTGTGATCATATTGTATTATGTAAATGCATCAAAGCAACATGTTGTGCACCTTAAACTCACATAATGTTATGTGTCATTTATATATCAATTTTAAAACAAAATGGATACCCATTTGATTCATTGTATCTAAAGTTCTTATCAGTGTACTGTAAATGCAATATTTAAGCAAAGCATTCAGTATTGTGAATTTGTTTCTTTAATGTCTATATCCTTAGCATGGAAATTACCACCACTGTGTCAATGTTATGGCTTTCTATAGGTTTAAATTTTGTTTAATTACGTGTGTTTTTCAAAGGGAATTACTTTGGTTTTCTCCCCTTTTTTTTGGCAGATGGCCAGAGTGGTTGGAGGTGCCCTGCCTGTCAGAATGTTTCTGCGCATGTTCCTAATACCTACACTTGTTTCTGCGGTAAGTTTTGTTTTGTTTTGTTTTGTTTTGTTTCGTTTTGTTTTTTGCATACATTGGAGTTTTTCTACTTCATGCATTGTACTTCAGTTCCCAGTCCAGGAGAAGTGGTCTGCTGGGCATGTTTTAGAAGTTACTAACAAGACTTCAAAGTTACAAGGGACTACAAGACATCATATGCATGTGTCCATCACACAGCTAGAGTCGCTGGCCTTTGTGCTCTTGGCTGGCTGCTCTGGAGAAGAGCCTTTGCATCATGCCTGCCAGGCTTACGCTACTTCCGAGCTGTGGTGCTGGTCTCCTTGGTGTTCACTTTTAGACCAGAGCTGATCAGATGGCAAAGCCAGGTGTAGACATGGGCTTCTTCTCACTTTTAGCTGTATTGTAACAGCTTTGATATTCTAGATTTGAGCAGCATAAGGAAAGAGCAGTATTAAAGTATATTTTATTTTAACTGAAGCAATCAGTCGTTGATGTTTATAATAGAGATTTTCTACACTTAATGTTACTAACTGTATCCTTGTGCCTTCCCTCTTTATGGAATACTTCTCCTTGTTTTTAAATATCTCAGTTCCCCTGTGTGTTAGGAAAAAACTTTCTATGATCAAGATGCTCATTCCAGCTGCTAGCCTATTTTTCACATGTCTTCTGTCCCCCACTTTGCTACCTATCTTTTAACAACTAGCCTTTACCTTGTGGTTGTTGATTTTTCAAATTTTGTTTCTTAAGCATGTCTGCCTTCTTGAACTGTTGCATTTTTGTTTCTGTCCTTGTTCCCTTCACTGAAACTGTATTCAGAAGTCATCAAATGACCCCTTCCTGAACAAATTCAGGGCTGATTTGTAAGTTCTTAATCTTTCTGGCAGCACAACAGCCCTTGACACTTTTGACTATGCCTTCTTGAAATGACTAGCTCTTCCTGTTCCTCTCTGCAAACTCTCCTTATTTTTCTAACTAATTGGTTCATATTTTTCCTTTCCTATTACCTAACTAGCAGCTTTCACTAAGACAGTCATTGGCCATCAGCTCTTTAACTTCTAGAGTCAGTCTCTTGATGAATTTATCAACTATCTAAAATGCTCTTCCCCTTCTTTTCTTTAACTTTTCTTTTCATCAACTATATCATTCAAGATCTGATCCCAAACATTCTCTTCCAAAGAAAGCTTCCTTTTATTTCTTTTTTTTTAAAAAAAAACTTTTATTTATTGATTTTCAGAGAGAGAGAGAGAGGAAGGAGGGGGAGAGAAAAAGAAACATCCATTTGTTGTTCTACTTATTTATGCATTCATTTGTTGATTCTTGTATGTGCCCTGACCAGGGATCAAACCCCCAACCTTGGTGTGTTGGGCAATGCTCTAATCAACTGAGCTACCTGGCCAGGATGGAAGCTTCCTTTTCTTATTCTCTCCCCAACTTTAGCTACTCTTTTATTCAGAATCTACTGGTCTTACATGTTTTATTGCCAAAACCTGAGCTCTATTAGATACCAAATTAGTATTAACTGAAGGATTGAATATTCTAGAATGTACTTCTAGAAAGGCAGCATTAAACTGGAAGCAAGAGAGCAATGGAAAATTGGACAAACAGGACCAATACTAAGGCTTGATTACCTTACAGGACTTTTTTTTTTTATCCTCACCTGGGGACATCTTTTCATTGCTCTTAAAGAGAAAGGTAGAAAAATATCAGTGTGATAGAGGAGCATCAATCGACCATGTCCTGCACAAGCCCATACCAGGGATCATACATGCCCAGACTGGGGATCAAACCTGCAACCCAGTCACGTGCCCTAGCTGTGAACCGAACCCACAACCCTTTGGTTACAGGATGATGCTCCAACCAACTGAGCCACACCAGCAGGGCTTAAAGGACTTTTAAACATAAAGTACCATAATGGAATTAAAGTTCTTATTGAAGCTCTCACTGATAAAATTAGACATGAGACCTATGAAGGTAGAAGAAAGCAGGTGAAGGTCAAGATGATCGGAGTAGGGTAAAATGCTATGGGAATGCAAATAATGCCCTTATTTTACATTCTGCCCCACTCTTCTTCCAGAAGGCCATTAATTTAATGTACTTTATCGAGAACTTACTAATGTACCAGGCACCATGAAGAAACAGGAATTAAGACTATTCAAGGTTACAGTCTAAGAGTTAAGACAAATTTAACTTGATATTCTACTAGAAGTATAAAGTTAGGGGAGATCTTTGAGGTGAACTATGACTTCTAAACTAGGTAAAATGTTGGCAAAATGGAATATTTGTTGAAGATTTGTTGAAGAGCACAAGTAGAAGTTAAAAACCAGGAAGGCTTAGAATCTACTGGGATAAGAGACAGTCATCTCATTATGGAGCCCAGGATCTATGATGGTGGAGGAGAGGGAGGTGACTGGAAAGGTGGGGTGGACTTTTTGATGCCAGGCTTAGATGTTGGGACCTCATTTGGCTGGCTGTGGGAAGCCACTGGGGGCGTCAGTGTGATTCTTTATTAAGCTTAGTCTCATGGCAGTGGCTGGAGCATTTTGGGACCTAAATAGTTTGGAGTCTTGCACTAACCCAGGTGAAGAATAATAAAAGTCTGTAATTGGTGTTAGAGTGGGACAGAAAGGGCAGAGTATGAGATCTCAAAGGTAAACAGGAATTAATAGCAGTTACAAAGGGAGGAACCTAAATGTGGTTCCAAAGTTTCATGCTTTTGGAAATGTGGTACCAAGAACAAAAAAGGACAGGTCAGGAAAACCAGCTTTGGTGGGGATGGTGAGTTCAGTTTAGAGATGTTGGAAGAGTAAGACATTCAGTGAGAGGTGTTCAACGAGCAGTTAGGAGTATTTGAAGAGAGTTCAAGACTTAGTATTGATAGTCGTTGCAGTTGAGAGTAGTAGATGAGACCTGAGTGGGGAAGGAGTAGGAAAAGCGAGGGAAAAAACCCTATCATTTAGAGTCAGGAAAAAGAGTTGGAGCCATTGAAACATGGCTGGGTAAAATCAGGTCACCGTGTTGGAGCAAGAAAACACAGAGGCAAGGAAGCTTTTCCAACAGTCTGGAGATTCCAGCCAGTGGAGAGGCTAGAGCAGGGTTAGAGGGAAAGACGAGGTGACATAACTCAGGTAGGACAATTAACAAGATTTGGTGATAAAGTAGAACATCCAAAGGAAAAGGGAGGATGACTAATCGTCGTGTGACAGTGATGGCGTTGCAGACAGAAATAGGGAGCATTTAAGAGGGGGAGGGGTGTAAGAGGGAAGATGCTAACTTTGGCCCTAGATGTAGGCAGTTTGAGGAGACTGAAACCCCAAGCACAGATGTTCACAGACAGTTGAACAAGTAAGATTGAAACAGGATTCAGGGCAATGCAGAAAATTGGCCTTTAGGTGTACTAAACCTCACAACATGAAAAAGATGTTCTTCTTTAAAGATTTTATTTACTTATTTTTAGAGAGAGGGAATGGGAAGGAGAAAAAGGGAGGGAAATATGACGTGTGAGAGAAACATCAATTGGATGCCTCTTGTGCACCCCCCAACCAGGGACCTGGCCCACAACCCAGGCATGTGCCCTGACAGGGAATCAAACAAGTGACCTTTTTGCTTGGTGGGATGACTCCCAACCCACTGAGCCACACCAGTCAGGGCATGAATAAGAGTTTTGAAAGAGACAGGTTAGAGAGAAAAGCAGAGCCCAAGGACTGGGGGCAGACTCTCACTTGGTGTATAAATTGTCAAAGTAAAAAAGAATTCCTCTAGGGCAAGGAGGAGTCCTGTGCCTCAGTTTTACTCTTCCTGCCTGTAGGCTAAGTTGATGGAAGATGCTTACTAAGGATTTACAGAGTGACATTGATTATAAAAATACAGCCCTTTCATGCCTGCTTTATAGTGTTAGAAGAGGTGAGTTCTTACTATACATGGGACTTAGGTCCTTTCCATCTCTTACTGCTTCTTTTTCCCCCCATTCCTCTCTTCCCTTATTTCCTCTTTCTGATCCTTACAGCAGATATTCCCGTGTCAATTCAAGGGCCCATCTACAGAGGCTTATTTTGTAGGTTTTTTTCTTGGATTAAATGTGTCTGTTAGTCAAAGTGGCATTTTTATAAGTACAAACAGCTTTTTATCTATCTTTTCCAGGTAATTCATAATTTTAGATGTATCATATTCAGTGAAGCTTTTGATGAATAGCATTACATTCAACTTTTTATTTTAGGATATGGAATAATGTGTTTGTTGAACTAATGAAAATCACACTGTTGTTCCATGCTGTCTAGCTATATTGTATTATTGTATTAAAGTCTAGGATGCATTTGAAGTTTGTACCATTGACTGTTTGATCTGATATGTTTTAGGCAAGGTAAAGAATCCTGAATGGAGCAGAAATGAAATTCCACATAGTTGTGGAGAGGTTTGTAGAAAGAAACAGCCTGGACAGGACTGCCCACATTCCTGTAACCTGTAAGTTGGAATGCTAGATCCCTGCGGAATTCCTGACGGACTCCCTTTGCTCATGGCTTTGAGTACACATCTGGTTAGCATGTAACAGGACAGGATAAAAGGCAATGTGGTATCGTTTACTGAGAACTTACTCTGTAGAAGTTAATTTACCTAGTCCTTAAAACAGCCCACTGATGTATAGATATTTGTCATCTCCATTTTACAGATGAGGCTCAGAAGGGCCAAATGTCTTGCCTAAGGTCATGGTGCTAGGACATGGTGAAGCTGGGATTTTTCAAAGCCAGTGCTCCTCTCACTATATTACGCTGCTGGCTTCTAAAACAAAATGTCTCCCGCTAATACTCAGATCCAAGAGAGTGTATAGGACTTCTTTTTGGGGAAAGACAGTTGTGTAGGGCCCTGTTGAGGAGTGTTTTTAGGGTGTGAATCCCTTCCCTACAATAAGTAGTGAGCTTTAGAATGTATCCAATCAGCTTCTAAATTATAAGATAAATGCACAATAATAAACAGTTGACCAGTTACAGATAAATTTCTACAAGATTTGACCTCAGAGCAAGGTTTAATTTCTGGATTTGAGTCACTTAACAGTTATGTGATGTTGGACAAGTTACTTAATTTCTCTGAGCCTGTAATATAATCATGATATGAGTGACTTATAATAGAGTTCTATGATTATTAAATGAATTGATACTCCTAAGAGGCTTGTACAGAGCTTGGCACATGGTAAGTGGTAAAAAAAAAAAAAGGTAATTCTTGCTTTTATTACCCAAATCTAAGAGTAAAACAGACATCAGTCTTATCTCAGTACTTCTCCATGCGGGGAGGTGGGGGGTAAATATTGGACCAAAGGTCTTGGTGATTAAGCTGTGGGATGGTGCTGGGGCGTTGTCAGTAGGGGGAAAGCTATTCAGACTGAACTAAACCGCACGGCCTGCCACCTTCTGGGCCATCAGCCCCTCCCCTTCCTTTGACTGCTTTCATGGGTCCTTCCTCAAAACCCAGGGACTCATCTATTTAAACTATTCCTCCCCCTCAGCTGGCATTTTAAGTAAACTCAGTAATAAGAAATTTATCCTTTGTATGGACTATTTTTCCAAAGCCTTCAGTAGGAATGGGCCCAGTTGTGACCATCAGAGAACATCAAATGCGATGTAGATCAGGTGATCAATGCCATGTCTGAAGGGGAAGGAGGCCATAAAGTTGGCTTTTTCGTGGTTCTGGAAATTCTACTCTTGATTTGGGAACTGACCTTTAACTCCTGTCAGGACCCTAGAGATTGCCATACCCCAGCAGCACCTTCCTTTTGAAAGAAAGCTTTGCATTTCTGTAATTTATACTTATCAGGACTGAAGACACACTTGCCCCTTCTTCTCTCCATCTTGGGTTCTTCTCATAGATTATAAAATTCTCCAGAGCAGTTTTCTCAACCCTGGCTACCCATTAGACTCATTTAGGGAGCATTTTTAAACACCAGTACCCAGACTCTACCTCAGAGCAATTGAATCAGAATTTCTGGGGGTTGGTCTGAGCATCTGTAGTGTTTAAAGCTGTCCGGGTGATTCTAAAATGTAGCCACTGTTGTGAACCACTGTGACGGTTTTAAAAACTTGAATTAAGTGCATGCTTCATGGATATTTGAAATAACCTGGAGTCATCCGCTCCTCACCAACAGTTTATCTATCAGTCTAAAGTTATTTAAATGTGCAGCCATGAAAACGGTTTCACCTGAAAGGTTTGAGGCATATCATGTGAAACACAATTATTGAATAATGATACTCATTTATAAAGACGCATGCTTACACTTATGTTTTCTGTGGGTTCTGTCAGAATGGGGCACATTAGAAGACTAGGCACTTGTTCCTTGGTTGATTTCAGTGTTTAAAGCTCATTGAAGAATTATCTGAACTAATTGAGAAGTCACATAAAAAAATCCAAGCAGGCTTTATAGGCACACCTGGTTGTTGTTGTTGTTGTTGTTTTAAGTTCTTACCCAAGGATATGTTTATTGATTTGAGAGAAAGAAAAAAGCATCAGTGTGAAAGAGAAACATCTGTTGGTCGTCTCCCATATCCACCCTGACCAGTGACTGAACCCACAACCTTCTGGTGTGCGGGAAGACCCTCCAACTGAGCCACCCAGCCAGGGCAGGCACACCTGGTTTTTATACCAAATTCAATTAACCTACTTGGTCAGTTAGACTTGGCTTGATTGACTTTTAATTCCCAAAGGACTGTTATTTTGCCATAATTCAGAAAGCCCCCAACCTCAAAAAAAAAGTGCTATTATAGAGCAGTTCCCACAGTGTTTTAAGTAGTGGTATTTCTGAACAGGTGTGTAATTTACTAGGGTGTCTCCTTTGAAGAAGGTGGTGTTTATTTGCATATGTAACTCCATTTTGTAATTCTTTTCCTTTGAGATATATATATAGAGAGATATATATATCTCTCTATATATATATCCCATAAAGAATATTCTGCTCAGAGATCTGATTCTGACTGTAGCATGTTGCTAAGCCGAGTCTTTCTGTAAGTCCTTCTCCCCTTTGTTCTCTCCCTGTTTTACCAGTTTGCCTCCCCTCACGTCAACCTTCTTTTCACTGTTCCCATCATTAGCCCATTGTTAGGTTATTATTTCACTAGCGAATGAGAAAATGTCTATACTTCTCATGGACATAGTAGATTTGAGCTCTATTATTTTGCTCAGGTTCTAAAGGACTATACTGGCCATCCTGCCGTTCACCTGAGTGGCAAGCAGTTTTTATACCCATGCACTGCACTGAGTGGGCCAAGGCCTTATTTGGAAATGTCTTCTCTATCGGACCCAAATAAAACCAGTATTTTGACTTGGGCTTTACTTTTTTGGTTAAACATTCTAATATGATAATGCTGTCAATTTTTTCTATATAAATACATTGTTATCTTTGTTTAAATAGTTTAATCAACTTTAGACGAACACTAAAGCATTTCAAAGTCAGTTCATTTGTTGCCATATTACAATGGGAGTCAGTTGGGGCAGCTTTGTTTGGGTTTGGTTTATAGGTATGATTTATTCATTCAAGTTTTTCTTTTTTAGTCTCTGCCATCCTGGACCTTGCCCACCCTGTCCTGCCTTTATGACTAAAACATGTGAATGTGGACGGACCAGGTAAAGTTAAAATTGCACTCTAAAGAAGACTTATTTTCCACATTGATGATTTATGTGTGCATTTCTGAAATAAAAGATTAGGTAAATAATCTGTCAGTGGTAATTTGCTACGCTGCCGCAATCCTGTTTTGCAATCTTGTAAGTCATTAAGAAGTTGTATGCACAGTGAGATTACTTATTGAGTAATAAGTAATCCCACAACCTTCTTAGGGATTTTTTTCTTACTCTCTCTCCTGGATGAATGAACCAGAAATTGAACCCAGGCCTTTTTAGGTCTGGAAGACAGGAACCATTTCCTTGTGGCTAGCACAGCATCTGGCGTCTAGGCGGTTTTCAGTGAATGTTGTTGAATGGAATAACAAGTGACCCCAGAGACTGCCCTCTTTATAATATAAGTTCTCCTGCATCACCAGTACAGGGATCAGTGATAACTGCGGAGTGTCTCTGAGGCCCAGTAAGAACACAAGAGGAGATGGGATCATGCAGATTTTCAGTAATATGCATTCGTTTAATGTTTATTGAACTTATGAGGGTAACAGTGTGGCCTGAGAGTCACATGCAATGACTCTGGGTCAGAAAGACCAGGTCAGATCTGGGCTCTGCCACTAAGTGTTGACTGGTTAAGTTGTTTGGTCTCATCGAGCCTTGTTCACTTATCGTAAAGTAGAAGTGATAGTGTTTTCCTCACAGGTTGATGTTAGCCATGATGCTGAGCACTGGAAGCTGATCATCTTAAGTACATAACAGTGACTTTTTTTAATTGATTTTTTTCTTTTTTAGAGAAGGGAGAGAAATACTGATGTGTTGTTCCACTTATTTATACATTTATTAGATTTTTTCTGTATGTGCCTTGTCCAGGGATTTAATCCACAACTTTGGTGTATTGGGACAATGCTCTAACCAACTGAGCTATCTGGCCAGGGCACATAACAGTGTGTGTGTTTGTTTTTTTTTAAAGATTTTATTTATTTATTTTTAGAAAAAGGGGAAGGAAGGGAGAAAGAGAGGAAGAGAAACATAGATGCACAAGAGAAACAGATTAGTTGCCTCTTGCACACCCCCAACTGGAGACCTGGCCCGCAACTCAGGCATGTGCCCTAGCTGGGAATTGAACTGGAAACTCTTTGCATTGCAGGCTGGTGCCCAGTGCACTGAGCCACACCAGCCAGGGCAACAGTGGCTTTTTAAAACAAAATATGTAGCTGATGTGGGAGTAGGGGATAGAATAAAATTATTCATGTGGGAGAGTAGACTCCAAGCTCTAAACCATTAACCTGGAAAGAGACCTGAAGACAATTATCTGAAAGCCCTAGGCTTGTATCCTTCTCTAGCTAATAACTCAGCAGAATCAAGATGTTTATTAGAACAAAGCTAGAATGATTTCCCCATCCTGAATCAAAGTCATGTACAGTGTGTTCTTAAGTATTATAGCTGGATAAAATGCCAGAGTGCCAGGTCCCTGGTGAATGCCATTGTGTTCATTCTGAGAATCTACATTATAACTGTACCTCCCCAACTTTCCTACTTCCATCTATAAGTTATCGTGGGAACTACAGGTACTTTCCTCGACTGCATGCTGCTTCATGGGAACACAGAGAAGAAATTGCATGTAAAAGAAACTTAGGGCCCTGGCTGGTGTGGCTCAGTGGATTCAGCACTGGCCTGCAAAGCAAAGGGTCACTGGTTCGATTCCTAGTCACGGCACATGCCTGGGTTGCAGGCCAGGTCCCCAGTGGGGGGCACATGAGAAGCAACCACACACTAATGTTTCTCTCCCTCTCTTCCCCTCTAAAAATAAATAAATAAAATCTTAAAAAAAACCCCAAACAAATAGCCTCTATTTTCTTTTTATATATATATTTTATTTATTATGCTGTTACAGTTGTTCCATTTTTTCCTCCCCTTTATTCCCCTCCACCCTGCACCCCCCTCCTACCAGGATGCCCTCTACCTCAGTTCATGTCTATTGGTCTTACATATAAGTTCTTTGGCTTCTCCATTTCCTATACTATTCTTAACCTCCCCCTGTCTGTTTTGTACCTACCATTAATGCTGCTTATTCCCTGTATCTTTTTCCTCATTCTCTCTCCTCCCCTCTGATAACCCTCCATGTGATCTCCATTTCTGTGATTCTTTTCCTGTTCTAATTGTCTGCTTAGTCTGTTTTTGCTTTTATTTTTTAGGTTCAGTTGTTGATAGTTATGTTTGTTGTCATTTTTACTGTCCATAGTTCTTAATCTTGCCTTTTTCTTAGATAAATTCCTTTAACATTTAATATAATAAGGGCTTGGTGATGATGAACTCCTTTAATTTTACTTTATCTGGGAAGCAGTTTTTCTGCCCTTCCATTCTATAGGATAGCTTTGCTGGATAGAGTAATCTTGAATGTAGGTCCTTGCCTTTCATGACTTGGAATACTTCCTACTAGCCCCTTCTTGCCTGCAAGGTTTCTTTTGAGAAATCATCTGATAGTCTTATGGGAACCCTTTTGTAGGTAACTTTCTCCTTTTCTTTTGTTACTTTTAAGATTCTCTCCTTATCTTTAATCTTGGGTAATGTAATTAGGATGAGCCTTGGTGTATGCTTCCTTGGGTCCAACTTCTTTGGGACTCTCTGAGCTTCCTAGAGCTCCTGAAAGTCTTGTTTCCTTTGCCAGATCGGGAAGTCTCCTTTCATTATTTTTTCAAATAAATTTTCAATTTCTTGCTTTTCCTCTTCTCCTTCTGGCACCCCTATGATTCGGATGTTGGAACATTTAAAGTCGTCCCAGGTTCCTAAGCCTCTCTTCATTTTTTTTGAATTCTTATTTCTTCATTCTGTTCTGCTTGAATGTTTATCTCTTCCTTCTGCTCCATTTTGTTGATTTGAGTCCTGGTTTTCTTCCCTTTACTGTTGGTTTCCTGTATATTTTTCTTCATTTCATTTGGCATGGCCTTCATTTTTTCCTCCATTTTGCGACCATTTTTGTGAGCATCCTGATTACCAGTGTTTTGAACTGTGCATCTGATTGGCTATCTCTTCATTGATTAGTTCTATTTTTGGAGCTTTGATCTGTTCTTTCATTTGGGCCATATTTCTTTGTCTCAGCACATCTCTTACATTGGAAGGGGTGGAGCCTGAGGTATTTGCCAGAGCAGGGGCAACCCAGGTCACTGTGTTGTGACGCTGTATGTGGTGGAGGGGTCAGAGAGGGAACAATGCTGTTTGCTCAGCTCTTGCCCCACTTCAGTTATTTCCCTCACTACCCAGAGCAAATTGGGCCCTTTTGGTGCTGATTCCTGGGTGGGTGAGTTTGTTTATGTTCTAGGACCCCATGGGTCTCTCCAGCGGACACTCCTGTGAAGCTGGGAGTTTCCCCCACTGCTGCATCCCCCCCATAGATTTTTACAGCCAGAGATTTTGAGGCTTTCTTTTCCTGCACTGGAACCCTAGGTTGCGCAGTCTGTCTTGCTTCCCAGCTGTTCCTCCCTGTTTATCTGCATATAAATGTGGGACCAGCCACCGCCTCTCCCACCAGTCCTCCAGCCACTGCCTTGTCACATGTCCTCTTTGCCCCAGCTGCCTGTCTCCACCCCTCCTACCGGTCTGGATGAATGTTTCTTCTTTAACTCCTTAGTTGTCAGACTTCTGTACAGTTTGATTTTCTGGCAGTTCTGGTTATTTTTTGTTTTTAAATTTGTTGTCCTTTTTTTTGGTTGTGCAAGGAGACAAAGTGTATCTATCTATGGCTCCATCTTGGCTGGAAGTCCTAGGAATAGCCTTTAGTTCCTCACTGGCCAGAAGATAGGGGACAGAGAAAGGCAGAATGGGAAATAAGGAAAGCAAAGGAGGAACAAGAAAAAAGTGGAGAAGGGGAGAGTAATTGAGGAAATAGGGATTGGAGGAGGGAAACAAAGAAAAAGTCATGGAAACAGGGCCAAGAGAAACGTTTAGTAGGCTTTGGGGCAGGGCTTGTGCTCTCGTAGTAGTTTAGCTAATTACAAACAGGAACTTAATGTCCAACATTAGACTAATGCTGTCTTTACATCTACTGTCTTTACAGGCACACAGTTCGCTGTGGTCAGGCTGTTTCAGTCCACTGTTCTAACCCATGTGAGAATGTTTTGAACTGTGGTCAGCACCACTGTGCTGAGCTGTGCCATGGGGGTCAGTGCCAGCCTTGTCGGATCATATTGAACCAAGGTAAGTGGTGAACACACCATCCAGCAAAACTTGTGTACTTTTCTGGAACCTTATTTATAGTTATCTTGATGACATGGATTCATCTCAAACCTGTAGTCATAAAGACTATTAGCTTTTGTACCTTGGGTAGAAAGAACTGGAGGTATATTAATGCTTAGATGGTTTTCATTATTTTTTTTTGCATAATACCAGTGTAGGTCATTGTTTTATAAAATTTGGACAATAGATTTTATTAATTTATTTATTTGAGGGAGGGAGGGAAGGAGGAAGGGAGAGGTAGAAACATTGATTTGTTGTTCCACTTATTTGTGCATTCATTGGTTGATGCTTGTATGTGCCTTGACCAGGGATCAAACCTGCAACTTTGGCATATTGGGACTATGCTCTTAACAACAGTGCTACATGGCCAGGGCTAGACAATAGATTTTAAAATGTCATTTAAAAGGAACTTCTTAGACAACTTTTAAAAGCAATTACTTGAAAAGGATCGAGAAAGTTCAAAATAATCTTGAAAAAATGTATGAAATTGACAGTTAAACTCCCTGATTCCAAAACTTACAAAGTTACAGTAATTATGACTGCAATTTTTGATGTAAAGAGAGACTACTAGGTCAATGGAGGAAAATAGAGTACAGAAATAGACCCACATACATACATTCAGTTGAATTTCAACCAGACTGTTAAGATAATTCAATGGTAAAAGGAGAGTCTTTTTATAAACGTTGCTAGAACAATGAACCTGAACCCCTATCTCACTCTACACAAAAATTAATTCAGTCAATACATGGATCATGGACTTAAATGTAAAGTCCAAAAACATAAAGCTTCCAGAAGAAACTATAAGAGAATATTTTCATGATTTTGGGTTCAGACAAAGATAGCTCAGACAGAGCAATAAAAATACTAATCATAAAAGAAAAAAATTGTATTTTATCAAACCTAAACATTTCTACTCATCAAAAGGAGCCGTTAAGGAAATAGATAAATCATAGATTGTATTTAAAGTACTCCTACAAATCCACACAAAAAAAAGATCAACTACTTAAACAGTGAGAAAAAACCTGAACAGATACTTCACAAAAGAAATATATATAAATGGCCCTGGCTGGGTAGCTCGGTTGGAGCATCATCCTGGTACACCAAGGTTGCCAGTTCGATCCCCATACAGGGCACATACAAGAAACAACCAGTGAATGCATAAATAAGTGGAACAATAAATTGATGTTCCTCTCTCTCTCTCTCTCTCTCTCTCTCTCTCTCTCAAATTAATTTTATATATGTACATGGCTAATAAACACATGGAAAGTGCTTAATACCTTTAAACACTAGGGAAAGGTAATTTAAAAGCATAATAACAGTAAAATAGTATAACCACTTTAGAAAACAGCCTTTGATGCCTTAAAAGGTTAAACGTAGAATTACCCTGGGACCCAGCAATTTCACTTATAAACATATATCCAAAAGAGATGAAATTATGTTTATGTCTATGCAAAACGTGAATAGATGTTTATAGCAGCATTATTCATAGTAGTGAAAATGTGGAAACGATCCAAATGTTTATCAACTGATGAATGGAGAAACAAAATGTGGTGTGTTCATAAAATGGAAAACAGATGCTCCTCGACTTGTGATGAGGTTACATCCCAATAACATCTTAGCCTAGCCTCGTCGATTTTCTGACGATTCTGGGCATTTGTTTTGTAGTCTAGTTAAAATTTTTGCTGTGGTTGTGCAAGGAGGCAAGCTGTGTTTACCTATGCCTCCATCTTGACCAGAAGTCTCCTTTTAAATCTTCATTCCTGGGTTGATAAAAATGCTTGAACAAGTTAAGGCTGGCAGTAGAGAGCTGCTTCCAGGCTGTCTTTGGTTCCTTAATATTCTTCAACCAGCTCCACCCAGCTCTTCTGTCACCAGCTCACACTTCTGTCTGTTGTTCCTAAGCATAGCAGAGCATTTTTGTATTGTGCTCAGATTGTTTCCTGGTGATTAGGGGCTCCATTTTGTTTCTGTTGTTACTGTTTTCTGACCCTTGATTACTTTTGTTCAGAGGTGTCTACTCATACCTCTGAAAAAAGCCTCTTAGCAAAGAAAAGCCTCCTTACAGAAGCTCCCATTTGCTAAGTTTTATCAATTCATTGATCCCAAAAATGCTGATTGAATTTTTTGGTCATCTATATAATTAATCCAATAATACTGAATGAATGAGTGAATGGATGGATAAATGAATGAATGAATGTATGAATGAGTTTTAGAGCAGGATGAAACTAAACATGTACTTACTGAAGATGAAATATATTTTTTTCTTTTTTTTTTTAAACAAAATACCTCTTACTATTTTTTTTTATTGACTTTATTGGGGTAACATTGGTTAATAAAATTATATGTTTCAGGTGTGCAATTCTATAAAAATCATCTGTATATTGCATTGTGTGTTCACCACCCCAAATCAAGTCTCCGTCCATCACCATTTATCCCTTTTATAAATTGCCTTTTATTATTATACAAAATAAAAACTCCAAACAAGTACTGCATATAAGATCCACTGACATAATATTTTAAAATAACACTATATAAATAGTTCTCTTTAAATCTCAATTAGTATAATATCATTTATCTTTACTAAGACCCAAAAATCCACGCTAATACTTAATAGAATTTTGATGTCTGATAATCCCTGCATATTGGACAGCATCTAGTTAAAATATCAAAGAATATTATTCATCAAAGAAAATATTTTTCTCAATTCCCAAAACAAATTTGAGGAGTTATATTGGTTTTGAATTGAAGAAGAAGGCCCACTCATAATACAGAAACTAAGTTTTCATTTGATGGAAGCTGAAATCAGAGATCTGTCCCGCATGGCTTTTCTCAACTTTTAAAAAGGCTACCAAGCCAAACCTTTAGCTGCCTTCACTGCTTTTGCTTCGATTTTCCCTTTCCCTTGCTTTTGCTTTTCCTTCAGCCTTCTTCTTTGCCTCTGGTTCATTCATATAGGGTACTGTCCATGCTGGTCTAGAAGACTTTCTCTTAAAATCAGTCTCCATTTTCACATCATCTTTTTCATCTTTTACCACATACTGGGTTTTCTCTTCAGAATGTTTGCAGACCACCGCAGTTATCCTCTCTTGAACATCTTTCATTAAAACATCAGTATTTACTTTCAGAATACTTTTAAGTCTGCTAAGGTCCTTTGAGGCATTCTTTTTTTCTCTTTTCAGCAAACATTTCCCTTTTTCACTTACTACAGAAGCTTTTAGCCATATTTTCTCTAGAAAGGTTAAAAAACTCACAGTCCACACACTTACAACAACCAGAAGTCCCCTTATATATTTTTTTAATTGATGTAATATAGGTTAATAAAATTTATATAAGTTCGGGTGTACACCATTATAATTTGGTATCTGTATACACTGTAGTGTGCTTACCACCAGTAGTCTAGTTTATATCCATCATCGTACATTTTGACCCCCTTTACCCATTTTGTTCTCTCCCACTCCCCTTCCCCTCTGATAACCACCAATCCGTTGTCTGTATCTACATTTGTTTTTGTTTGGTTTGGTTTTTGTTTTATATTTCATATGGGTGAAATGAGAGTTTTCAGCCTTTTCCATGTGACTTATTTCACTTAGCATAATGTTCCCAAGGTCCATCCGTGTTGTCACAAAGGGCAAGTTTCTTTTTTTTTTAAGATTTTATTTATTTATTCTTAGAGAGAGGGGATGGGAGGGAGAAAGAGAGGGAGAGAAGCATCAGTGTGTGAGAGAAATATTGATTGGTTGCTTCTTACATGAACCCTGACTGGGGACTAAACCCATAACCCAGGTATGTGCCCTGAATGGGGATCCAACTGGTGACCCCAGCCAACTGAGCCACATCCGTCAGGGCTCATTTTTTTTATGGCTGAGTAATGTTCTGTTGTATATATACACCACATCTTCTTCATCCATTTACCTGTCAGTGGTTTAGGTGTTTCCCTATCTTGGCTGTTGTAAATAATGCTGTAATAAACATACGGGGTGCATATATCTTTTTTGAATTAGTGTTTTTTTTATTCTTCAAATAAATAACCAGCAGCAGAATAGCTGGATCATATGGTTGTTTCATTCTTAACTTTTTGAGGAACCTTTATACTATTTTCTATAGTGGCTGCACCAATTTATAATCCCCCCAACAGTGTATGTAGGCTTCCTTTTCGCCACATCCTCTCCAACACTTGATACTAGCTATGGAATGTATCTTTTTTAACACTCAGAGTATGTCTTTATTGATTTGAGGCTTTCCTCCATTCCATGTCTCAGTAAAAGTTTTTGGTCTGTTCAGGACAATATTTTATACCAATGTCACACCAATAAATTCAATTTAAAATATCCAACATTTATAAGCATTATTTCTGATGTTCTGTTAGAAGCATTCTATTTTATTTTTTTACCAGGTATGTGATTTTAAGATTTGGTATGATTATATAATGTTATATTTATTCTGATGGTTTTCTGTGCAAGTAGATATATAAGTACACTGAGAAAGAAGAAAAGTGCCGTTAGAGCTGCAGAATTTCAATTTAGTTTTACTCCTCTGGTCTGCATTTATGTTGGACTCAGTATATTTGCACAGACTGATTTTAATGAGATAAATTTTCATTATATATTGAAAAGTAAAGTGACAGAAAAATTAAACTGATGAAAATTCTTATCCGGCTTTGTTACATAATAATACATCAGAAACGTAACTCCTTAAACATAACACATTTATTGCTGACCCCAAGAGATAAAAGAATACGTTTTTTCTTGAATCCACAGGAAAATCTATGTTAGGCTAGATTCTCAATCTAGCAAATAAAAGTCTCAAATTATTTGAAACTTTTTACTCAGTGTGAATATTTGAACATGATTACTTCAGATTGAACTCACAATCTTGGTTTTCAGTCATGACCTTATGCACTAGATATTAGTCTCTTAATTTAGAGGGTTGGTTTACTCTAATGCTGCTTTCAGGATATGCTACAGAGGCACCATGAGCTACTGACAGAGTTTAAAAAGGATTCTTTTATTTCTTCCTATGATGAAACTCTTAAATGGGACTTAGAGCTGCTATATAAGCCACATTCACTTCTGCATCAGTTCTGATCAACACTAATAGAAGTATTTTGTGTTTCCCTATAGATTGTTTGGAATATTTTAAGAACCCATACAGGTTACTAATCTCTTGTTTTTGAAATTGTGTCCTCAAGTATGCTACTGTGGCAGCACCTCCCGAGACGTGTTATGTGGAACAGACATAGGAAAGTCTGATGGATTTGGGGATTTTGGCTGTTTGAAGATATGCGGCAAGTAAGGTTTTATGTTTTTCTCAGTTAGAATAAAGCTGTATTTTTGCAACAATTATCTAATAATCCGTTGTTGTTGCTGAACAGGGTTTTGAAATGTGGGAACCACATGTGCTCCCAGGTGTGCCACCCTCAGCCCTGCCAACCGTGCCCTCGGCTCCCCCATCTGGTGCGCTGTTGCCCTTGTGGGCAAACTCCTCTCAGCCAATTGCTAGACCTTGGAAGTAGTGGTCGGAAAACGTGCATGGATCCTGTCCCTACATGTGGAAAAGTGTGCGGCAAGCCTCTGCCTTGTGGTTCCTTAGGTAACTAGTTGGCATACAAATGTAAATGTTTAGCAGCAATGACTACTTGAGCAAAATAGTTTTAAATTCCAATTACAATATCAGAGGTTTTTCTAAATATTAGGATCAAATTTATGCAGGCATATTTTCTTTCCTCCTCAGAATATACTTATGAAAACCCACATTTGCTGAAGTAATTTCTAATTGGGTGTTTTATTGCTAACTCAGGTCAGTTGTGGTGAGATAGTGCTCCTTGGGGAATGTGGGGTCCGGTATCATTTCTCTTAGTAGCCTACAGTAGTATGAATGCCATATATTCTTTTTACTAACCCAGGGTTCAGTTAAGTGCTTAAAAGTATTTTCATATAATAGGAACATCTTCACTAAAATTGTAAGTACATTAAAACTAGCCATTTGGACCACTCAAGAAATGTCATTGTTTTATAGCTAAGTTTCCCATCTGGCTGAGGATAATACCTCCTGAGCATAATTTTAGATAGACATTTTTCTTAAAATCTCTTCTTTTGTTAAACAAAGGTAACTGAAGATAATGTCTTTCCCTTTACTGACTCAGAGTCATCGTTTTTTTCAGTCTCAGTTATTGTATTATGCTGAATACAGTGATGGCCTCAGGGACTGCTGAGGTTTCTCAGGCAATTTGCCCATACCTATGTGCAGTTTGTATTGTTTTTTCTACTTACTAAAGTTTTCCGTTGTCTATTTTCTTGTCAATGCTTGTCCTACCTATAGTGGCTCTCCCTTTCTTCTGACTTGTGGATTCTGATTACTTGGATGTAGAAACCAGAAAAGGTTTGGTGGAATTAGCTATAAAGTAATAGTCTGAGTTATGACTGAGACTTTCCGAGGCAGTCCTTGGGAAAACCCAAGGGCTCAGAAAATGTGTACAGTTTTGCAATGACCTGGCAACTTCTCTCCTAAGTGAGTGTTCCAAGGCCATGTGCTTAGAAAAATGAAAGTGGGCAACAAAGTCTGAATAAAAGAGATGTTCCTATAACTAACTGTGGTAAAGCTAAAATCTTCAGGTTGGGTTTGCACTTTTATCAAAAAAGGAGAGTTCACATTTCTTCCAGGTACCAGCAGGAACCAGTAGGAGCATCCTACCTAATTCTTTTTTTCAGTCTGACTTTAAAATCATGTACAGAAGAGAAATGCTCTCTTCTCATATTTTAATACATGTTCTAAACACATTAAGAAAATCAGTCGTCTGTTGGTTCTGCTGTGAAAATGTATCTTTATACAAGCCCTGTGAAACAGAAGACAAATGGCTTCAAAATCAAGAAGGATGGTAAAGATCTTCCCTTTTCAGAAAGCACATAAGTCAGTTTTCTAAGAATTTCATATATGATCACCGAAAATTCTATTCTGAGGCTAAGAAATATTGCTGGCAATGATAGAAAAAAATGTAAAATGGGTAGTGCAAGGGACTTGAGCAAAAGAAGGATGGTAATTATCAGTATGTACTGACATAGGCGTGAGGTAAGATCAGGTCAAGGATTTTAATCATGGCAGACCTTTAAGTAACTAGGCTGAGTTGGATTGAGAAGCTCAAAGGCAAGTCCATCATTGGTGGTAACAGTGACTCACAAATTTATTCAGATCTGGCATATCTGTATAAAGCTTGTTTAGGTCTTTTAATATTTCTCCCAATAGGAAATTTCCATTCTAGACATACAGCTTTAGTATAAGAGACTAGGTGGAGTTCTGCTTTCAGAATGGTAGCATGAGCAGCTACTTGGACCCATTCCCCAGCAAAACAAGGAAAGCTAGCTAGTGACACTTTTTTTTTTTTTTTTTAAACAACCATTTAAAGTCTCTGGAAATTGTCCTACAGACATACATCATGAAGAAATAGTTATTGAAGAAAATCGACTGAAATTCAGAAAGAACAGCAAGAGTCTGTGTCATCTGAGTTATGACTCACTTCTTCCTCCCCGCCCCCCCCCCCCCCCCCCCAGCTTAACAAAAGGTCCTTTCAGGATGGGTGTGCCCAAGAAGACAGGGCTTCCTCTGCCCTCAGCTTCTAGTCAAGAGTTTTCCACTAGGTGGAGCAGACTACCAGCATTTCTCTAACTCTAACTCTAACTCTAAGTCAAAGAGGCTAAATTTCTGGTAAACACGACTGAGAGGTCAGGGGCCCTCTTCCTTTTGTCAGAGGCTCTACCCCAATCACAATAGGTGAGAATACTGGGGCCCCCATCACCCTCACCCTGGCTCACTTGTAGGGCAGAGGTTTCACACTGGGAAAATTAAGCCAAGAAGATTGGAGGCTACTGTCCCATCCAGAACCCAGAGTTATGGCTGAGATTTCCCAGGAGGTGAGGCAGTCCGTAGGAAAACAAGCTCCAAAGTGTTCCCCAAAGGAACTGACTTTAATTTGAAACAGTGTAGGGGAAAGTTCAGGGTTAAGGCCCTTTAGATAACAGTAACTCCTCTTAATGAAGAGCAGTAAGCCTAACCAGAGGCCAACTAGCTCACCAGAAAGAGCCAGGGAAAGAGATGGCTAAGTGGAGCCTTCCTGGGGTCAGAACAAGCCTCGCAGACTTGCCTCAAAGACTACCCCTGCCCATACTTCCTTCGATCAAACTGCTGAGTGATTTATGCTTTAAGGCATTGTTGAAAACAGGAGAGCAACAAACCAGCAATTAGTGGAGCCTCAGAATTGAGAGTAATGTGAGGCAGACAGCTTAACAGAGAGATCAGGGAAAGAGAGAGTTGGAGAGAGCTCTGCTAAAACCATTGTCATCCCAGAGTGACTACACACCTCAAGACTCTGCCTTCCAAAGAGTGACACCAAAGGCTTCATACCACAGGGGAAATAGACTTCACTAAAGCAGCCTAGAAAAGCCACAAAACAAATAAACAAGCGAACAACAAAAAATCTGTGGAGAGCAGTATCCAGAGTTGCTACAAACTTTATATTACCAAAAATGTCTGGTTTCCAGCAAAAGTTATGAAGTATGCAAAGAAATGGGGAAAAACACAGGCAATAGAAATTTTCTCTTTTCTGTGACAGTGACCTTTGTCAGACTTAACAAAAACTTCAAGGTAGCATGTTTAAAGAACTAAAGGAAACCATGCTTAAAGAGGTAAAGGAAGGTCTAAAGACATTGTCTCATCAAACAGAGAATATGAATAGAGATAGAAATTATAAAAAAGAACAAAATGGGAAATCTGGAGTTGGAAAGTTCAATAATTAAGATGAAAAATTCATTAAATGGGCTCAACAGTAGATTTGAGCTGGAAGAAGAAAGGATGAAAGAATATGAAGGTACAACTGATAGAGATTATCTAATGCAAGAACAGAGAGACAATAGAATGAAAAGTGAACAGTGCCTCAGAGAAATGAGGGACACCTTTAAGCACATAAGCCTATGTATATAATGAGAATACCAGGAGAGGAGAAATGAGCAGAAAATTAGTCAAAGGAATAATGGTTTGAAAACTTTCCAAGTTTATTTAAAAAAACATTATCTAAGAAGTCTAGAAAACTCAAATGGGGTAAATTCAAAGAGCTCCACATCTAGACAAATAGTAAAGATGCTGAAAGCCCAAGATAAGGAGAAAATCTTTAAAAGTAGCAAGAGAAAATGACTCAAGGGAATCCCTATGAGATTAACAGCAGACTTCTCATCAGAAAAGATGGATAATACTGCATCATAACCAGAAAGCAGTGAGATGACCTATTCAAAGTGCTGAAAGAAAAAGACCTGCCAATCAAGAATCTTCTATCCAGCAAGACTGTCTTTCAAAAATGAAAATAGAATGGAAAATTTGGTGCTACTTTACAATAAATAATATTAAAGGAAGTTCTTCAGGCTATAAGCAAGTAAACCCGGAGGTAAATTCAAATCCATACAAGAAAAACAGAGTAAAGGTATCACATAATTAGATAGTATAAATGCATATTCTTTCCTCAACTGATTTTAAAAAGCACTTGTATAAAATAATATGTTTATAATTGGATTGTTTGGCCTATAATATATAGAAGTATATCTGATAATAATAGCACAAAGGAGGTGAGTGGGATCAATGTTGTACTGGAGTAAGGAAATGATACCAGATGGTAACTCAGGGTCACAGAAACAAATGAAGGAAATCATTATATACTGTAAGTATATAATGTTCTCTTTTCTCAGCCTCTGTAATAGACCATAACATTATATAAAGTAATAATTATATTATTGGGTTTGTAATATATATGTCATATCTATAACAATAGCACAAAAGAGAAGAGGGAATATAGCTACATACTAGTAAGGCTTTTATATCACTGGAATTAGGTAGTTAATTAAATCTGAAGTAGATTCTGGTAAGGTGCATATGGTAAACCCCTTAGAGTAACCATTAAGAAAATAACTTTTAAAATATAGTAAAAAAATACCATTAAAGGAAAAAAATGTTACACTTAATATTCACTTAATGTGAAAGAAAGCACTAAAGGGAGATTAGATTTAACAATAAAGGCAGGAAACCTGTAAAAAACCAAGTGAAATGGCACACGTAAATCCATTTATCAGTTATAACAATGTGGGTAGATTAAACAATTAAACAAAAAACAGAGATTGTCAAACCAAATTTAGAAAATAAAAAACAAGATCCAACTATGTGCTATCTTTAGGAAATAGATTTTAGAGTCAAAGATACCATTAAGCTAAAGAGGCTATCGGTGTTCCCTGAGGGGTCCTTGAAATGAGACTTGTCCTAAACCTAGTTTAGCAGAAAGAATGGCAGGCCACCTATCAGCAAATGTTCACAGAGCTTTAGTCAGTGACACTATAGATCATGGTGTGTGATTATTTTTGATCCCCAGGTGATTTTCAGTCAAGAACATATCAGTAAAATCAGTTATGGCTACAATTTTGAGGAGATCTAAGTATAACCTGGAGACTTGGGGCCTAAATAAGGAAAAATAAAGAAAGAGACAGATCTGTTCTTTAACATAGGCAGAGCACCATGCAGTCCAAAGTATATTCTAGTGACTGAAGCTGGGTCCTGTCTTTGCTGGAAAAGGCCCAGCCACTGCATGAAGGGAAGACATGGGAAAGGGCATTGATGATATCCTTTCCTCAGTTCTGATTCCGGACTTGCAGGGAACAGGTAGAAGACCCATGTGGCTAGTGAATTTGGGAGTCTGAAGTGAGTAGCTGCAAGTTTCATTCCTAGCTCTCTTTATTTTTATTAAAGATTTCATTCATACCTGTGAAAAACTTTGCCATGAAGGAGACTGTGGACCATGCTCTCGCACATCAGTTATTTCCTGCAGATGCACTTTCAGAACAAAGGTAAATCCTCAAAAATGCTAGAGTTGTTACCACCAATGCCTTTTAAATTCGTGATTAAGGAAGGGGAGGGATCAAAATAACCTCAGTTTTATTCCTGCCGTACTACTTATGATTCATTCAATCCTGCCAGTATGTACTGACACCTACTATGGACCAGTTAATAGGATAGATATCTAGGGAGGAGAAGGGATCCGGCACTCAAGGCTCAGGGTCCAATCACGAGCTAAAGGCAAGTATACAGACAGCTCTAACAAATGCAAGTGTGATTATGCTAGATGCTAGGAGGGAAAAACAATAGCATTGTTGCAAAGAGTAAACTAATAGAACATAGTCCACAAGATTGCCCTCACTTCTGATACCCACTGCAAGGTTTTAGACAACTGCTGAATTACATTGAACAGTCTACATGACTACCCTCACTTCTGATACCAGCTACAAGTTCAGTGGTCCCCAACACAACCCTCAAGTTTTGATAATTCAGTAGAAGGGCTCACAGAATTCAGCGAAATTTGTTACATTCATGGTTACAGTATATGACAGGGAAAGGATACAGATTAAAATCAGCCAAAGGAAGAAGCACATAGGACAGAGTTCAAGAAAGTACCAAATTGGGAAGCTTCTAGTTGTCCTCTCCCCATGGAGGTGGAGCAGTGTTACTTTTTCAGCATCAGTGTGTGACAGTACCGTGGAGCATTGCCAACCAGGGATGCTCACCCAGTTTTTATTGGGGCTCCATCGTGTAGGCATGATTGACTGCTTATGTAGCTGATCTCAGTCTCTAGTCCTTCCAGAGGTTTACTGATACTGTGTGACTCAAAGCCCCCACCCTAAATCACATCATTGGTCTTTCTGATGTGGTCAGCCCCCACCCTAAGGCTACCCAGTGTGGCCAGCCTGTACCCTAAATCATATTATTAGACTGTATGACCCAATTTCCTTGCGACCCAAGACCCTAGACATGCAATGACACCCCACTCAGGCATGATACTCCAAGGGCTTAGATATTATCTTCCAAAAGCCAATGACAAAAGTCAGATCTCTATGTAACAATTATTCACTATATGAGTGTTGTTTTGTTTGGGTTTTTTTTAGTTGATAAGTATAGCCGGTTTGTCTGCTTTCTGCCCTGGGCAGTTTTGATTAGACTTTGTGTTTATAAAAGGGATGTCTTAAATTTTGAAATTAGGCCATAGTGCCCATTCCTGTGTATGTAGCCGGAAGAGGCAGGGAGCCTTCCTGTGGAAGTCTTTGAGTAATCAACTTGAGCCAACTGAGTGTTGATCTGTCCTGCTCCCTGACCTACTGCCAGTCATTTCCGTGCATATCAGCTCCTGTCCCAGCAGAGCACAGGCCAGTGGAGACAGAATTCTGAGTAGTTGGTCCTGTTTTTTAAATACAGCCCAAGGTCTTGGTATCAGCTGACTTGCAAATGATTCTGAGGCTCTAATCCATAAGTTGAAAGCTACATTTATAGTTAAGTTTCAGAATAAAAGAAAGAAATGTAAAAGCACAGTTTACATGCAAAAGTTATATGAGCATTATGGGGTTTTTTTTCTGTTTTGTTTTTTCTGAAAGAAACCACAGAATACATAGGGCAGAAAGGTCACTGAATGTCAGGTACAGGGTCACTTTATACTTGTAAATATGAGTTTGAAGATTGAGATGCTGTGATTTAGTAATCACAAATTTAATAATGTTCAGAGGTGCTCTTTGTGACGAAAAATCACAAGCAAGGTTTGGCCATGTGAACTTGAAAGGGCTGCTGTCACTTTGCTTCTTTCTCCCTAACAATCCCTTTCTTGCTCAGCTTTTTTTGCTTTTCATTTACTCTCTGTCCTCACTTCCTCTAATAGTGGACCCCGTGGCAGTGAGTGTATTCTTATAAAGCTATGTGTAAATTGAATTTTTGCAAATAAAAGTCTTATAAAATTGCTATACGAGTTCACTGTCAACATGAATTCTGTTAAACCCTTGGACAAAGTGAAAAACCTCTTTGAAATGCTGATAATCATCATCTCATTATTGAGCCAGATTTTCATGAATATGGATTTTTCATGAAATATCTTTTGTAATGGAATGGGATTTTTCCATAGAAACAAGTTTTCTAGGTACATAAAACTTATTAAAGTTTCCAGGGTTGTTTCCTTTTAATCCCTTTTGTGGGAGTCTTTGAGAAATGTATGGTATATCTTACTGCCTCCTTATAAAGAATACTGTATTTAAGTTTTTATTGCTAATTCATATTTATTATAGAGATTTATCAGAGCTCTGTCTTTCCCTACAGTTATAGATACCACTCCAACATGTCATTTCCTTTGTAGAATCCAGTGTTTGCATTAACTAGTAAACTCACTCCAGCAATTTCATGAGTCGCCTTTGCTTTATATCTCTAGAGAGCACATGGGGAAATTTTTCATATCGTCAAAACCAGCCAATTCATTCATTTATCTAAAACATCTTCTAGCCAAAGCACTTCAGTTTCTTAGACTTTCATTTCTGCTGCCAACTCTGGTAGCTGCCCCCTTTTTTCTCAGGTCATCTTCATGACGAAGAAATGTTTTTATCATTTTGCTGATTGCTGAGTACAGTGCAACCTATAAATAGCATCAAAGCCAAAGACAAATGTAGTTGCTGGACAGCCAGCCATGCTCACTCTACCCAAAGTGACTGACTTGCTCTGCATGTACCAGCCTCACCACACATGTATTCAGGATCTTACCTCAGCAAAATTACATGTGATAGACCTTTGGGTCTATTCACACATAATGAAAGCCACAGTAATAAAACTTTGAATGCCAAAGATATACTGTAATTCCACTTGCTGTAGTCCAGCTAGGTTGTCAGGATTGCTCTTGAATGTGTACAGCTGTTTGCCCCTACATTGAATAGCATCAAGTTGTTACATATTTTTTGATTTTTACACCTGTTCTTTTTTTGCTTTTTCTGTCTCTACGTACCCAGGCAGTTATTTCTCTTTCCTTTTCCTACCTTTAGCAGCCCTTCTTTGCATTCAGACTTTATAATACCTAATTTGTTATGCATTTGAAGGCCAGGCCACAAAGACTGCTACAATTATATTTACATGAAAAGTTAGTAAACCTGGGGTCCTGTTGTGAGTAAGGCATATCAATATAGGGACTAGGCTGACCTTGGTCCAGACAGGTGATGTTGATGAATAAATTGACTGCCAGGGAAATATGGCGTGTTTGGGATATGCGTGCTACATTTAGCATTATACTACAGTTGTTTTGTTTCATTTATTCTTAAAAGTACTTACTGTTTCTTTTTCTTTTTCCATAGGAGCTTCCATGCACCAGTCTCAAAAGTGAAGGTATGAATGGGAAGGGGCATGAGGGAATTTTCTGAGGTAAAGGTAATGTTCTATAGGATTATGTATTTGTCAAAATTCAGTGAAGGGACACAACGTTTGTGCATTTCATTATATATAACTTTTACCTCATAAGAAAAGGATAAATAATCATAAGTTGAATTCTAGTTAATGAAGTGCTGAAAACTTTAGGGGAAGTATATTCATGCCTCCAGCTTACTTTAAAATACATTTAAAAAAAGATAAATTGATGGGTGGGTAGAAAATAGATAATCTGAAAAAAATAACTAATGGTAGAACCTAGGTAGTGGACATATGAGTGTTTACGGTAAAATTGTTTTATTTTGTTTATATGTCTGAAAATTTTCATAATAAAATATTGGTGGGGAGAAGTGAGGTAAATATCTAGTGAAGCAAACTTTTTACACACAGACTCCAATGCTTGCTTTGAGCCTTGATAGGTTGTCGGATACCAGGAACAGAGGCTCAGCCAGCAACTTTCTTAACCTTTAATATTGTTTCTTCCTTTGTCCATGATTCTGATGACCCATTCTATTATAGCTCTGTTTCTGTTTTGCCAACCATCACATAACCTTTTGTTTAAGCCCCCTTGAAACCTTTTTTGAAAAGTGATAGAAGATAAATGTATACAAAATAAAAACTCTTATTCTGGTCAGGAAGAAAGCTGATTGGTTAGGATCCTTCTGGCTGCAGGTATTGGAAAACCCAAGGAAAAGTGACTTTAGCAATAAAGGACCTTACTCTCATAACAGAAAGTCTGGTAGCAGAACAGGTCCAAGATTGGTTCATTCTAAGCTTAGTAATTCCAAGATCCAGTTTAGCATATCTGTGACTTTTTTGGCTTTTCCCTCATGGGTATAAAGTTAGCTGTAATTCCATACACTGGGTTCTCACCCAACAACATAGGGGAAAGAAGGGAGATTCTTAAACTTCTCTTCCTTCATAGAGCAAGAAAGAGTCCTAAAAGGCTCTCAATATACTTTGTATCACATGCTTCTGCCTAAACCCTTCACTAACAAGGGGAATGGCACTACCGTGACAGGTAGGCTCATACATCTTTCGAATTGAGCACATGGGTGCCCAATTTCTGAACAAAATTAAGGATTTGTTAGCCTGAAGAAGGTGGTCAGTGGCTGTATGGACGCAAATGAGAAATACCTGCCTCAAAACCTCAGTCAAAATTTTGGATATTAAAAACATAATTAGAAAAAATTACATTAATGCACTTCTATTGTTTTAAAAGATTTTATTTAATTTTAGAGGGGAAGGGAGGGGGAAAGAGGGAGAGAAACAGAGATGTGCAAGAGAAACATCAATTGGCTGCCTCCTACACATCTCCCGCTGGGGACCTGGTCTGCAGTCCAGGCACCTGCACCAGCAACCCCTCGTTTGCGGGACCATGCCCGACCCACTGAGCCACGCTAGTCAGGGCTGTTTTTTTTTTCTATTTGACAACCTGACAAGAGAAAAGTGGTATGTTATTTTAACATGTATTTTCACAATAACATTTTTAGCACTTATTTACATTGTTACATCTTTATTTCTTCAGCCTGTCATCACTCAGATATTTGTTGAATGAATGTTAATATCCTTTGCTTTGTTTTCCTTTTTAATTGGCCACAACAGATGCTACATTTATGTGCGACAAGCGGTGTAACAAGAAACGGTTGTGTGGACGGCATAAATGTAATGAGATATGCTGTGTGGTAAGTGGGCCTATCATTAGGCACAGTCAGATTGCCTCAGCCATCTGGAATGTAGCCTAGATTTAGAAATTACTGGAAGGAGCCCTGTGAGCAGGGGTCAGAGCTGCCCAGATCAAGCTGATCTCAGGTTAAAAAATCAGCCAGTGGTAACATGGAGGAAGAGAAAGAAGAAAGACAGAGGCCTCAGGTCCCAGAGCCCAAGACTACTAGATGAACATACAGTCCTCTACAGGAGATTGTGTGCTATTTCTGACCATAGCAGCTGGAGCTTCGGGTTTCATATACTCCTTGGGTAGGCAAATGAGTGTGGCATTTTTGAAAGGAGCAAGTTTTAGTTGTCTGAAATATTCCCTTTTGTGGAACTAAATAAAGAAGGGTCTTCCTGGCAGTCAGCACTGCATTTTCTTGTCGTGTGTGTGTACAAAATAACATAGTACCAGTAGTGAAATAGTGCATATATACACACGTACATATATGTGTATATGTATGTATAAAAATACGTAATTGTTATTACTTTTAAAATTTATTGACGTGGTGAAGAGTTGAAAGTTTACAGTATATCAAAACTTATTTATAATCCAGTGTTCGAAGGCTTAAAGACTTCCTGTTGTTATTGAAAATTTTTAACATACAATAGCAGATGAGACTAGTATGAGTCTTTTTTACCCAGTGTCCAACTTTAGTAGTGATCAGCTCATCACTAATCTTGATTCATCCACGCCTCCACTAACTCTACCTCCCCTGATTATTCTGAAGCTAATCTCAGACATCGTTTCATCCATAAATGTGGAGTTTTTTTATTATTAATCTTGTTGTTTATGGATAACAAAATAGACATGATTTTGTAAACAAATATAAATCTCTTCCTAGGATAAGGAGCACAAGTGTCCTTTGATTTGCGGGAGGAAACTACGTTGTGGCCTTCATAGATGTGAAGAACCTTGTCATCGCGGAAACTGCCAGACATGCTGGCAAGCTAGTGAGTATCTTTACTGTACACTTTATTGTAAGAATTTAATAGAAATTTAGGCATAATATGTTCTAAGAGAATGATTTGCTTAGACTGGTATGAACTACTCTACTAATAAGCCTTAGTATTTCAGGTATATCGAGTTTTTTTAAAAGATATTCCTAGTGCTGTATTGTCATTCCTGAATGTACGAAACTTGGGATGTAGGCAATGACCCTAAGATGGAGCCCAGTTCATTAATAAATACCTTGTTTTCTACCTGCCTCTTAAATATTATAGGCCCAAGTTTTGTCCTCAGCAATTCTTCTTTCTCTAAATCATCTATTTTCAACCTTTTTCTTCTCATGGCGCACATAAACTACTTACTAAAATTATGCAGCGCATCAAAAAACATATTTTTTGCCAGCCTGACAAAAAAATAGGTATAATTTTGATTTATAAAAAATATAATAAGAATTACCAACACTTTGTAATCCAAAGTGGCTTTTTAAAAAATCAGGTGCTTATACTTGTATATAAGGATTTCTGGTACCAAAAGTTAACCAACCAGAAGCAAATTTATTATGCAACATGACCAATAAGATGCAACTCTATTATATGACCTGCGTATTTATGGTTCAAGATAGGCCATTCACACTGGATGGCTATTGTGTTGGCTATTGTCATTATTTATTTGACAGTCTCAGGGGAAAAAAGTCAGTGCCCCAACTAAATAGGTGTTGCATGTTTTAAAAATTCAAGATTTTTTTTAACTGCTTCATCAAGGACTTTCTTAAGTAAAATGGCATTTTTTACTTACTTTTAAGTGCCCGGCAGTGAAAAATACAATGATTATAATTTGATGCTGCTACCTTGATTTGTGTTATGGCCTGGGCAGTTTTGTTTGTTTTTGCACCAATAGTGCAAATGTGAACATAGTGGAAAAAGTAAATAATATCTTAATATTATTATGAAAACAATTTTGACCTTGTGGATTTACTGAAAGCCTCTCCGGGACCCCTAGGATCAACAAAGCACACTTTCAGAACTGCTGCATTAAAAGATTGGCCCAAATCAGGGTTTACCAAAATGTCTTCTCTAGAATGTTAGGCTTGCTTCATTTCAAAAAGGAATTAAGTCAGTGCTTTGGAGTTCTATAGTAAAACATAAATGGTGCCCTGGCTGGGTGGCTCAGTTGGCTGAAGCACCACCTCATACACCAAAAAGTTGTGGGTTCAGTTCCAATCAGGACGCATACCTAGGTTGCAGGTTCATTCCCTGGTCGGGGCATGTACAGGAGGCATCTGACCAATGTTGCTCTCTCGCATTGATATTTTTCTCCCCCCACCCCAACTTTCTTCCTCTCTCTCTAAAAATCAATGAACATTTCCATGGATAAGGATAAAAAACAAAACAAAAACCTGGCCCCTTACCCTTGACCTAGCTATTTCACATATATTAGCTCATCCTCACAATAAGCTTCTTGAGTGGATAGATCAAAGCTTGGTATCTCCATATAATGAAAAGAAAGCTCAGAGGGACTTGCCCACAGTCCCTGAGCAAGGAAGTAGTGGGTCTAGAACTGGAAGCCTAAGTCTCCTGACTATTTACAGGGCTCTTTCTACCACATTGTGTAGCCTTTAAAGCAGTTGCTGGAGAGTGTCGACTGGAAAAGAACAGTGTGTGGAGGGGATCCTAGAGGGCCCTGGGTTTCTTCACTCTGATGCCCTAGTTGAGAACCACGGCCAAGGACCTGGCCTCTACCATGGCCCAGAGGTGGAAAACTGGCTTCCCTTAGGATCTGAGGGTTAGGAGAGCTCTTGACAAAGTGGGCTGCTTGTTAGAGCTGACCCATGTGAGCTCTCTTTTTGATTTGGCTTATGAACTGTGCCTAACGAACTCAGGTGTAGTATTGTGCTTCATTTCAACATTTTATTTCAAGCATCATAGATGTTGATTGTACCTATAAGAATTTTTCTGAATGGCTTCAGTTGCTCTCTGGGGTTTATATTCAAATACATATGTTTGTTAATTACCTGTAGCTCTCATAATCTCTATACATATTCCTAACCAAAAGAGCTATACCTTTAGTGGAAGTGTCCTTGTTCTCTCAAAAAGGGATGGCCTATAGGTCTTTTGTTAATAAAATACATATAAAACTGTCTTGGGTTCACGGTCTTAGAGTTCAGTGTAGGTAAAAATGAAACACATCATATCTATCTGCTTTGTCATCAGCTCAACTTCTACAAAATAAAAACTTAAAAAAAAAAAAAGTAGCCAATTCTCTGGAAATACAAGCCAAAAAAAAAGAAAATGTATATGTGTAAAATACGTGTGTGTTCATCCCAAGCTGATGAAGGGTTATTTTGTTTCACCCGCTCCTCCACCAGGTTTTGATGAACTAACCTGCCACTGTGGTGCGTCAGTGATCTACCCTCCAGTTCCCTGTGGTACCAGGCCCCCTGAGTGTACCCAGACCTGTGCCAGAATCCATGAGTGTGACCATCCAGGTAGGTCCTGTCTCCTCGCCTCCACACCTTACAGCCTGCTCACACCATGTCATTGAGGATGTTGCGTGATGGTCTTCGCTGCTCTGAGGCTCTCCTCTGAGGACGGGCTGCTCAGGGGCTGCTTTTGTGATCGGGGCCACAGCTGGGAATTGCAGTGCCCTCCATTGCTTTATTCTGTGGGTGTCAAACACACCTGAAAGGCCAGGGGTAGCCCTCGCTGAATTTGTCTGTGAGGGATGTTTTTTTCCTTTTTTGTGGTCTCTACCTTTGGTGCATATTTCAAAGTTGAGCCTCTTTTTACAAAAATAGAAGTAATTTGGGTTTCATTGTTGTTGAAGCAATATATATTTATTTTACAAAAAGAAAAATAGAGATAAAGTTGAAAGATGGAAATATCGTTTATGTCATTTTTTAAAAAATAAAATCCTTGGCTCAGATTTTTTAAAAGATTTTATTTTTAGAAAGGAGAGAATGGAAGGAGAAAAAGAGAGAGAGAAACATCAATGTGTGAGAGATACATTGACTGGTTACTTCTCACATGGCCCCCAGCCAGGGACCTGGCCCACAACCCAGGCCTGTGCCCTGACCAGGAATCAAACTGGCAGCGCTTTTGGTTCTCAGGCCGGCCCTCAATCCACTGAGCCACACCAGCCAGGGCAAAAGTGAATTTTTTTTTTCTTTTAAGATTTTTTTTATTTTTACTTTTAGAGAGAGGGGAAAGGAGGGAAACAGTGAGGGAGAGAAACACCAATGTGTGAGACGATCAGTTTCCTCTCACATACCCCCAGCTGGGGACCTGGCCCACAAGCCAGGCATGGGCCTGACTGGGAATCGAACCTGCAACCTTTTAGCTCGCAGACCATCGCTCAATCCACTGAGGCACACCAGCCAGGGCTCATTTATGTCTTCTTTTAGGAATTAAACTTAGTGTGTGTTTTGGGGGACCTTTTTTCATGAACAAAATATACCTTTACCTTTTTTCCCCCCCTAAAATAAAGGTGGAAGTCTACTGAATTTCCTTTTTAACTAGCATTTTTCTTTCTTACTATAATTTAAGCTTCTTTCCTGATCAATGAATTTTTATTACAAATAGATTTTTCTGTGGCAATAGAGAATTCTGTTGCATAGATGGATCATAACCCACACATGTGCCCTGACTGGGAATCGAACAGGCGACCCTCTGATTCGCAGGCAAACTCTCAATCCACTGAGCCACACCAGCTAGAGCAAGTAAATTCTTTATGAATTGAAAAATTCCTTCTCTGGGGACCTTAGGATGGCACTCCAAGCTTAGTCTACAAGCCCCTGTTGTGATGCTCACAGCGGCATGAAGTAAATGCCCAAGCCAATATTCACCCCCTCCTTCCCTCACACTCATTTGCATATGTTACAGATGGAGTCCAAATCCTACTGGTTAATGTCCATAACACGAACTTAAAACCATTTGTGAGTTTTTATTTTTTTTAGCCTTTTTGCCCAGCATTCATTTAACTTTTCTTGAGTATTTGTTTTATATCCAGCATCGTGTCAGGCACAGGAAGGTTCAGATAAAGAAAAAAGAGCCCATGACCTTGAGGTTCTTATGTTCTCCTTGAGAGGAAAAGGATGATAATTAAGTACACATGGCACAACCAAGCATTACATGAAGATGGGCCAGATAGCATGGCAACAAGCCATCTGCGTAAGAAGACAGACATCGGGGAGAGAGCTCAGGCAGGGTGTGGTCAGCTAAGGAAGGCTTTGTTGTAGGACACAAGTTTGGATGAACTACCTCGTACAGGCAGCAAGGAAATTGAAAGGAGTCAGCGGAAGCATATTAGATGGATGAGTAACAAAGATGTCTGAGCAGAAGTGAGTAGTTGCTGCGTAAGGTAGGGCCAAAAGAATGACTGAGTAGAGTGGACAGACATTGGGGCTGTGCCGCAGGAAATGGGCTAAGAAAACTGCCTCCCTCTCTGCTTCTGGGTGTGGCATGTCTGTCCCCCTCAGCTGGGTTTCTTTTGCTCACTCATGCTTATCCTTCAACACTTTGACATAAAGCCAGCGACTTTTTACTTTCCTATGACCATTTTTTAAAGTACTCTTAAGTTTAAAATTTCCTTGTCATATGCCATTATGACATGTATAATAGTTTATGTAGCTTTATTTAAACATTATTCCTAATTTTACCTCTCTCTTTTTACAGTATATCATTCTTGTCATAGCGAAGAGAAGTGTCCCCCTTGTACTTTCCTAACTCAGAAATGGTGCATGGGCAAACATGAGGTACGTTTCCTCTCTTGCGTTCATTATTCAATCCAGGGATTTATTTTTATTGACTTATTTTGAGTTGTTAGTCTCATTGTTTCTCAGAGTTAATACTCCCAAAAAGCACAGGTTTGCTATTGCCTTTTTTTTAAAATTAAGGTATAATTTACATAAAGTAAAATTTGCCCTTTTATTATACAGGTCTGTGAGTTTTGACAAAAGTATTCACCCATTCATGTAACCACTACCACAATCTAAATGTAGGACAGTTTAATCACCCGACAGCAACATTCCTTTGTGTCCCTCTCTAGTTATTCTTCCCCTTACCTCTAAGCCCTGACAACCAATGACCTGTTGTTTGCCCTATTAGTTTGGCCTTTTCCAGAATGTCATATAAATGGAGTCATACAGTCAGTAGCATTTTGATTACAGTAAGTAAAATTTTGCCAGTTGGCCTTGAGAACATGGGCTGTTTTCTGACACAACTTCTAGGTTAACCAGCATGGGAAGAGGCTACTAGCCTGGGAAAAAGGGTTACTGAGAGAGCATCCCAGCAGTGGAGGTGGGCTCGCCACCAGCAGCCACTGTTTCTCCTCTATACGCCCTACGCAGCTTCCCATCCTGACTGCTGGGCCCAAATGCCTTCCTCCGGGCTCACCTCCCCCTCCACATTGTCACAACCATGAAAGACATTCTTCCTTGTTCTTAGCCTCTAAGCTATGGTTGGAACTGTTGACTATAGACCCTTTGAACACGTTAAAAATGTATATTTTTAAAAATGCATATTCATGGTAGAGTTCTGATACCCAGAAGGAAATAGTCTTAACATTCTGGTGTATAGATTACCAGTCATGTGTGATACATGCTTTCTCCTACTCTGTTAAGATTACACTGTTTTGTAACCTGTTTTTATTTCATAACACCTTGGCCAACATTTCTTGAAATTCTTGACATTTATGACAACATGCTTTCAGTATTCTTATCTTGATAGACATATTTTTCTTCACTTATTTCCTGTGAGTGGTTGTCTAGTCATAGTCTTTAGTATTTATTCTTCTTTTATAAATCTTTTTTTAAAGATTTTATTTATTTTCAGAAAGAGAGGGGAAGGAAGAGAGAAAGAGGGAGAGAAACATCAGTTAGTTGCCTCCTGCACACCCCCTGGCCCACAACCCAGGCATGTGCTCTGACTGAGAATGAAACTGGTGACCCTTTGGTTCATAGGCCAGTGCTCAATCCACTGAGCCACACCAGCCAGGGCTTCTTTTATAAATCTTACTTTCTCTGAGAGTAACCACTCTTAAGACATTCATGTCTTATCATCTTTGTATTCCTTATTCAAAGTTCATTCAACAAATATTTATTGTATGCCTACTATGTGCTGGGTAAAGACTAGGTTCAGGTGATTCAGAAATGAACAAAACAGTTGTGTTCCCTGCCCTTGTGGAGTATAAGCACAAAGTCCTGAAGTGGGTAGAAGGATCCTCTACCCATGGAAGGTATTTCTAGAGGAAGTAACATCCCAAAGGGTGGTAAAAATACAGCCAGCTCATGTGGGGAGGGGACAAGAGAGGGCACAGCATGTGCAAAAATTACCCCCAGTGCCGTGGTAGTAGAGTAGGTGTTTAATGGTTGGGAAGTACAATCTACTAAAATTCTGATTTCAGAGCATTACAAGCGTGTACATCCTAGACTTTGGAGGTCTCTTCAAGAGTAAAAGTTATGTGTCACTAGAGTCAAAGTATATTTCTCATTTTGAGGATTCTTGAAAGAATTTGAGTGATTATATAAAAGTAACCTTGGGTTCCACAGGAATTAAATTCCAGCATCTTTTTCCTGGAGTGAGGAATCCTGGAAGGAGGCAATTTCTAAGAAAAAATGAGTTGGGGGTTACGTGGCCTATTGACTCTTAATTTTTTAAATGACAGCTGTCTAAAGCTGTGGAGACCATGAGCTAGGAGATATGAGGAGAGCTGAATATTTAATTACATAAAACAGTCATGTAAGCAGTCTCGAAACCATGGGCCATTGGTGCCCCCACCCTCGGGTTTGACTGTCGGTTCTGCCCTAGCTGTTTGCAAAGGATGGAAAATATTATCTGAGGATTTTAAAATTTATTTTTAGAGAGAAGGGAAGTAGGGGAGAACGAGAGGGAGAGAAACATCCATTGGTTGCCTCTTTCACTGCCCCAGCTGGGGCCCTGCTCCGTAACCCAGGCACATGCCCTGACCAGGATTCTAACCAATGACCTTTTGGTTCACAGGCTAGTGCTCAATCCACACCAGCCCAGGTGGACATTGCTTTTTTTTTTTAAATGTTTGCTATTTATTTATTTATTTATAGAGAGGGGGGAAGGGAAGGAGAAAGAGAGGGAGAGAAACAGGATTGCGTGGTTGCCTCGGACGCACCCCTTACTGGGTGCCTGGCCTGCAACCCAGGCATGCGTCCTAACTGGGATTTGAACCAGCAACCCCTTGTTTCACAGGCAGGCTCTCAATCTACTGAGCCACACCAGCCAGGTCTGGACGTAGCCTTTCTAAATACTCCCTAGTTAGGACATTTCGTATGCTTATTACCTGCCTTGGGAAGTTTATGTCCCAAGTCACACTTGACTGTTACTGCAAATCTTTTTGGGTCCTAACAAGCATTAAATAAGGTTCAGATTTGTTGTCTTTTCAAACTAATCTTTCAGACTTTGAAAACCAGCGTAGTTTTTTTTCAGATAAAAATAACTTTTATAAAATGTTCTTTTTGAAATCTTAGAGATGTTTAGGTAGGAAGTTAAAACTCATCCCAAAGCCCACATGGAGAAGAGAATCTGACTACTTCTGTCTCTCCTAGTTACGAAGCAACATCCCATGTCACCTGGTTGACATCTCTTGCGGATTACCCTGCAATGCTGCACTACCATGTGGGATGCACAAGTGTCAGAGACTCTGTCACAAAGGGGAGTGTCTTGTGGATGAGGCCTGCAAGCAGCCCTGCACCACTCCCAGAGCTGACTGCGGCCACCCATGTATGGCACCCTGCCACTTCAGCTCACCCTGCCCTGTGACTGCCTGCAAAGCCAATGTGCGTATTCCCGGCTCCAGGTGGGGCATTGACTCTGGTTCTGGGGCTGCTGATGAGTTCAGAACTGCCTGCGGCAACACCTGGGCATACATCCTAATCAGAGGTCTTTGGTTGCAAGGAATTGCAAATTAAGTTGACAAGAGCAAAGTGGAATAAATTGTATAGATTTCTGTTGGCCCAGCTTGAGATGGCCTTTTAAATATATGAGGGTCTGTTCTGTGCAAGATGTTGTGCTTGATGCTGGGGCTTCACCGGAGTACAGGAGACACGTGGTCCCTTCAGGTAGATGGGATAGATACTCACTCATTAATTACTCAGATAATTTTGACTATGGTGTCATGAAGGAGTATCACATCCTCGTAGAGGGAGCTGCAAGAGTATGTGAGAAGAGGACTCACATGGCCAGAGGCATTAAGTAAGGCCCCCTGAGGCGGGGAAAGCAGTGGGATGAGGTGGGGTTGGTTAGGCCTTGCTGGTCCTGGGTAAAATGTGTACCTCTGGTTCAGTGGTAAAAACTCCATTCTAGGCCTGTGCTCTCCAGTGAGATTAAGGACAGAAGTAGTTCCCAGAAGGGGGCATGTCAGCTACTAGGTAGTCAGTTTGCACGTGTGATTAACTTCATCCTGGAGGGCAGCCACTCACTGTCTGTGTTCTCCGCTACAGTTTCATTTGAGAGAAGCTTTAAAAGTGAAAGCTGCCTATTCACATGGTTTCCATGTGCTAAAAGTCACTCCATGTTCATCTTATTTCAGATTGAGCTGCAGTGTGAATGTGGACGAAGAAAAGAAATCATGATTTGCTCTGAAGCATCCAGTACTTATCAAAGGTTAGTGCTACCTAAATGTTAATAACAGTTGGTGGATCTAGGTAAAGGGTATATATGTGTTTATTGTAGTATTCTTGAAAGTTTTGTGTAAGTTGGAAGTTCTTTAAATAAATTTTCTTGAATTTAGTTTTTCTGGTTCAAAGAAAAGGTACTGCTTTATGTACATTTCCTTTCTGAACTTTAATTTGTAAGGTAACCTCTTTACTTCTCCTACTCCTTCCTCTCTCTCTCTCTCTCCCTGTTGGTCTCATTACACCATACGATCACAGGGAAGATGTCCTGACGTTGCATGACTTGCTGAAATGCCCTACCACTTGTGGTGGCACAGCTAGGTGTGCTTCCCCCGTGGGGTGGGGGTTTCTGACTGCCTTTGCAGCCTCCTGAAATCTTGGAACCTGTGTGTTCACACATGAATCTGAGTTACAGAGGTTGGAGGTGTTAGGTTGTGTGTATCTGATTGGATGTAAGATGTGCCATGCAGATACAACTTTAAGAGTATGCAGACATCAGAGTGGCTGTGTTTGAATACCCAGAGTGCTAGGCATTGGCCTGGATATTCAAGGGGTACTGAGGAGTGGATTACCTCATCTTTTCCTGTGGAGCTGGCTGTTTAGGATCTAATTGAGGAGATATGACATAAACATGTAAACAGTTTACAATACATGGGCTTTCAAAGCCACACAAATTGTTGAATGGTAGATATGCTTTTAAAGAAGTTCTGCATGCCTAGTATAAAGAGGTTCTTGTGAAACTGCAATGCCTTTTCTTCTTTTTTTTTTTTTTTTTTAAATACTTTAGAAGAGCTGCTATTTCCATGGCCTCTAAAATAACAGACATGCATCTTGGAGATTCAGTGGAGATCAGCAAGTTAATTACTAAAAAGGAAATTCACCAAGCCAGGTATTTTTTAAATATGTGATTATTCCTTCTTTCTTCTGTTAGGCTTGATTTCCAAAGGACAGGAACAATTCATTTATTTCAATCCCCCACTGTAAAGCCATGTACACACAGTAGGTGTTAAACAGATATTTGATACCAAGTCACACCCAGTCCAATCCAATGAATCCTACTCAGGGTATAGCTGAAACTAGAAGAGACTTTTCCAGGCCTCACTCCAGCCAGTAGCCAGAGGAGGCAGAGGCATAGATGTGTCCAGCCCAATCCACTGGAAAACAAAAAACCAGAGTGGCAGCTATGTCAGGATGGGGAGGTGGGGCTGTCAGAGGAACACTGGGAGCATTATGGGGGTTGAGCAGGCATGGGATACTTTGAGGCCCTTCTGAGGATTCCTAGACTTTGACAACCCAGAGGCCTGCCCATCTGTCCTTGAGAGGGACCTCATCCAGCCATCCTCTGGCCTAAAGTCTGCTCTGTTTCCAGGTGACTACCTAGAAACTTACTGCTGGGTAGAAACTCTGAAACCTGTGCCCTGACTTTATTTTTTTCATTTGCTTCTCAAGGCTGGAGTGTGATGAGGAGTGTTCAGCCTTGGAAAGGAAAAAGTAAGTAGTGTCTGCCATTGTTTATCTAATTATCCTTGAGCTCTGTGAAACTAGTGGAAGGGAGCAACCTTTTAAGTGTTCACTCAGCGTCTGCTCTGAATCTTTTGCTGCAATTGACAAGCAAGAGAAATTTGATCATTAAGAACTGAAGTATCTAAGGATTAATCATTTAACATGATTTCAGCATACTTCCAAAACATGAGCTTATGTGGTTTGGGCATGGTGCAGACGTCACATGCCACAGCATACTTATTCATGACTAAGACTTCCTGATTCCACTGGAGATAAGAGGCTTAAAATTTTTTAATGGCTTTTATGTTGAAGTGTAACATACATATAGATCAGAAGTAAAACAACCAGTGAATCATCACAAACTAAATACAGTGTTGTTATAATCAGTACCAGGTCAAGAAATGGAAAATTACCAGAACCCTCCTGTACTCTACAAAGATATAACCTCTATCCTGACTTCTCACACTTTAGATTAGTATTGTCTGTTTTTAAACTTTATATAACTGATTAAATCATACAGTTTGTATTAGTTTCGTCTGGTTTTTTCATTACCTTTGTGACATTCATTCCTGTTTTTGCATATACTTTGTTCATTTTCATTCCTGCATATTTAATTATATTAATATATCATATTCTATTTCTCTTTTCTACAATTAATAGATGTATGTGTTGTTACCAGTATTGGGCTATTACAAATAATGCTCTATAAGAACATTCTTACACTTGCTTTGCTGTATATATTCATTTCCATTGGATATAAACTCAGGAGTAAAATTACTTATTGAAAGGATATGTATATGTTCAACTTTTGTCAGTTCTACAAACTGTGTCCAAAATGGTTGCACCAAATTACACTCTCACCAGCAGGATCGTCGTTCTCATTATTCTGCATTTTTGTCAGCACCTGGAATCATCAACCTTTTTAATTTTAATCCATTTTCATATGGATAAAATTAATCAGATGTTAGTGGGCTTTTAACTTATATTTACCTGATGACCAATGAAGTTGAGCACCTTTTTGTATGTTTAATGGCTATTTGGATATCATCTTTTGGGAAATGCCTATTCAAGTCTTTTGCATATTTTTAAATTGTGTTGTCTATTTATTTCATACTGATTAGTAGGAGTTCCTTATATATTTTGGATATGAGTCCTTTGTTAGTTTTATATATTGTATTTTCTCATACTTTGTGCCTTAACCTTTCACGCTCTTCATGGTGTCTTTTGATAAACAGAAATTTCTAATTTTAAGGTAGTACAGTTTATTAGTCTTTTCCTTAGTGAGTAGTGTTTTTTATGTCCTGTTTAAGGAATATTTGTCTATCTGAGGTCATGATGACATTCCACATTATTGCCTAGAAGCTGAATTATTTTACCTTTCACATGTAGATCTACAGTTTACCTGGACTGAATTTTTTGAGCATAGGATAAGGATAGAGGTTATATCTTTGTAGAGTACGAGAGGGTTCGTGATTCAGTGTTTTTCCATATGAATGTGCATTTGACCAGTACCATTTATCAAGACGTCCTATTATCACTGCTCTGTAGTGCCACCTATGTGCGGGTCTATTTCTGAGCTCATTGTGTTCCATTGCACTAATATTACACCATCTTAATTATTTTACAGTTATAACAAGTCTTTATATCTGCTAAGTATATCTCTTCAAACATGGTGCTTCAGGATTGTCTTGGCTATTCTTGGCCTTTTGCATTTCCACTTAAATTTTAGAATTAGCTTAACAATATCAACCCCCAGAAAAATCTGCTGGGATTTTGACTGAGATGGTATTTAATTTATAGATCACTTTGAAGTATAGTTAATGTTTATTGCCCTGTATTCACAACCTTGCTAAATTTACTCCTTCCTTCCTTCCTTCCTTCCTTCCTTTCACCTTTGAATGAGGTTTGTTTGTTACGATTTAGGGACAGTCTTTATGTGCTGATTTGACTCACACATCACCTGTGAGTTGGATAAGCTCACATTTGATATTAAGGCTGGTGTCATCAGTTGTGAGCCCATCCTTCTTGGGGACTCTGCACATGCCACCATGGTGTCCAGGTCCCCAGAGCTCTGCCTTTGCTTAGAAGTCATTAAGGTGTCAGTGTGCGGGCCCAGGGACAACAGAATATCAGTTCCCGGCCAAGCTTCCACATGCACCTCAGCAGCAGGCGTGGTACTCACATCCAGAGCTGGTTGTCGGGCCGCCCCTGCCTCAGACATGGGGGACGCCATCATGCCTGTGGCATTGTGGAAGGCCAGCTCACTGACAGGGCCCAAGCTCACTGGGCCCAGGGGCTGCCAGATCACTGGGGGAGGGTTAGGGTGGTACAGCTAGAGCCTTAGGGAGCCTCCAAGATTGGGAGTGTACAGCCCAGGGGACCCATAGATTTACTTATTTCTAATAGTTTATAACTTCTTTTAGATTTTGCATGTATACAGTCATGTCCTCTTCTAATAATAGAAGTTTTATTACAATTATTATACTTTTATTTCTTTCCAATTTTTAACTTTTTTTCCTTGCCTTATTGCACTGGCTAGGGCCTCCAGTAAAATATTGAATGGAAGGTGATGATAATAGATATTCCTGAATTATTCCCAGTCTCGTAGAGAAAGCTTTAAATATTTTACCAGTAAATATGATGTTTGCTGGATGCTACTTATAAGATTAAGTAGGATTTATTCATTGACTAGCAAATTTTCTGGTTCCAACAAAGATTGGTTAAAAGGTATAGCCCTGTAAAAATGTTAATAATTGGGGTATTTAGATGAAGGTTATTTAGGAATTTATTATAATACTCTTGTAACTTGTCTTTGAAAATTTTTCAAGATGGAAAATTAAACAGAAACAGACATTCAGACAGAGTATAGTCCTGTTTTACGTTGAAGTTGAACTTTCAACAGTTAAACAATACTTGTTTAAGTGGTTATGTGTGTAGAAGATAATATGATGGTTAATAGCATTGCCCAAATTTCCCTTGGTTTGACCCCTATAGTAACTCTATGATAACTGCTGTTCAAAACTCTTGTCCTTTTAAGAACCATCAGTCACAGTGTTCTGGCTGCAAAATGTGAACTAAGAGTCTTGAGTATTCAGAAATGCTATAGTGAAAACACAGAAGGCCTCCAAAAGCATGGAAATGACCTTCATGTAGTTGAGAGACATGGTATAGAAGATAGACCCTCAGAGCTCGAGTCAGGTTGCCTGGATTTGAATTCTCATTTCACAAGTCTTATACCTGTGTGAACTTGGACTAGTCACATATCCTCTCTAAGTTTTGATATTCTTTAAAAACTGTGAGGCCTGGCTGAGCAGCTCAGTTGGTGACCCAGTATGCTAAGGTTGTAGGTTTGATCCCAGTAAGGGCACATACAAGAAGCAACCAATAAAGGGATAAATAAGTGGAACAACAAGTCAATATTTCTCTTTTCCTCCCACCCTCCCTTCCTCTCACCCCACCTCTCCCCCTCCGAAAGATTTAAAAAAACAAAAACTGTAGAATGGTAAGAATAATAGTATCTACCTCCCAGAGTTGCGAGAATTAAAATATTAAAACTAAGGATGAAACATAAAGCTCTTGGCACAAGCGTAGCACACAGTAGGTGCCCAGTACCTGTCACTTATTGGTTAAAACCGGCTGTCTATTTCTGAAAGCCTTTTGATTTTCTCCTCAATCTTAGAGTAATGACATAATGACTCTCACAATATGTTCTTTCTTAAATACCCATGACCTAAGAGGAAAAAAAGAAATACACATTTAAAAGAGAAAATGCCATCTGAAGTTACAAATATTTACTTCATTGCAGAAATTAAAAACTGGCAGGCCAGGTTTTCTCACAGACATGTTTTATTGGTGTTTAAATTTGAATTAGTGGCTGACTAATCAAAAAATCTCCTCTTTAGGAATTCTCTTGAAAATTTGAAAATTAAGCTTTTCTTGAAAAATTAGAAAGCCTAGCAATAGTAAACCAGATTGGTATGTGCATTAAGCTTGCAAGAGACCCCTGTCTCCGTGTAAATGAAAATTGTACTAAGTGCTAAGCTGAATTTTATCTATCTTTTTTAAAGATAGATAAAGAAAATTAAGACATTAACTGGGTGTTGGTACAATGCTGTAAAACTCATACACTGTCAGTCAAAACACAAATGGGCAATGGTGGCAGCCATTTAGACCGTGATAACCAAGGATCTGAGGTCCATACCTTTTAAATGAGTAACCCCATACCCGGAAACATTCTCCAGAGAAATAATCTTAAAAGCTTTTTGCTCAAAGGTATTAATTGTGTCACATAATAGTGAGAAACTGGAGAACTATTGAAGAAACCTAAGTGAGGAATGTTTAAGTAAATTGTGGTATGTACATAATTAGAGGATTATGCAGCTATTAAAACAGTATATTTGAAAACCAAATAGTAATATAAAAAATGCTAATCGCTAATCATACAATAACAGAGGAGAAGAAGATGTAAAGTTTTATATACACTGATTACAGTGTATTTAAAGAGGGAAAAATCTGAAAGGCAATGTACTAAAATGCACTGCTTAATGTTGTTCATGAAATTCTTTTCCAGACTTTCTATAATGTGACATAATTTTTTTGTATTTATTCATTTTTAATTCTTACCTGAGGATATGTTTATTAATTTGAGAGAGAGAGCGAGAGGGAGAGAATCATCAACGTGAGAGAGAAACATTAATCTGTTGCCTCTTGCATGCACCCCACCCAGGGATCAGACCCACAACCTAGGTATACACCCTGACTGGAGATCGAACCCGCAACCCTTTTGGTGTATGGGACAACACTCCAACCAACTGAGCCACCCAGCAAGGGCATGATACTAATTTTAATATTTATAGGTCTACTTTATTTATCTGATGTTTGGGTGAAACCTCAGAGAATGTCACTCCTCATTGACCTTTTCCCAGTGCTCTCAATCCCTCAGCCTGCTCTGCACGAAAAAATCCAAGTCCCCAGTGCCAGGCTGTGGCCTGCTCAGACCCACATAGACCTGTCTTGTTCATTTTCTTCTATGAAGACAATACCATATCTTGTCCCAAGTTGTTGTTATTCTTTCCTTAATAACTGGAGTACTGAATCAGGTTTACTGAAATGAGATTATTAATTTATAAATAACTTAGGACATGCCCTGTCAAAATGTTTGTCAAAGGTTATGGGTTCAATTCCCAGTCAGGGCACATACCTAGGTTGCAGTTTCAGGTCCCAGTTGGGGTGCTTATGGGAGGCAACCAATTGATCTCTCTCTCTCTCTCTCTCTCTCTCAACATATCCTCAGGTAAAGATTCAAAAAAAATAAAAAAGAACTTAGGATATGGTGAGCCCTCTCTATTACTATAAGATAGTTTTCCTCCCTCTTTTCCTTTTATATACATACCTCTCTCTCTTACTTTCAGGCGGTTAGCAGAGGCATTTCATATCAGCGATGATTCTGATCCTTTCAATGTACGTTCTTCAGCATCAAAATTCAGTGATAGTTTGAAAGAAGATGCCAGGTATGTAACTTGTCATCTACTTTATTAATTGTAGCTTTCAAGAGTGTTTGCTCTTTTCAGGTGTAATTAATAAGTACTCTATGATTTAACCCAATTAAAATTCATATATCTATTACAAGAGATTGTATGATGTTTAATAAAAAAAATCCTTCTCCCAGTTTCTCAGAACTATTACCATGAGGAATTGAACTTGGGAGGGTGGATGTGGCCCCGGTGGTAGGAGTTAGGGCATCTCTAGGGCTGGATTAGCCTAAATTCTCTGGCCGAATCCTACCTCTGTCCATCCGGGTCTGTCACATGGGTCCTCACTTGGGCAGTAACACCCCTTTCTGTCCACCTGTCTCCTCCAGTGGCTATTTCTCCTTCCATCTTCTCCTTTTTGATGTTTTCTCTTTCTTTGTTCAGTCATGGTCAGTATTCTGTTATCTGACAGTTCCTGACATCTGCCGTTTTTCTGCCCACATTGTCTATTGTCTGCACTTTACAGGCAGGGAGGGTGGGCAGGAGGGATTTTCAAAGACCAGGAACAGAGGAAGTTAACTGTAGTGATTTCTCATTTCAGGAAGGACTTGAAGTTTGTCAGTGATGTTGAGAAGGAAATGGAAGCCCTTGTGGAAGCCGTGAATAAGGTTGAAGTCAAAACATCCCATTGGACATGTCTCTAAGGCCAGCTTAATGAAAAATCAATTCCCAAAAATACTGTTGGTATTGAGTAGTTGTAGAAAAAAGCTTCCTTTTGAGGATCCTTGTATTTCCCAAAAGCCCAGCCACAGTAATATCCATAGAATCCCTGTCCTGGTTTAGGAAAGATTTCTGCAGTCAAATTACATGTAAATAAAAATCCTAGCTCAGTGCCTCAGAATGGGTGAAGAAACCCGGATGAGGAGTTTCAACAGCGATAGTTGAATGAATGTGTGAAATAATTAGGGAGACATGCTGGGACCTGAGATCTCTGAAGGGCTGTTATACAATAGGACAACACTGCCCTTGGGTAAAGTTTAAAAGGTGAACAACTGGAACTGAAGAGTAATGGCATAGACTCCCTCAACATATGAGAGTGGGGCCTCTGTCCTGGAGGCAGCCAGGTATGTTGAGGAGGCAGCTATAAGCAAAAAAAAAGCCTTTTAGTCAGAATCAGCCAGCCGCACAGTGGCTCCCTCTTCATTCAGCGGGGACTCTGAGTGAGGGTGAGATGCTGCTTCAGTTTCCTACCTAATGAAGGATTTCCTTCCCACCATCTGTCTTGCCCTCTTCCCTTCCTTTGTTCCCACTTCCCTGCAGGGGACTAACACAAAGGAAGAAACAGAATCATTGTTTCTCTCCTAATTAGGAAACCTGAGCAAATGTATTTTCCTGCTTGTATGTCTGTATCTGCACCCTCATTTTTAGTGCAGAACCTACTTTTATAGGAAGTGAGACTTTCTTGTTTTGTAAGTGTTAAATTTAGTCATTTGGTGAGACTCTCACCCACTCCCCACTCACAGGCCTCAGGAGGAACCCTTCACTGTCTGTGTAAGTCTTAGTTCATTTACCCTTTGTCGCTAACCCTGGACAGCTGTCACTGTGTGGCTCCCAAGTAGATGAAGTGCATCAGCCCTCACCCTCCCAAAGCACTCCGCTTGCTTGGCAGCCAGTGACATGCTGTACACTGCAGGCCTCTAACACTTAGTCGACCCTTTATTGACCCAGGCTGTTCCGATTGGGGGAAGGACCTTTGTAAGCATATTCTGTTTTCAAGGTGATTTTATCAGTCATTCTCTTTTTTCCTTAATACAGGGAAAGAATAGTAAGAAGAGCCACTTCTTCCCTCCCATGAACAGAGACCACCGCCGGATCATCCACGAACTGGCCCAAGTGTATGGCCTGGAGAGCGTGAGCTATGACAGTGAACCGAAGCGCAATGTCGTGGTCACTGCAGTCAGGTGGGTTGATCTTGCCAACAGAGGAGGAACTGCTTGGTGGGGCAGACTGGACCCGGGAAGCAGAGTCTGTCAATATTTCCTCTCCGTACTTCCTCTCCTGGAAGAGTAGTGGGAAGCTCTGCGTCTGGGACAGCCATTCTGAGATGATCAAAAGATCCAAACCAGATTGCACAGCTTCACGTCGGTCACTGGGTGCAGCATTCCTGGGGCTGAGGGAACAGACCCTGAGGGCCTGGGTTGGGAGCCTGCCTGTCGGGTTTGTCCTTTTTCCCTTCTGTCTGGGCATAATGGAAACAGAAAGGATGCTGCACTGTGACTGAAGCCATTCCCTAAAAAGTGTTGCTGTCGGAGGAAACTGGGACGGTAATTTGTGAGACAGGAGGGGCAGGGAAGACCTAGAATCATTGTCAGAACCTGAGAGAATAGCAAGAACTTCTCAACGAAGAAAACACACGTGTGAGATCAGAAAAAGCAGGTAACAGGCCCAGCAAAGGTGGATGAAAGGGACGAGGGTTAAATGAAGGTGACCATGCCCGAGCAGAGACAAGTTATTTCAAGAGAATGCTCCGTAGCATCACAGTGCTAAAGGCACAGACCAGGCACAGATAGCTATCTGTCTGTCTCCACAAACAGTCCTCACTTTTCAATATTTGTGTTCTGCCTTCTACCAGAGGGAAGTCCGTTTGTCCTCCTATGATGCTGACAGGTGTGCTGGAAAAGGAAATGCAGTCTCGGCCTCCGCCACCTATTCCTCATCACAGACAACAGTCAGACAAGTAAGGACTCGCCTGCTCTTTCCAAAGGACCCTGTCTGTTCAGAGGAGCTGGCAGGGCCGAACAATTGGGCTGCCCCAGCCGTTGGTGGCCTTCTCAGGCCTGGCCTTGGGGTACCATGTTCAAATATATAAGGTTTGACTGGATGTCAGACACATCTGTCATGCCAGTCGGGCCCCAAGTTAATGTTCTCACCCACTTCCCCTCAAGGGAGAGCAGTCCCTGGCCGTAATTTCCATGGTGTAGATGGAGACCCCGGGGAGTGGATTCAGCCGGTCACACCAGATGATTTAAGAACCTCATGTGGTTCACAACCATTGCTCTGGAGGAAAGTGGGATTGGAGGTGGGGAGTTGGCTGTAAAGAGGGGGACTTTCATGTTTTGCTTTACTTCCATATGATTTGAGTCATTTCACAACAAAAACATGTATTCAGAATTTAAAGAAAAGAAAAAACATTGGCAAGCAGCAGGACATCTTCCAGGTGCTTTCTCAGACGGGGCAGGGAAGGAGCACCGTCCCCCCTTCCCCTCCTCTCCCTTACCAGGCGCGCAGCTGGCTGCCCTGCTGTGATGAAGCAGCATTGCCGAAAGTTGCCGTGAAATGATAGGGCCCCCTGCTCCTGCTCTGGCCCTCCACACAGAAGCGCTGACCATTCACAAGATCACCACGAGGGTCATAGCAGTTGGTGTTCCTCTGGGATAGATAGAGCAGCTAGGCGTTGCCCGTTGGGCACAGCTCCAGCAGGAGCACCTGGGGCCGTGTAGCTGCCCGGTGTCAGCCCCGATCATGCCTGGGAAGCAGGCGGCCTAGATTCCAGTCAGTGCAGATTGCCCATCTACATGGGCAGTGGTCTTCGCAACAGGTGGAGCATCCAGTACCGTCTGGACCGAACCATGTGTAGTCATTGGCCTGTTTATGCTATGCTGTCTTTTTTTTCCTTTGCTTGCTTCATTTTTGTATAAAACTGTATAGGGGGAAATTTTTAGACTAGAGAAAATAGTATTAATACAGTGAACCCCTGTGTGCCCATCACCAAAATTTCAGCAGTTCTTAGCTTATGCAGACCCCACTATCTTATCAAAACCTCATAAATGATAAGTCAACCAATCCCTAACTTTCTGAAGACCTGAATTTGTTTCCCACAGAAAGAAAAGACGGATCATTCTTTCTTTGCTTTTCAGGAATCCTGGGAGCAATAACTTACAGAAAATAACCAAGGAGCCGGTAATTGACTACTTTGATGTCCAGGACTGAGAAGCTCAAGATGCACTTAGATGAAAGAATGATTAGGTGGGATGGAGACTCATTTGCCAGCAGATAAATCATGCTTGTTCCCAACTTCCTGGTGGACTCACAGCCTCACATGCTGTCTTGTATCGATCTATCCAAAGCATGAGTGTGTCAGAAATCCCTTGTCCTCTAGTCCCTCTCTATATGAAGCGTCCCTGTGCAGCCAGATGCTGACTGCGTGGTCACTCATAATTCAGTCATGTATTTGCAGAGGCTCCCCACACTTTCACTGTGATTGCTCGGAGGCTTAGGGGAACATTGGACTTGGTTTGGACAAGCCAGAATTTTAGCCTGAAACTGGCTTTATGGCACTTAGTCATAACCTCAGTTGTCCCAGTTATCCATCCTCCTCCCGAAAATGCCTGCAACATCAGATGCACCCCCCTTTCTTAATCCAGACTGATCATAGTCTGTGAAAAGACACAAGCAAACTTCTCGGTCCGAAATACCAAACACTGAATTGGTACGCCGTATCTGGAATCACGTGTTGTGTTAAACTTGGCTATCTTACCTGAGTCTTTTGCCAAAAACTCTCATAGACCTATGTAGCTGAACTCATTTTAGGGGATCTCAGTACCATTAGATCTAAACCTAGCAAAGGATTTCGGTGGCTTTACAGAATTCCATTCTCTCAAGTCCATGAGCGCCTCATACCGCATCACTGAGCCTGTCGGATGACAGTCACTTTAGCTGTCCGCCGTGGTGGGAGAGGACATAGAGCAAGCTCCACCTGCCAGGTTCACACTGTGGCCTCTCTGTATGACCAGTGTGGCCCCAACACCTCTCTGGTTAAGGAAGAGTCTCAGGTAAACTGAGTGCTACCCTGTGTTGCTCTCTGCCAGGCCTGCAGCAGCTGTATTAGCTGCTCCTGTCTCTGAGTGCTGGGCTTCTGTTTGAATAGTCAAAAAAGCATGGGGACAGTCCGGTGCTTATCTCCGCAGCCCAGTGGAGGCATTCTTCAGGCTCCTGTAAGGGCCTCTGCATGGGCGCCCCTCCAGCACAGGGGCCACACTTCCAGAAACTTCCTTCTGCTGCAAAACAAGCCACGAGCCCCAGAGCAACAAGAGATGTGAGAAACAACTTCACAAAACCCGCACTTAATTATCATAGAGCAGGGCCACCCTTCGGTTCTGGCCCAGACAATCTGCCTTGAGAGGTATCAGGTACAGCAGTGGGAGTAGACAACTGAAGGGAAGAGATGAGCTACAAAGTCACCTATCTGGGCCCATTCAGCACAGGGGCGTTGGCTAAAAAGCCCACAAGCATCTGTTAAATCTTTCAGTGTGGGTTTAGTGTGTAAACTGTGCACTGAGAGCATCTCAGAATCAGCTGGAGGCAGGAAACCTGATTTCAGATCCCAGCTCTGCCACATAACAACTTGCCACTTGGTGGAATGGAGGTATCAAACCACCTCACCAAAGTGGCTGTGATGATTAAATGGGATAACATGTAGAGGTGCCTGATCTATCATAGGTGTTCAAAATTTATGAAAATTTACTTGATATCTAGAAAATATGTAAGCATCTTTTTTTTTTTCCGTAATACTAGCCAAGTAAAAGGTTAGAATGCTAAGAAGTCCTCTTGAGGTGAATGCTTGTGTGCCTTCTTAGCACCAGCCTTGTTCTAGGGCTGTGGGGAACAGATGTGGCCTGTGTTTTAGTTAGTATTCAGGTAGGGGTCACGTATCTGAGTATATATAATGGAATTGGTTGGTCTGGCACAAACAGGTCATTAGTCTTAGTAAAAGCTGAAGAGGGGCACGAGGACTGGGTTAGCTGGTGCTTGAGGGAAGGAACCCTGATGGGGAAGGGAAGCAGGAGGGAGCATTTGAGCTGAGTCTGGAGCTGGCCGACTGCTGTTTAGAGGAGGCAGGCGTGCCACATGAAGGTGGAGGGCAGGAGACAAGGCTGGGCGTGCGGTTTGTGGTGGGCTTGAGGAAGGAAGGGATCTTCCAGAGTGGGCAGACAGCCGGAAGGACAGGTCAGGAAGCTGAAGAGGTGGATGCGTCAGCTTGAGAGCCACGGAGAGCCCCCGAAGGATCCTAAGCAGAGAGTGGCTGGCCTGGATCTATGATCTAGAGCGGGAGCCTGCAAACTTTCCTGTAAAGAGCCAGGTAGTAACTATTTCAGGCTTTGTGGATTTCTGTTGCCACTACCCGACTCTGCCATTGTGTGTGAAAGCAGCCACAGACAATGCACAAGTGAGTGAGCACGACTCTGTTCTAATAATAATTTTATAGTCACTGAAGTCAGAATTTCATGTAATTTTTACATCACAAAATACTATTTTTATTTTCCCGATCCTTTTAAAAAAGTGAAAACTATTTTTAGCTTATGGGCTGTACAAAAACAGAAGCAGGCTGCGCGTGGCCATGGACCTGAGTTTGCCCAGGGATTAGAGGACTAACAGGTAAGAGGCCCAGCCAAGGGCTGGGAGTGACCCAGGATGAGGTAGTGGGAATTGGTGCTACAAAGGGGTAAGAGATTTCAGAGAATCAGGAGGTAGGATAGGAAGCCAGGGATCAGCAGGGAGCTAACTGTCCCCTCATCACCAAAAGGACCTCAGGCCCCCCTCTGGAAAAGGAAGCTGCTCCTCATTCTCCAGTGAGCAGTGGCCTTGATCAAGCCTCCACATGAATGTTGACTGAAGGAAGAGATACCCCTGCCCCTCTCCCCCATACATGGAGGGACCCTGTGGGCATCAGGACTCCAATTTGTTGCCCCCCTCAAGCATCAGGCAGTACCTTCTCTCCCCCCTCCAGCCCCTCAGTTTTCAGCAGGAGTGTGTTTATGGAGCCAGGGCTTTCCAGAGACCGAGTTTTTATCTCTGGAATTCCCTCTGGCAGGACTGACTCAACAGTGGTGGCCAGCCTGGCGTGCAGTGAAGAGGTGTGTGTGGGACTGGAAATGCAGCCCTCCAGACTGCAGGTCTGTGTGAAGCAGCTCTGGATGGTGCCCTGGACAGGGCCCGGCCAGGCCAGAGGCAGGCGTGGGGTCGGCGGCGAGTAGGGGGGCCTCAGTCTCTGGGGGAGGCGCAAAGCCTCAAACAGAAGGTGTTAAGATTTAGGTGTGGGGGTCTTTCCCTCCAGGTGCCAGTCTTCATGCTTCGTGCCTGAAAGCCTAGAGACCTGTTCTCTAGGGAGAGTCTACCATGATGCCACCTCTTCCAAAATCGGGGAGGAAGTGCCAGGCCAGGCTAGAGCCTCACCACAGACCTGCCTTCCTCTGTCACGGCCATCAGGCAAATTCTCCCAAACTCCCCACGTGGCCTCAGCACAAATGTCCCATGCCACCTCCTGTGGCTGTAAGAGCTCACAGGAGAGAATTAGAGAATTCCCTGGGGCATTCTCTCAGCCAGTCCAACCCTAGCCTACAAAGGGCCAGATGGAAGGAGCAAGGCTCCACGGAGTCACACTCATGTGTGCCAAGCCGGGAGTGGCATTCAGACCTTGGGTTTCCCAACCTAGAGCTACCCGAGGTTCAGGCGGGCCTGCATCCTCAGGATAAGGTGCACTGTCTTCCCCAAAGAGAATTGCTTGGGTGTCCATCCCAGTGACCCAGGCTGCATGCTGTACACACGGCCTCTGGGGAGACCTGGGTGCAGAGAACCCCACTGAACTGCTAGGATGCCCAGTGCTGCCTCAGCTCTCTGTGACTCTGGGCAGTTGGCTTCCGGTGTCTGGGCATTGGTCTCCCCATCTGTTAATGGGTAATAGTTTCTGCTCATGCACTGCCCCAGACCATTGGAAGGGTAACACGGTCAAGCCTCTGGAGCCTGTCCCGGAACTCTCCCAGGGACCGCTCAGGGGGAAGGAACAGAACAGTCTCAAAGTTGCTTTGATAGGGGCCGGGGCTTTCAGTCATCACCCACGTACTCCACCCTCACCCACCCCAAGTCTGACATGTGGGGTGAAGGATTCAGAAGTCCCCAGGTACCCATTCTTTCCCAAGTATCTCTTCTGAGCTCTTAATATGTGCCAGGCACTGTGCTCATCTTTTCGTCCTCAAAGCCTCATGGAGTCGTTATTCTTACTACTCCCATTTCACTAGTGGGGAAACTGGTGGTTGGAAGTTAGGTCACTAACCCAAGATCACTCAGTTAACAACTGGGAATCTGCTAGTCCTACGAGGTGTCGCACAAACCCTGTGTTCTCTCCACTACACAGAGCAGTGGCAGCTCACGGAGCTCACACCGGAGTCCCTGGGACTGCATGGCCCATGAAGTAGGACAAGTAGGAAAGTTTATGCTCTACAAATGCAGAGAACCCCAGCAGCCCCCAAAGATGGAGGGGTGTCCTATGATAGCCACAGGGGGCAGTATGTATCAAACCTGGAGCCTAGGGATGGGGTGGGGGATGCGGGAGTGTTTATACTTTGCCTCAGGAAAGCTCTTTTATGTAAAACTGTAGAAGTGTTTATAACCATTATCTTAAATGTATCACCTTTTCACTCTCTTTAGCACTCTCTGTATCCGGTAGTTGATTCAATGTAGGCACAGGGAGGGAAAGCATAAACCATGCAGATGATCGGAAGGAAGAACACCCCAGGCAGAGGGAACGGCCTTGGCAAAGGGTCAGTGGTGGAAACGTGCCATACACCCTGACAGAACAGCAAAGCCATCAGGCTGCAGGAGAGTGAAGAAGGGAGAGAGCAGCAGGGCCCTTGAGGCTGTAGGAAGCCGTCAGGCAGAGGAGTGACTGATAAGTGGTAGCTCATTTTTTCAAAGGATCACTCCAGCTGCTGTAAAGGTGATTCACAGCAAGGGGAGAGGCTGGGAGGCCAGTCAGAAAACCACTGCTACAATCCAAGAGAGAGGTGACAGTGACTCAAACCCAGGGCGGTGAGAAGTGGTTGGATTCCAGATGCATCTTGCAGATAACACCTACCGGATCTGCTGATGGCGGCACTGTGGCGTGTGAGAGAGAGAGGAGTCAGGGATGACTTCAAAGTTTTTGGCCTGAGCAATGGGAAGATGAATTTGCCATTTACTGAGACAGGAAAGAGTGTGGGAAGAGCACGCTTGGGAAGATGAAAATCTGTCCAGGCGGTTGTACGTGGAAATCTAAAGTATGGAAACAGAGTTGGGATGGAAATCTAATTTGGGGAGCTGTTGGGCCGAGGGCTGGTGAAAGAGAAAAGATCCAAGGACTGCGCCCTGGTCACTCTCTCATCGAGAGGGCAGGGAGCTGAGGACAGGGCCAGAGTCAGAGGTTTCTAGAACTAGAGCCGGGGGCGGAGGCTGCGGGGAATCCTGTAGGGCAAGAGTCCCTAGTTTCCTAGTGAGTGTGGGCTTCTCTTGCCCTGACCCATCTGAACTTTCTGAGGCCCCGGAATATTCAGGCTCCAGGGCCAGAGGAGATTATGGAGATTGGCTGCCTCCCCCCCTCCAGCTATGTCTCAAACATGGGTGCTCTGTCGTCTCTCCCTGAGCCACCTCATCCATCTGCAAGCCTTCAAATGCCACCCTGGGCTTAAGAGCTCTGTAGCCAGGCCCACGTCTTTCCCTGAATATCCCCCAAGTACCTACGATTCAGCATGTCCCACCTCCAGTCTGTTTCCTCATGTGCCCACCACCTGTCCAGCTTCCCCGGTCCTGGCACTGGGCCTCCCTTAGTTCATCTTCTCTCTAATGCCCCTTTACCTGGGGCCAGAAGCCAGGACACAGGGGAACGAGAGACCAGGGGAGGGCAGGGACACAGTCTTGCTGTTCTTGGCAGGGCTGTTCTAGGGACCTGCTGTGACACCCATCTGAGGAATCCTCCTTATCAGTCAGTAGGGGTGTGGTTGGGTCCCTGGAGGACTCAAAGGTGCAACCCTAGATTTATTGGTCTCATCTGTGTGCTTGAGTATACCTGGCTCTGAGCTGTGCGTCTTCTCTCTCGGCCTCTGAGCCTCCAGCTCCTCCCCTCCCCCCTTCCCTCCTTTCTTCCTTCCTTCCTGCAGTGAGACCTGCCTCTCTCCCCCAGACACCCCCCACCCTCTGCCCCAAGCCCTGGTCTCACCTCTCCCCTGCACCTGGCCCCAGTTCACCTACCCCTCATTTCTCTGACCTCCTCTTCTCCCACTCTCCCCTCCCTACTTCCATTCCAGCAATGGCCCCTCTGTGTTCCCACCTTAGGACCTTAGCACTGGCTGTTTCCTCAGCCTGGCACGCTTTTCCCCAGCCATCCACATGGCTCACTCCCTCACCCCCTTCAGGGGTCTACTCCAAGTCACCTTCTCAGTGAGGCCTCCGTCTCCACACCCCACACACTTACTATCCCTCTTTCCTGCTTTTCCTCCATAGCATGCATCACTGGCACAGCACATGTTTTGTACAGAACATCAGCTCCATGAGAACAAGGACTTTTGTATACCCTCTCTGTGTCTGTATCCTCGGCACTGGAATGGTGTTTGGTGTGTTGTAGGCTGTCACCCACCGTCTGCGAAGAGAATGGAAGGGGTCTGTGCTCTGTGAACAGAAGTGCTCTGGGGCCGGCGTCGGGGCTCACACAGCCTGCAGGAAGTTACGGGCAGTGGGCCTCGCGCAGGTCTGTGACAGGGCAGTGCACTGCACGCAGGGGTTCTGCATGGACGCACTGGCTGCCTTGGCGCCAAGGCCGCCTGCCAGAGACACGGGGATGCCAGAGGAGGAAGCAGTCAGTGAGGACAGAGGGGCGTAGCATCCAGAGCCCTGGAGCCCTCATCTACCTCTCCCACCTGTGACTGAGGCCTGTGGTAACACTGTTCTGAAACACCAGGAATTAGAAAGGCCACCCTCTGTGTTCACAGAGCCACTGGGGCTGAGAAAGAGGAAGGGAGGGGCTTTTCCAGGGTCACGGAGGAAAGCAGCTGGCTGGGACCTCCCGCTGTGGGCCCTTCCTTGGTCACTCGCAGGCCTGGTGTCCGGGCTAAGCCCCTCCCACCGTGGACGGTCAGACATTCTCAAACCTCTCCCCTTTCTGCACGGACCCCCTGTAATCTCAGCAGGCTCCAACCCTCCTTCTTCCCACCACCTATTCTCGTGCTGTAGCGATTTCTTCTTCATCTTTTTAAACATGATACCTACAAATATATATCACAGTTATATGTTATAAAGCACAATCATATAACACCCATAAATTTTTCCCCAGCTCCAAAACCAGAAAATTATTAATAGATTACACTGTCCCATGCTCCCCCCGATCTCATCTCCCATTTCTACAACCTTATATCGCTGGAAGAATCACCCTTTTTTTTTAAACAGGTAATCATGTTCATATTACCACTTCCACAAACACTAATAAAATAAGGTTTATAAATCATAAATACAGTGGTCACATTCACACATATCTGATACGCTTTCACAAAAGCATTCGGTAAACAACAATAAATATAATTTCCCCTCTTCAAAACAAAAAGTACTTTTTTTTGAGAGTATGTTTATTAAAGCTGGGGACAGTGAAACAAGGAGGGGCCCAGGACAGAAGCAGCGACAGGAGAGACATTAGGCAGGGCTGCTGCCAGCTCCCTGGGGAGTCAGAGAAAAGGGGGCCTTGGAGACAGGCTCGGGGCGAGCCCAGGACGAGCTGCAGCCACCCATTGCTCCCAAGTCTCAGGTCTCCTATCACTGAGGGGGGTCGGGGGGAGACGAGGGGCGGGGAGCCGGCGCAGGTGTGCTCCCAGGAGGGGGAGTGCACCCTTTTTTTCCCCCCTTAGTTTTATCACATGTGTTTGCCTAAAGAATATATTACTTTTTTGCTTATTTGTCAACAGCATACCTGGTGTCATACTGTATACAGTCTACTGCATTGCTTTTTATGCCTCCAAACTTTCCATATTTGGCAGGGAGCTGTTGTGCCTTAGTTTTTACTGATGTAGCAAATCTTTTGTATGTGACTGTACTGAAATGTAAGTATTTATTCCCATGTTGATGGACATTTGGATTGTTTCCAGTGCCCCCGGACCATCCACTTTGGGCCCCCTCCTCAGCCAAACCTCTTGGGGTGCCTATTCCATGCCTCATAGCCACCCCCCAGCTTGCTCCCAAGAGCCTGCTCATGGGCCCTCTTTTTCACTGTTTCATGGCCCCAGCTATAGCCACACAACCACAGCTTTTTCAGTCTCTGTCTTCAGCTCTTTTCTGAACTGCAGACTATCAAAAAGAATAATTGTTTATTGAACACTTATCTGTGCCAAGCACTATTCTCAGCAATGTATATGTTTTATTTCATTGAATATTCACAGCAACACAAACGGTAGGAAATAGTGTTAGACTCATTTTACAAATGAGAAAAACAAGACCCAGAGAGGCTGAGTAACTTGCCCAAGACCACACACCTCTTGCCCTTCATGTCCGATAGACAACTCAAGCTCAATATGTCCATGATATAACTTGTCATCTTCCTTTCCAAACCAGTTCCTTTCCCATGCTCTGCTCTCCATGGGGACATCTCCAGTGTCCCAGGCCCAAGCCAGAAACTGAAAGTCAGACCTGGCTCCTATCATGTGACCACCTACTCCTTCATTCAATCCCAGCCCAAATCCTACAGCTTTTACCCACCAGGACTGACCTGTTAGGTGCCCTGCTGCTTCTCCAGGATCACTGCCTCTCACCACACTCCCTTGCAGGCCCCAATCTCCCCCTTTTCCACCAACGTGCACGCAGCAGCCAGGTGGGCTTTCTAAGTCTCCTCTCACCGTGCACCCACCTCCGGGAGAACGCCCAGTCTCCTCTGCCTCCTGCCCCCTCAAACTGCTCAAACTGTAAAATGCAGCGCCCAGCCCCAGAAAGCATATCTCCTGACCCCAACTCTTCTCTGTCTCCCCTAGGAAACCATCCTTGGCCTTGGCTTCAAGGTATGAGCCCCACAGCCTCCATGCAGCCCCCGCTCCACCACTTACCTTTTTCCTCCTATCCCCATTAAACTGCGTTCCTGCCCTGCCTGATATAGCTCAGTGGATTGAGTGCCAGCCTGTAAACCAAAGGGTCGCTTGTTCGATTCCCAGTCAGGGCACAGGCCTAGGTTGTGGACTAGGCCCCCAGTAGGGGGCGTGCAAGGGGCAACCGCACATTGATGTTTCTCTCCCTTTCTTTCTCCTTCTCTTCTCTCTAAAAATAAATAAATACAATCTTTAAAAAAATTTAAAAAATTAAAAACTGCCTTCCTCGAAGGCAGAGACCCAGCCTCATCCACTGCAGCAGCTCCTGGCCCAGACAAGGCCTCCACACAGGAGGTGCTCAATAATTGCTGAAAGGATAAACACAAAAGCAGTGAAGGGGGAAATTAAAAAGATCTTACTATTTTTGTATAAAGCACAGATATATATAAAGTACATATACAGATATACAGTAATATCTGTGGTGTTAAAATATCATGTGATTAAGAAAAAAATATCTAAAAGTCTTCTGAGGTGGGGCAATAATGAAAAGAAAAAAAAACAACCCTTCTTATCTACACACTTGGGCCTGGTCTTATCTGGTACAAAGATTAGCCAGAACTGAGGGAGATTCTCAAGTCCTCTCCCAGGGCAGCTCAGGGTATCCCCAGAGCTGAACCCTCACCAGCTAGCTGTTGTGCTTTTCCCAAACCATCCCTTTCCTGCCCTATGCCTGCAAGTCCACTATTCTGTGCCTGGCATCTTTTCAATGTCCTCTTCTTCCTGTTGGCCCTGCCCTATGCTCCCCCAGGGGGTGCCCCAGCTCCTAGGACTGGTGGGGGTGGAGGCCTCTTGGCTTCATGCTCCAGCTTTGGGCTACAGTGTTCCTGGAAGAATCCAGAAGGGAAGCCCAATCATAGGAGGCACCCAGGAAGCAAGGGTGCCACTGCGGGACAAGGCTTTCTTTATTGGGTGGGAATGGAGGCACAAATAATCTTACTTAGAATTGCTGTATTTGGATAGAGTCACTTAAGGGTGGGACGGACCGGTTTAAAGATCTGCTGGGGGGAGACACAGAGACAGAGGTAAGGGAAGAGATATCTGTTTGGTGACGCATGGTCTTGGGCAACACAGGTATTCTGTGGTCTTCATTCGCCTTGGAGTTGTCCGGTCTCTGGGGCTCCGGTGGAACAATGGAGCCAATGAAGACCAAGTAGATGACGCCACCTAAGTAGGCACCCAGGGGCGGTGCCACCACTGGCACCCACCACCAGCCCTTGGCCCTGCAGACAAAAGGCAGAGGCCTGGTAAGGGGGCCAATGTCCAGGATAGCACCTGTGTCCACCTCGTGCCCAGACAGGGGGTAGGGCCTGAGAGGAAATAAGTGACCCGCATCCTAGCCCCAGAGTCACCCCTGAGCCTGGAGCCCCATGAGCTTCATCCTGATTCAGGGACAGGGCGGATCCGGGCAGGGTTTACCTTCAGTCCAGGAGCAGGATCAGTGCTGGTCACAGGGAAGGTCGGGACACACTCCTGCCTCCCCAGGCCACCTGGCAGCTCTGCAGGACTCTCCGGTGAGGCTCCTCACTTTACCCGCCCCCTCCGCATGGAGGGGACACATAGACAATTTGAAGGAATGGGCTGGGCAGGGCAGTACCTGAAGACCTGTGTGCCCCAGCCGGCAAGAAAGGTGAAGAAACGGGGAGGCAGGTCGCGGGACGGGTTGATGGCATATCCTGAGTTCATGCCCAGGGACACGCCAATGATGACCACGAGGATGCCGATCACCAGGGCCTGTGTCCCTTGCAGTGCTGGGTGGTTCCCATTGTCCGTGATGGCGAAGAGACACAGCTGGAGCATCCCCGTAACTATCACCTGGGGAGCAGATGCTGTGGCAGCCACCCAGGGGCCCTGGCCAAGCCACAGGGACTTGGCAGTGCCCCCCATCCAAACCCACTGGCAGAGATGTGTCTTGGTACAGTTCCCGTCAGAGTTCTTATCCTCTCTGTGGGGAGGGGTTGCCTGCTGGCCCCTTTCTGAGGTGGGGAAGGCAAGAGGAGGGGCAACGACCCTGAACCACTGACCTCATCCAGGAAGCCCCTCCATAACGGCATGTAGTCAGGCAGATAGGTGGCAAAAATGTTAGCGGTGGCTATCGGGCCAGTCACTGTCAGATGTCCACCTGTGTGTTCGATAATGGCTGCTGTGGAGACATAGATTGAGTGTCAGCCTGCCCCGAGCTCAACCCCATGGGATTCCCAGAAATAAGGCTGTAGGATGGAGGGGTGAGGAGCCTCTCCAGGGCTTTACTCTCCCAGACATTTTCATGGGCCAGGACACTGAGATTGGATCGTCCCACACTTCTGAGGAGGAGGCTGAGGCCAGACGTGGACAACCCGGGCAGGGCACTCACCGTAGAAGAGGCAGTAGATGGTGGCAGCAGCGAGGAAGGAACCCACGAACTGACCCAGTACATACACAGGAAACTTCTTCCAGGACATGCGGCCTAGTGCACAGCTGGTGAAGGTCACGGCCGCATTCATGTGGGCCCCTGCGGGGAGAGCAAGGATGTCACGAGAGTGAGAGCAGAAACCAACAACAACAAATAATATTGAGAGCAGCAACAATAATAACGAGGCAAGCATTTATGCATTGCCCTCTCATTTAGTTCTCACAAGGACCCACTGAGGTGGGGACCACCATCTCCATTTGACCATTAAGGAAAGTGAGAAGTAGAGAAAGTCAAATAGCCTAAGTTAACCCACCTAGTAAAAATGGTGGGTCAAGGGGGCTCATGAAGAGTCTGGGCAAGACAGAGGAAAGGGGTTTATTTAGGGTGTTCTCCCCTCCAGGTGGCCAGCGAGGGCGAGGTGCCGGCTGACTAGGGAAGGGGCTGGCCGGAGATGGGCAGGAAGAACCCGCAGGGGAGTCCTAGCCTTGCTGGTCAGGAAGGGCCCAGGCTCACTCACCAGAGATTTTCCCTGCCATGTGCACTCCCATGGTGACTCCGAAGCCGAATCCCAAGTTGACACCGAGGTAGCTCCCAAAATTGTCTCCTAGAACCATATGGGCCACGGCACCAAGGCCAAACACCTGCAAGGGAGGGCCTCTGAGGGGACTGCCTGCCCGGGGCCCCAACCTCAGAAGAGGCTCAGAGCTCAGTTCGGGCTCCTCACCCTCACACCCTGGGCCTCCCCAAGTTGCCCTTGGAGACCGTCTGCCATGCCTCTTCCTCCAGAAACTTCCCTCCTCATGGCCTGTCCCCCTTGCCCCTGTCAAAGCCTCTTAAGACCTGCCCAATGAGAGCTGGGCGGGGGTGCAGAAGGAGCCAGGGGAGGGGGCATGGCTGCTGTGGGGGGAACCCTTCAGAGCATCTCACACTGCAGGCTACCCTGAGGAAAGTCCCCTCAAGGGATCGCCAAACCTCACACCGGGGCTCTGCCATGGCCCCCATCCGCAGCCCACCACCCCCATACTCATCATCCCTGAAGCCAGTGAGGCTCTAATGCTCTTGCCCTCAGCAACACTTCCATTGCTCTCAGGCGTCATTCTAGCTCCTGCCCATCCCTAACTGCTGAATCTCCTCAGGTGACGCCCTTACCGACACCCTTCGCAGGGAGATTAGAGGAGCGAGGCTGGGCCCTCACTCAGCCTCCTGCAGTCACCCACCTGAGTCTATGTCAGCCTGTCCCTTCAGCTCTGGTACCCGCACCCAGCCTCTCCTGGCCTCTGCAGAGGCCTCCCTCTTGCCCTATCTTCCACCCTCCCCTTGACTGGCTCCCACAGACTCAGGTCTCTTCCTTCCTAAAAGTAAAGCTTCCCACTTCAGCCCAGCCTCCCATCCACCTGTGGAGTCCGGGACGCCTCCTCCACATCAGTCAGGTTCCAGGAAAGAACCCACTTGCTGGCTCTTTTACCCCTCCCTCGCTCTCCCTCCTCAACCTGGCTTCTGCTTCCACATCTCACCAACACCGAAGCTCTCTCCCCGGGCTCAGCCTGCTGATTGCCCAGAAGTCCCTTCACACATTGTCTTACTTGGCTTCACCGACTTTGACCCTCTTAACCTCTCTGTGCTCCTAGAAAGTCCCTCCTCTTGGCCTCCATAACATCTCTCTCTCCTGGTTTCCTCTTACCTCCACAGCCTCTCCCTCTCTACAGTTCCTTCCCACGTCTTTTTCCTTCATCTGTCTCATAAATATGGATGATCCCAGGGCTCCATCCCTGGCCCCTGTCACATCTCACCCCAGTCACTCCTCCTGGGTCTTCTTACCAGGTCTATGGCTTCAGGTACACCTACTGCACCGAAATTCCCAGAGCCTCCACCTGGGAGCCAGGTCCCTATTTCCAGAACTAACGGGAAGTCCGGGTGTTCAACGGGCATCTCAGGCTCTATGTTGAAAGGTCACCATCTTAGAAAATGCGATCCTCATCCTGTGTTCCCATTTCAGTTGGCCGAACCAGAAACTTGGATATTACAAATGAGAGCTTTCTCTCCCTCCACCCCCACACCCAATCAGTTCTTCTTACATTCTCCGCAGATCTTACTCAGCCTCCTCCTTGAAGCAAGAGTGACCTTTCTAACACAGAGGTCTGATCATGTCTATCCCTCATTCAAACCCTCACTGGCTCCCCTTCATTTCTAGGATAAAGCCCAAACTCAGGAGGCTGCCATTCAAAACCCTGTATTATTTCTCCTTCCCGGTTCCATATCTGCTCCAATGTTGTCTATATTCAGCAATAGTATTATTTCTAAATAATAGTAGCAACTTATTGAGAACTTACTATGTGGTAGGCACTGGTGAATGTTAACATCTATCACTTCCTTTAATTCTCATGCCAACATATGCATTAAGTATTATTAATCTCCCCATCTGGCAGATTCATAATCCAAGGCTTAGAAGAGTTGAGTGGCTTGTTCAAAGTACACAACCTGCATGTAGTAAGCTAGAATATGAATCCAGGCAGTCACCTATGCCAGACAGCCTCAAACCAAACAACCACACTACTCCCTGCGTGCCCTGTTTTTTCATGCATCTGTGTATTCCCTGTCTAGAATACCTGATCCTAGATCCTGAAAATGTGATGCTCTCCTTTAAGGCCACGCTTAAATGGCACTTCTTTGAGAAGTCCGTGTGTTTTGAACATGTCAACTCTGAGGGGCCCCTAGGTCTCCAGAGTGCTGGAAATTAGAATCTAGATTTGTATCATCCAATATGATGGCTACTAGCCACATGTGGCTACTATGTACTTGGAATATGGCTAGTCCTAAATAAGATCTGCTTTTTTTTTTTTAAATCGTCATCTGAGGACATGCTCACTGATTTTTTTAGAGAGAGGATAAGGGAGAGAGAGAAACTTCTATTGGCTACCTCTTGAATGCACCCTGACCAGGGACCTAACCTGCAACCTAGGCATGTGCCCTGACTAGGAACCAAATCCACCACCTTTTTGTCAGTTTACAGGACAACACTCTAATCAACTAAGCTACACCAGCCAGGGCAAGATCTGTTTTAAGTGTAAGGACAAACCAGATTTCAGAGACTTAATAGGGCCCTGGCCAGGTAGCTCAGTTGGTTAGAGCGTCATCCCAAAATGCCAAGGTTGTGGGTTCATTCCCCAGTCAGGGCACATAAAAGAATCAACCAATAAATCATAAGTAAGAGGAACAACAAATCGATGTTTCTCTCTCTCTCTTCCTCTCTCTCAAAAATCAATTAAAAAAAAAGACAGTAGAAAAAGGAGAATGTAGAATCTTATTAATAATTGTATATTTATTGCATGTTGAACTGATAGTATTTTGGCTCTATGGGTTAAACATAATAATTATTCAAATTAACTTCATGCCCTGGCCGGTGTGGCTCAGTGGATTGAGTATCGGCCTTGGAACTAAAGGGTCGCCTAAATAAATAAAAGTTTTTAAAAAAATATTAGCTTCACCTATCACTTTTTACCTTTTCAATGTGGCTACTAGAATATTTTAAATTATATATGTAGCTCATTGTTTTTCCCTTGGACAGTGCTTATCTGGAGTTTTTGAAAAAGAAAACCTGGAGAATTGTGAAATGAGGGCCACCTCTAAAGCCATCATGGAGGAAAAAAGCAGATGAGAGGATGCAGGGTAAGAAAGCACCTGAGGGCTGAACCTAGAGCCACACATCAGCCCTCACAGGTGGGTGTTAGAAACCCCAGCTGGAGCAGGTGTTGAAATGAGAGAACAAGAGAGAATGTGTCCTGGCCACCAGGGAGAAGCGGAGTTTCCCAAGGAAGGTGGGATCCACAGAGTCATGTGCAGCCTTTGGGTCAAGTGCATGAAGGCCTAGAAAGCATCCCTTTGGATGTGACAATCCAGCCGTCATTAGTATGTGGCGAGCACTGTGTCATCAGGCCACGGGGACAGAGAACCCAGGTCCTAGAGACTGAGAGGTGAGAGGCAGTGAGGAAGAGTTGAAGGGTTCCACTGTAGACCTCCCTTTGTGAACCTGCCTGAGGAGGGAGGGAGCAAGAATGTGATAAATGAAGGGGCTCATGGGATGAAAGGATGGGCATTTTGTTCTGTGTTGTGTTGTTTTAAGTAGAGAGACTTTGATAAGTTAAGACTGAGAGTGTGCCCTGGCCTAGTGGCTCAGTTGGTCGGAGCATTGCCCTGTGCACCAAAGGGCTGAGGGTTCGATCCCCAGTCAGGGCACATATGTAGATTGCATGTTTGATCCCTGGTCTGGGCACACACGGGAGGCAACCAATTCACATTTGTCTCTCACATTGATGTTCTTTTCTTCCTCTCTCTCTCCCTCTCTCTCTCAAATCAATAAACAGCACTGACTGGTACGGGGTTGGGCATCGTCCTGTGAACCAAGAGGTCACTGGTTCAATTCCCAGTCAGGTCACATGCCTGGTTTATGGTCCCCGTCTGGAGGCATATATCTCTCACATCAATGTTTCTCTCCCTCTCTCTCTCTCCCCCTTCTCTCTCTCCCTCCCTTCCCCTCTCTCTAAAAATAAATAAACAAACAAACAACAAACATATCCCCAGGTGAGGATTTAAAAAAAAGATTGAGAGAGGGAGAAGCTGGAGAGAGAGAAAAGGACAGAGCAAAGTACCTCCGTAGAGTGAGGGGTGGGACGGGCATAGGAGCCGAGGGCCCTCCGGGAAGGAGGGGCCCTGCCCCGACATGTGCATGCACCAGTAGGTGTGTTCAGGTGGTAAGAAGGCCAACGGGTGAGGAGCCAGTCAGCCAGACACACAAAGCCCACCTGGTGGTTTTCTCTGTCAAACTGACAAGCAAGTCATCTGCTGATTAAAGGGCAGGCAGACTACAGAGCAGCTTCGGGGAAGTCTGAGGAAAAGTGAAACAGCCTGGATGGAGTAGGGGAGACTGAATGAGCAGGGCCCGCCAGGTTCCTCAAGAGCCCAGGACAGGTGCAGAGGTGCCCAGAGGCAGGCCAGCTTAGGGTCAACGGTAGGATGAGGGAGGAGAGGACAGGAACAGATGGGGTGTGGGAGGGGGGAGTGAGGCCAGGAACAGCTGACAGGTTTGGGGGGGTCCCTGGGGTTTTGGGGAGTGAAGCCAGCATGGAGGGTCTAAAGACTAAGGGCCCTTACTTCCAAGTAGAAGCTCAGAACCATTTGCTAAAGATAATGAATGAGTGGATGAACCCTACATGATCTGTGTCATGGTTGCCATGGTTGCCAACTGGCAGCCCACGGGCCTAATCCATCCAGCACACAATTTGTTTGGATAACTTAGTTTTGTTTTTTTAGATTTTTAAAATTTACTTTTAAAGAGAGGGGAAGGGAGAGAGAAAGAAAGGGAGGGAAACATCAACGTGAGAGAGAAACATCCATCAGTTGCTCTCACACACCCCCAACCGGGAACCTGGCCCCGCAACGCGGGCACACACCCTGACTGGGAATCGAACCAGCCACCTTTTGATTCACAGACTGGCACTCAATCCACTGAGCCACAACAGTATAGCTTAGTTTTGGCAATCAGTTTCAGCTTCTCTTAAGAAATCGGAAGCCCAGGTAATGCTGGCTTGCATGGCAACAATCAGCTAGAGGAGCGGCAGCGCCATCCTTGCACAGGCTGGCAGTTAGCCACAGGCCTCACCACTCTGGGTTGCTCTCTCTGGCCTCTGGAGCGTGTGAGTTTGCAACCCCTGCCCTATCATTTTGCTCACGTCTACAGCTGATTTTTCAGGGCCCTAATGGCCCAGCTCCCCGCCTTCTTGGTCAGTAAATGTGGCCCAGACTGTCCAAGTCCCTGCAAGAGCCACAAGGCCAGCCTCAAGGAAAATACTCCCAGAGATTGCAGAGGGGAATTGAGTAGATCAGTCCATTTCCCTCACCCTGGTTGCAGTAAAGAGAACCCAAGGTCACACTTGCTTTTCTAGTAAAACCTTTGCCCTGATGACTCACTGAGTGTCCTTCCTAATCAATTTGGCACAGGCCCAACAACTAGAAATAAAAATACAATATCCTATATGAGCTTAAACCTCCCAAAGTTCTTTTACATGTGTTACTTTTTTTTTTAAGAAAGAGAGAAATATTGTTCCACCTATTCATGCATTCATTGGTTGATGCTTATATGTACCCTGACCAGAGATTGAACGCGCAAACTTCGCGTGTCAGGACAATGCTCTAGCCAACTGAGCTACCCGGCCCGTACCATGTGTTACTTCTTTTTCATTCTCACAGCAAATCCGAATGGCAAATGTTTGTGCTCTCACTCTATAGATGGGGAAAACAAGGCCCAGAGTGACGTCTTGGGCTACCAAAAGCCTGAAAATAAGGGTGTTACCTCAGCTAGGGGAGAGTAACAAGCCAAGGTGTTAGAAATCCTGCCACAGCTAAGCTAAGGGACAGAGCACTGAGATTAAGGGTCAAGACTGTGATATTAGACTGGACTGGATTTAATCTTAACTTAAAATGTGACCTTGAGCAATTGACAGTTTCATGGGGCCTTGGTCTCCCATCTGAGAAATAGGGATAATAATAGGCCCCCACAGGACTGTTGTGAGGATTTGGGAAGATGCTGCATGTAAGGGGCTTGGTTTAGCATCAATGCCTGGTATGCAAAAGGTGCTCAATAATAATCTTGATAAAAGGAAGAGAAACGCAGACATGGGCAGGCATCAATGGATGTGGGTGGTACCTGTTTTCCCTAAGAGCTCTCCAAGGAGGCACCCTCCTACATCCTTGGTTCCAAGGTTTAACAGCCCTCACTGGACTGGAATGTAATAAATGAATTACTTTGCCCTGGATTAAGACAAGGCAGGATCTTGTGCTGTCTTCACAGCTCAGAAGCCAAGCAGGAGAGTGAGTAATAGGGGTGGGAGAAAGAGGGGAGGTGGGGAGGGAGAGCAGCTGAGAGCGCTTGTCATGATGACCAGAGACCAACACACGTGTCCTACTTGTGAACTGAGTGTCGGTCTCTTGGCCTCCCTCCCACAAGTCTGTCAGCTCCATGTTAGTGTCATGTTTACTAATGAGGAAGCTGAAGTTCTGAACAGTTAAGACACTTATGGGAGATCACACAGGTAGATGATAGCAGAGCCAGAATTCAAATCCAGCTTCAAAGCCCACGAAGGCCCCAATTAACACATTTTATAACTGAGAAGTTAGACCCCCAGCCATGGAGAGATCTGCTGAGCGACTCAGTGACAGGGTCAGGATAAGAAGCCACGTATCCAGAGTCCCCTGGGCTCCCGAAGTCCCACCGTCTCCTACCCTGTGGCTCAACACACACACAACCAGTTACATTCATACTCATGTGCTCACACAACCACGCACACTGCCTCTGTCTCCCCCGCTCCGTCTGGCATGCTCCTGGCTGCCTTTGCTTCTCATCCCAGAGGCTGCTCCTTTTTTTCTCAGACCTGGATCCTCCATAAGGTGCAAACAAGCACAGCTACAGCTTAGGGGCGAAGGCTGGCTGAGGAAGGTGGCAGGGCTGAAGCAGTGAAGAGAGGGAGTTTCTAAGAAACCTCATCTCCTGCCTGCAATCTTATTTCTGTCCCATCATCCACTGAAAGTGCTCCTGACAAGGTCCCCAACAACTTCCATTTCGCCAATCCTTATGGTCCCTTGTCACTTCTCGCCTTTTCTGGCTGGCCGTAGCCTCCCATGCCTCTGACCACTCCCTCCTGTGAACCCCCTGCCACACACACATCTGTAACCTGGTCTCTGCCCACCTTCTCCTCCCACCTCGCTGGCCAACAGTTCTCAGGCCACTTTGTGTGCCTCTCTTCACTCTCCAGGGCTCTGTCCTCAACTTATTTTCTCTTCCTATACACTCCCACTGAACAGTTTTTATAACCACCATCCATATTCTGATGAACTCTATACTTCTGGCCCAACCCACTGCCCTGAGCTCCAGACCTCCGTATCAAACCGCCTCCTAGATTTCTCCCCTGGCACTTCACCTGACCACGTCCAAACTCACCTCTCGTCCTGCTCTGGAGCTGGGCTCAGAATGGCTCCCTTGGCACCTACCCCACATCCATAACTTATAAAATCCTTATTCCATCTTCTACAACTGCCTCAGACATGTGCTTTCTTTTCCCTCCCTGGACCATTTGCCACCCTCTCACTATCCTAGGTTTTTGCAACAGTCCCTTAACGGGTTCCCCTCCCTCCAGCCTTGCCCATTCTGGTGAGACTCCACACTACACTCAGAAATTCCTTCTAAAATCTACATCTGACCACATCATTCCTCTGCTTGAAAACCTTCCATGTCTCCCCAATGACACTGAGCAGCATTAATCCCCAAAACCTGACACTAAACATTCTCTCCAGTCTCTTTCCTCTTGGTTTCCCGTCTCCCCATTTCCAGCCATGCCCTCTGACATCCCTTCCCAGCCCACAATTTTGTTCTGTTCCCATGTATTATGAGCCCTTTATGCCCCCAGAAGACTTGGTGAGACAGACAGAGCTCTCTCCTTACTTTCCTATGCTTTACCCTCAGTCTCCCAGCTCAGAGACTGGGGAATGGACGATATGACCCAGGGGCCAGCAGTGGGAGGCGGTGATGGATTGACCTTTCTGAGCCTCACCCTTTTGAAGTCCTGGGGTTCATGCCCCTTCCTCAGAGCCCACCCCCCACCCCCCGCCCCATGCTACCTACTCACCATCATGACATATGTGCTCATGAGCTCAGCCAGGAACTCTCGCACCATCTCCTTCTGCATTATTTTTTGCACTTTTATCATGGGCGACTGGATCATCTTGGATCTGTGGGTGGACCTGAAGCAGCAGCCGGAGCCCATGGGCAGCAGTGAGACTCAAGTGCTCTTGCTACCCGTCAGCCCTTCAGCTCACTGCTGAGTTAATGTGTAACCCAGTGGCCTGTCTACACACACCTCCTGTTGCCCCGGGGTTCTGGGACAGCTGAGATCAGAGACAACTGAGTGTTACAGGGACGTGGAGAGGGACTGGTGGGGGGAGATAGCCAGGTCATGCCCCTTCTTCCTTCTGGTAGGGACTAGACCACTGGGAAGGACACACCGAAAAGGTCACTTTGCAGAGCAGGCATTTGGGGATCTGATGAATGCCATCTGTGGTGCCAATGAGCCTTGGGGGAGAAGCAAGTGGGACAGAGCCCGCAGGAAGGTGGAGCCCAGCTATCTGTCTACCTCTCTGCCTGATTCCCTGCAGGAACCAGATCTCTGAGGACACAGACAAGACATCAGGCAAGACCTGACAACTGCAAGGCGCTCTGGAAACAGATCAGGGTGGGGCAAAGTCTGCTCCCAGTCTCTATAAACAGCACTGAGGCCTGAAATATGCACCAAGTTCTGCCAAAGATAAAGGGGTCTGCCAAGTGCAACGGGCTCTGTAACCAGGTCAACACAAGCAGAGGTTTATGAGTGAGCAAGTGAGTGAAATAATAAATGAATGAATGAACAAATGAGAGAGAAGGAGAGAGGAAAGGAGGGGCTGGATTTTTCTCCCTGGTGTATTCTCAGTGCCTAGCACAGTGCCAGACGTATAGTAGGTGTTCAATATATATTGTAGGATGAATGAAAATTAGAGAATTCACCTGTCTTACTTTCCACTAGCTGCCCAGAACCTTCTACACATTATTGGTGCTTGATAAATATTTATTTAATAAACTCATGATTGGATGGGTAAAGGAAAAAGTGAGTTATAGGCTCCACAATCTGCTGAGGGGTGGGGTGGGATAGAGCCTGAGTTTGGAGGAGATGGGGTGTGGAGGCTAAAGAGGAGATGGAGGGGTAGAGAGACTGCTAACTCTAAGTGTGGCCTCTAGCACTTGTTAAGACTGGTCATCCCCCCTTGTTGACAGCCTGAAGCCGACATCAGGCACCCACTACCTTGCCCCACTTGGGATAGCAACCCCACCCCCCACCCTTCCCCAGTCTTCCTAAATTTCCCCAGCCTTACAGCAGCAAAGAGTAAACAGAGGGAGTGAGAAACATAAGCAAAGCATGGATAAAACACCTTTCACTTCTCTGGCTGAACCCCATGTTCATAGGTCATGCACTCCAGTCCTTGCTCTGTCCTTACCCCGGGGAAACAAACATAGGGCTGCACATATGGAGGGACGTAGAGTTGCTTGAATGATCCTGTGGCTCCCATTCGACTCCAGCTCCCATGCATCACCATGTAGGATCCCCTTGTCCCCATGACTGGCCTCCTCAGCCCCGAAGAAGAGCCTTTAAGCAGACTGAGGCAGGCAGGAACCCAAGAACAGTCCTGGGATGGTGCCGTAGAGGCAGAGGAAAGGTGGACAGAGCAGGAAGTCAAGGACACCAGGAGAGTCTGGAACCCTGGCCCCTTCCTCCTCACCACACAGCGGGCAGGATACAGTAAGCAACAAATAACCACCAACCAGCTCCTGAACCAAGATTTGTTCAATTCCTATTATGCCTACTATTGTTTGTCATGACCTCTGCTCTTAATAAGAAAAACAAACAATTAAGCCACTACTCTAAAGTGTGAGGAGTGTTGCCACAGGTGAAGTGTGAGCACTGAGATTACAGGGAGGAAGCAAATGACCTAGAGGAGGCGGTAGGAGGCTTTCCCAGAAGACGGAAAATTTAGGTCAAGAATAGAAGGTTGGCCAAGTGAAGGAGCATCAGGGGAGGCGAGACAAGTTCTGGGCATTGGAGTGGCATGCGCAAAGGCTTGCAGCTGAGACGATGTGTGACGTGTTGTGGGATTCTGCAAGGCTGGGCTGGCCAGAGAGAGGAGTGAAAGTAGCATGAGATTGGCAGAGAGGAGCACAGGGCCAGATGGCAGAAGACCTCATGGTCCGTGTCAGGGAATCTGAACTGAACCCAGAGAGCCATGGGGCCAGAAGAAGGGTGTAAGCAGGAGGGCAGCCTCCCGTATGGAGGCTGGGGTGAGGGAGCAGGCGCGGAGCCATGGTGGGCTCTCAGGGAGCGTCTGCCACAGACAGGCTGAGAGGCGATGGCAGCCTAAGCCAAGGCGATACAAAAATGGCTAGGAAACAGTCACACTGAAAGACCAGCGTTGATCAGAGAGGAGAATGGAGACAGCCAAGTCGGGGATGACCCCAGGCTCTGCCCAGAGCAGCAGAATGGCAGGTGAGGCACAGGAGAGAAGCTGCAGGCCTAGGCAGGAGAATGAGGTGTCCTCTTCTGGGTGCGTAGAGCCTGAGGAGCCCTCTAGACACGTAGGCGGAGATGATCAGTAAAGGGGCAGCTGGTCATGTGGTCTCCTTTAGAGATATGCATTTGGAGGTCACCAAATCACAGGTGGTCATTTGACCCATGGGCCTATATGAAATAGCTCAAGAGAGGGTATAGAATAAGAGAAATGACATCTAAGCAAACTAGCCTACAAACAAATTATAAACCAACCAAATAATTACCTATGTAATATGTGCTCACCAAGGAACTAAATAGCTGACAACTCACCTACCAACCCTTCAGCTAATTAATCAATTTGGCAACTTAACCAACTGACTCTCCTATTAACTACTTCACTTAATTATCTAATCAACCAATCAACAGTAAACTATTCAACTCACCTCAAGCCAACTATTGAACCTACTAACCAACATTTATTCATTCAACAAATATTTATTGAGTATCTATTTATGAGTCAGACACCAGAGATACAAAGTAAAAACTCAGTCTCCATCCTTGGAATGCTCTCTCTAGTGAGCAAGATAGACAATGGCAGCACCAGCAGGGGTGAGAAGGCGCAGCCTGAGGAGCCTTTTGAAGAAGTGGCACGATTGGATAAAGAGGATGTGGTACGTACGTACAAAGGAATACTCACTCGGCCATAAGAAAAGAGGAAATACTGCCATCTACAACAACATGGATGAATCTTAAGAATTTTACGCTAAGTGTCATAAGTCAGACAGGAAAAGAACCATATGATTTCACTCATATGTGGGATATAAAACTAAAGGCAACAAATGAGAAACAAGAAAAACAAAAACTCATAGACACAGACAACAGTTTGCGGTGGTTACCAGAGGGAAGGGGGAATAAGGGTAGTGAAGAGTAAAGAGGGTCAAATGTATGGTGATGGAAGATTTGACTTTGGGTGGTGGGCACACAGCACAAAATACAGAACATGTACCACAGAAATGTACACTTGAGACCTATATAATCTTATTAACCTATGTCACCTCAATAAATTTAACTTTTAAAAAAATAGGCAGAGGATGGCCTAAAGTGACCATGGGGGAATAGGATGGTGGTAGAAAGAATGGTGGCGGTGGGCACATTTTACATATTTTAGGAAATTGGTGACTAGATGTGAGACATGGAGGAGACGGAAGCATCAAAGACAAAGTCTTGATTTCTGGCTTGAGCAAGAAAGGAGAAGGGGACCTTAGACTGAGCTGAGACCACAGGAAGAGGAGTGGGCTTGCGGGGAGTGGAGGAAGCTCTTTTCAACTGGGACTGAGCTGCCTGTGGGACACCTGTGGGTCTTTGGAAACAGTCTAAAAGCCCAGGAGAGAGTCCTGGGCTGCAGATGGCAACGTCATCAGCACAGAGGGGCAACCGTTCTTTCTCTCTAAACAAGAGCACGTGTGTGTGTGTGCGTGCGCACACACATCTCTGCCCACATGCAGCTGACTGGCAGCGACGAAATGTAATAAGCAAGTACATTTGTATGTTAGAAGATAGTATGTCCTACAGGGAAAGACAGAGCAAGGAAAAGGAGGTGGGGTGTGATTTTAAATAGGACTGTCAGGGTAAGCCTCGTCGAGAATGTGGCACTTGAGCAAAGACATGAAGGAGGCGAGGGAGTGAGCTGTGTGATTAACTGCGGGAAGAGTGTTTCGAACAGAAGGAACAGTCGCTGAAGGCCTCTGAGCATGTTTGACGGTAAAGAAGGGAGGTCAGTGTGACTGGAGTGGGGAGAGTGGACGTTGGGGTAGGTAGAGCCTCAGCCATAGCAAGGATGTCGGTTTTTATTTTACCCCAAAGAAATCTGAGCCTGAGAGGATGAGAGGTGGTGAGTTCAGCTCAACTGAAAACCACCTACGTAGGGATAGTGGGAGCCCACCGACCAACCCCTTGTCCCTTAACCAAGTCTCCCTGAGCCTCCCCTCACCCCAGAGCCCAGCTGGTGCCTGGCTATGGGTGCCGGTGGGAGGGGCCCTTCTGGGCCCCATGAACCACCGAGGGCATCAGCTGACTGAGGGAGAGGCTGAGAGTGGGGCAGAGATGGCACTGGGTGGGCCCCGTGGGAGATGGGAGGCTGGCGTCGGGGAATGAGTGGGAGCTTACCGCCTCTTCTTGTCTGCTTGAGTCATATTCTGTCAGAGATGTTTAGATGCTGTGGAACCAAAGAGAGGTCACTAGGGCTGGGGGGCACAGGATCTGGCCCCACACTCTCATCAGACCTCAGGTTCCAAGAGCAGAAACCACAGTGCAGGCTGCTGCCAGTTCCAACTCCTCAACCCAGCCAACCTGGCAGGGAGGAGAGGTGGGCTGGATATGCTTCAGCCAATGGGAAGAGGCCCTGGAGTCCCACCCCCTCTGCGCATGCTGGCTCTAGGACCCCTGACCTCTGGACCAGGCCCTTCAGAGCTCCTTCTGACCTTCCCGTATCTGAAACCCCACCTTGTGGAGTGGAGATGCCCACAGACTCCCCTCAGTGGCTCCACCCTCACATATGCAGCTACTATTGCCTTTAGTCTAATCTCAAGCTCTCTTGCTGCTGAATTAAACTGTGACATTCCAGGGCCTCTTCCCCCCACGCATGCGCGTGCACACACACAGATGAGGTCTTAAAAATTCATTTAGTCCATACCCCCACTTCAGAGCAAAGTTTATCCTTCTCACTATTCCTGGAAATTCCCTGTATTCCCATTTTCTTTGCAATGGCAGCACAAACATAATCCTTGAGTTCCCTCATCCTGTATGTCCCCATTGTTCTCTAGCCCAATTTCCTTTAGTTGCAGCACAGATCACAACCCTGGCCCCGATTGCAGAAAACATGAGCTCCAGCCCCAGCCCCAGCCTTTCAAGAGGGGACTCCAGGGGGAGGGGCCACTCCACAAAGCCAGCAATCAAACCAACTCCCTGATCTTCAGTCCATGTCTCCAGTCTCTCCTGGTCCCACCCCGCACCCTGCTGACAGCCCAGTGCAACACAGCCTCCCCATCTCGGCTCCACCGCTGATCCTCCCAGTGTTCAATGTACAGGTGAGGGAACGGAAGCCAGAGAGAGTGTCATGCGGCAACTCAGGACTAAACCAGAAGAGACACCCAGGCTTTCACCTCCCCGCTGGGGTGACTTCCCCAGACAATCTCATGGTCACCTCCCCACAGAGTCCCAGGGAGAGGCATTCCAAGGCCTGGGCCCCCGGGGAGGCTGTCCCAGCCCTGCCTAGAGCCAGACTCACTCTGCTGAAGTGCCTTATGTTTCTCAGTGTCCACCTTGGGGGCTTCTCAGTTACAGCCAGTCTTGGTCTTGCTTCCCCATGACTGTCCCAGGCTCTGGCTGCTCCCCGAGCTGGGGCTCTGCTGTCCCTGTGTCCCCAGTCTAGGACCCGCCCCTCAGCCCTCCTTGGGGTGGCTCCAAATGCTGCTCTGCTCTGCTCTGCTCCTCCAGGGGAGAGGTCAGTGGGGCAGGGGTTTGGCCCGTGCCACTTGAGCCAAGTCCAGATGAACTGCCCAAAATAGCATCCCTTCTCCTGCCAGCGGCGCCACGGAAACCGGGTTCTGAGACAATGCTTATGGGGTCAGAGGTGGTGTTCCGGGTGGGTGCTCAGCCTCATGGTCCCAGAGGAAGGGCCTCTCCTCTAAGCCAAGGGTGCAGCTCAGAGCCAGAGGAAGCCCTCCCAGGCCCCAGACCCGCGGGAGGCTCCACAGGCTCCTGAGTGTCTGGCTGTGGGGAGAGCTGTGCAGAATGTGGGCTGGAAAGTCCTAGAAATCAACAGCCACGTGGAAGGGTTGGGGAGGAGAACCTGGGTCAGTTCTCAGGCAGCCCCCATTCTGAAGGAGCAAGGGGACATTCAGGCCTGGACTCCCCAGTCTGAGGGGAAGGAGGACACATAGCCATATTTCCAGGGAAACCCCAGTCTGAGAAGGGAGGTAGAAGGCCAAGCCTGATCCTCTGGGGGTCCCTAGTCTGGGGTCTGGGAGAAGAAGCCTGGGTCTCATTCCCTGGAAGCCCCCATCTGAGCAGAGAAGGGGGAAACCTAGGCTCCGTCCTCGAAAACGCTTCCTTTGGGAATGGCAAGTGAGGCCCCTGTGAAGGAACCAAAGCCAACCAGAGGATGAGGCTCCGACCCAGGGCTGCAGGAGCTCAGTGACTAAGGTGGGGTCAGGAGCAAGCCAGGGGACCTGCTGCCTTCTGAGAGGACATCTGGAGCTGGGGCATGGCTGGGCCTCCAAGGATGAGAACTGTGCGATTTCAGCAGGTGACCCAGTGCTGAAACATAAGGGAATGGTTCTTGGTCTGCGGCCTGTGAGGAGACATGCCAAGGGGAGTGGTAGATGGCGGCAGTAAGTCCAGGGAGCTTCTGAGGCCGGGCAACCCCCCTCCTGTGGGGAGGCAGTGAAGAGTCGTTGCCAAAGCCAGCTGTGGTAATAGAACCATTGTCCTCTAGAGGGTGCCAGTAGACCAGGCCAGGTCCGGAACACGGGTTGCCCAGCTCCCCACCCCACCTTGCCCTGCAGGTCCCTCTTCAGGGAGAGGCAGGGATCAGCTGCAATCTGAGGGCTTCTAGGTCAGAAGTCATCCTTAAGGAATGAACTTTTCCACTGCCCCCCATGCCGAGGCTATACCTCTCACCTCTGCAGACTCAAGTGGCTTCAGGATGGTAAGTCCTTCCCTCAGGACAGGAGAATGGACTCTGGACATGGGGGACACATGCCTTTAGTCTTTTCTTGTGTGTACTGTTGGGATGAGGGAGGAGTAAGGGTCAAAAGTGGAGCTGAGGGCTTGGCTGTTGTGGTTCAGTGGTTTCATTCCCAGTCAGGCACATACCTGGGTTGAGGACCAGGTCCCCATTTGGGGGTGTGCGAGAGGCAACCGATTGATGTTTCTCTCACACAATGATGTTTCTCTCCCTCTCTTTCTCCTTTCCTTTCTCTCTTTCTCTGAAAATAAATAAATAAAACCTTTGATAAAAATGAAAGTGGAGATGAGGTCTAGAATGAGGTCAGAGCTTGGGCAAAGTTGGATTGGGCGGGGATCAGGTTGGTGAGGGAAGGAGTTGAGATCCATGCTGGGGTTGGGGGTTAAGCTCATTTACTAGGATGGGTGCTGGGGACCAGAGGTGGAGAAGACACAGCCCCATTTGTTTCGTGGGGGAGAGAGAGAGATAAATGGCAGATGACTTAGGATACGTTGTGATAAGGTGGAGGGAATATAGGCAGTAGCTAAGTCAGCCCACCTGAAGGGGAGCAAGAATCTTTGAGGAGAGATGACAGAGGAGCTGAGTCCACCAAGGTAAACAGGGAGGGTGAGATGGGATGATGGTTTGAAGCCATTTGAAGCTTAGTGGGATTCTGAGAAAACCTAGTATGTCCTGGGACGGGTGAGTGGCTTGCAGAGGGAGGGCTGGAGAAGTGGGCAGGGGCGACCCATGAAAGACACGAGATCGGGCTTTATCCCAAGGGCCCAAGGAGCCATTAAAGAAGAGTCCTAAGCAAAGAGAAGAGCAAGGGAGTCAACATGGGGTCCTTGAGGCCCTTGAACATCCACTATACAGAAACACGATAGGGCCCACGCTTGGGAGAGGGATCCAGCTGGAGAAAGAAAACAGAAGATATTAGCACCTGGGCATTCACCATGGGAGTTAATGGGATTGCCAGAAAACAGGAGGGAGTGGAGCAAGGGACAGGGGCAGGTTTTTGGGGACAGGAGGGAGACTGAGAAGGAGCAGGTAAGGAGAAGATGGAAACCCATGCACTGGGCTGCCAACAGGCTACCAGGCACTCTGAGGGGCTGTGGCCCCAGAGTCGGGTGTGACAGAGGGCCAGCCTGATGAGCTGGTGGGACAGAGAGGGGGGCCACAGCATTGAAGAAGTGGTGGCTGAGGAGACAGAAGGTTCAGCTGTAGAGAGAAGAGAGGCAGCTACAGGGGCCATGAGTTTGGGCATTTGAGTCAGATTTGGGTCACCACAGAGCCTGGGGTGACGTCCAGGACCAATGAGTATGGTGGAGGGCAGAGAGGGGACACCTGGGGTCCTATCTTCATAGGGTAGACTCTGAGTAGGTCCACCAGATAAAATACAAGACACTTTCCCTGGCTGGTGTGGCCCAGTGGACTGAGTGCAGGCTTGCAATCCAAAAAGTCGCCAGTTTGATTCCCAATCAGGGGCATATGTCTGGGCTGCAGGCCAGGTCCCCAGTAAGGAATGTGTGAGAGGCAACCGATCAATGTATCTGTTGTACATCGATGTTTCTCTACCTTTCTTTCTCCCTCCTTTTCCCTCTCTCTAAAAATAAATAAATAAAAAAAATATTTTTTAAAATACAGGATGCTCAGCTAAATTAGAATTTCAGAGGAACAATATTTGCAATATTTGGGACATACTTATCCTAAAGCACTATCCATTGTTTCTCTGAAATTCAAATTTAACTGGGTGTCCTAGCTCTGAGCTGCAGTGAAGACCCCTCCAAATGCCTTGCACACTGACCTGGGTTTTAAGTCCTAGTTGGGCATCACATTCACTGTACAACCTTGGCTCAGTCCCTGCCCCGGGCCTCTCTTTCCTCTCCTGTGAAATGGAGTTGGCAGATATGGGGTTCGCCCACCTAGCCACCTTTGGAATCCAGACAGGCCTCGGGAAAATGTTTATGAAGGTAGCAACGGACCATTAAGTCAAAAACTAATTTGAGGGTAAAGGAGGGATAAATGATGATAGAAGGAAACTTGACTTGGGGTGGTAAACACACAATACAGTGTACAAGTGATGTATTATAGAATTGTGCCCCTGAAAACAATATAACTTTATGAACCAGTGTCACCCCAACAAATTCAATTTAAAAAACTAAATTGGTTGAAAGTGAGTGGGTAATATTATAACGCTACAGGGCAATTTTTGCAAAATCTGGTATTTCTTTAAGCATTTAGTCCCTCTTTCAGAAATTGTTTGGTTTTCTTATTCTAATTTTTTTGGCAATACATTTTACTAGCAAAAGTTTGGAAATAACCCAAAGCTCATCAATCTCCCATTTCTTACTCATGACACTAAGAATCTTACAATGTGAACTGGTAAACGGTGACCTGAATGTTCAACCTATCTGAAAATTTGAATATTTATAAACACATAGTCAAGCAAGTCAAGCAGACATAATTGTCAATCACTGGAGTGGAAATTTTTTTAAAAATAGAAAACAAATTTTAAAATCTCAGGTCCTTTTATTCTTTTATTACCTAAAATACAAATAAACCAAAAGGACCTTTAAAGGCATAATAACTCCTAACTCCATTACACCTACTACTAACATTTTGGTAAGTTTCCTTCTAATCCTTTTTTCATGTATACACATATAAACAACCCCTCCCACTTTTTGTCAACAATAAGTCAAAGGGAACTTATATAAGTTTTTTGTACTGTATTTTTTTCACTCAAACATTTATTCGGAATAACTTTTCATGCCAATAGGTCAGCATCCAAATTATATATGTCACTGTACAGCACAGAATTTTAAATGTATCCAACTCTTCTCTATTATGAACAACATGGAGCAGACACAATTTGTTGAAGCCCAGTAAAGATGAATTCGCAAATAGAAATTTTTTTAGAATTAGGATGAAGAAAAATATCCAAGGATGCTAAAAATTCTCTGAACTTCCCCAAAATGCCCCCCAAAGTGTTGATGTGTAAAAAGCTAATCATTTTAGTTAATTATTTGTTTCAACCAACATGCCATTTGATTAACTTACTTATCATGTAAACTGCTTTCAATCAAATTATTTTAGACTTGGGGTTTTCCAGACTCTTTGGAGCCCTGGAATCCTTCGTAATACTGAGGAGTCCATGGTATCAATCAGCAAGACTCAAGCCCTGGTTTTTGAAATTACTTGAAGTTCATGAGATTCTCATTCTGCTCAGAAAAGAAAAGACCTTTAGCCTCACCCAGATAAGTGTCCCCTTTCAAACTGATTTTTCAAGTAGGAAATTGAGATTCAGAACAAGATAGCAACTTTGCCCAAGATCACCCAGAACCAGAACATCCAGATCAGGACCCTGCCCCACCCCCTGCCCTAGGGCCCTCCCCGGCAGAACTAGGGGGCCAGCAGCTAGCCTGGGGCAGGATTAAGGGGGAGAGCACAGGCAGGACCCAGGGTGATCTTTAACCCTGACACTGCCATGACCAAGTCCCCCTGCCCCTAGCCCCGGTTCTTATCCTTCCTACTCAGAGTCATGTCTGGGCCTCCAGGACAGAGCGAACAAAGACTAGAGCAGACAGGGTCAGAAGGCACAGTCACTTAACAAGGGCAAACATGCTGGAAGTCAAAGAACCAGAATTCAAACGCAGGCCTGCGCCACTCTAAAACTCCTGTCAGGCTGCCTAATTTGGCATCAGAAACGAGACATAGAGCTCAGGCCTATCGCTTTCTAGTATGAGATGGAGATTTCAAGGAAGGCTTCCTGGAGGAGGGG